TTAAGTTCTATAAATGTATCAGGTCAGATGTTAACCTTTCTATTTATGTTTATATTTATCTAAGCTTTAAGATAATTATTCTGGTTCGAATGCTTGATCAGCAACATCCAATAGCACTTCCATTGAAGCAATTTGATAATTCACATCATTTGGATCTTCTTCATTAATAGGTACAATTGTTGGGCCCCATATGATACAAACTGCCTTTTGATTCATTCTGTTGGATTCTTCATTAGCTATAATTCTTTTTAAATGGAACAATAGGGAACGTAACGTCCAATATTGGGCGTCAGGTAACTTATACAATAAGTTATGCATATAATTTTTTCTTGTTTTAGGATCCTCTATGGATATACAAGTTTTTAGTTCTGGTCCTATTATGCCCGGTACTAAAGGATCTGGTAACAGAGAGAAAAAGGATTTAAGTAATGATCCCACTAAATAGATATCAGAATCGGAATGGTTATTTCCAGGTAGGATCATGGATATATTCGAAGGATCTTTATCTATTTCCTCCTTTAGTTTGCTAACATCTAATACATTGGCAGATTTCCTATAGATACCTTCTAATTGTAAACCATATTTATCAATAACAAATATACATTGACGTACAATAGCCGGAACCATGTCTTGTTCATATTCGATTAAATTTTCTAATGGTACCCCAAATGTTTTAAAATTATTCTGAACACCTGCAGGCATTCTTACATCCGTCTGTAAATAAGATACAGGCCTATCGGAATCGGTTGTATCGGTTGATACTAATGTATTAGATATACTTGGCATCCTTGCATCACCTTTACCTGGATCTAAAGAATGGAAGTTACCTCCATTTCTACTATTTGGATTATTATTCGATACTGTTGCCTGTTTTTCATTTCCATTAAATGTGTCTATGGATTTACGTGGTTTTGAAGGTTGGTTCAATGGTACAAATGACCTTGATGTTGTACTTGATAATTGAGAAGTTCCCATTGGAGTTGATGATGCATATTTACTGGACGAATTGGACGCAATAATAGGTGTTCCGAAATTTGTTGATGAGCTAGGATGGAAAGGTGATTCATTGTGGGTCGATAAAATTCTCTTTGGAATCGAATTCCTTGCAGGATCAACAGCATATTTAGGTGGTGCTTTATTTACACTGTTCCTACGTTTAGCCATCGATGGATGTTTTTTATATTCAACTGGTATTAAATTCTTGTTTAATAGTAATCCACTTTTACTAGAAGCATTATATTTATTTAAGAAATTGTAAAGATCTTGTTCATTTTTAACGGAATTAGCAATACCTTTCATAGAATTTTGTGGTTTATCAAATGGACTAACAGTAACACCGCTATTAAGAATTAAATTTTCAGTCCAAATAGTATATTTTTGTAATTGAATAGCCATTGCTGTATCTAATTCTAATATTAAGTCTTTTAATTCTTGTACAATTCTTGGTCTTTCTCTAGTTAAGAAATTATGTCTTAAAGAATCTGAGTGATCAACACGTTGTTTATATTCTAAATCTGCGCTATCGATCTTTCTTAATAAATCTTCTTCTTGCTCCTTTGTTGTCCTTGAACCCCTTAATGTTAATTTTGTCTTTGAAGGATCTGCCATTCTTACTTTTTCATAATCTTGACATAAAGAAATATAACGACTTTGTGCTTTTTCTGCTGCATGAATAGCATCAACAACATCTTTTTCAAGACGTCTACTATTTTCTTTAACACTTTTTCTCATTTTTGTAATAGTTAATAATAAAGCACTTATTTCATCATACATTTTTTGTAAAGCAGTTAAATAACTTTGTTTCACTTTAGCTAATTTCCCATCAAATTCTAAAACGTCATGGATCATTTTTCTTAATGAAGATACACCATTAGTTGTTGTGAAAAAATGTTTATATTGTTTTGATAATTCTTCTGTATGTTCTTCTTCAAATAAATATTTTTTACGTAAAAATTTGGTAAATTCTTCACAAGTTAATAAAGATGTTTTTAATCTTGTCAATAATGCATTAATTGCGATATCAGAATTCATAACATTTTGAATTTCTGGAGAGTCTAATAAAGTGTTTTGAGTATCATTATTTATATTATTATTATTAAAGGTCTTATTACTTTGATCATCTTTAATAGGTTGAAAACTTGACGTTTCTTCATCCCCGGATAGGGATATATCACCTAACGATGCACTAAGACTATCAGCTGACATAATAGTGTGTGTCTGTATGATTTATCAAAAGGGAGAGGGTATTAATATTACACCTGTTGTAAGTTTACGTTATTACAGGTTATTGTCTATGTTTTCAAATGATGAAGTCAATATATCAATATAATTTTATATATTTCTGTCTTCGTCCCGTTAATATTAAGTATTCGAATTCAACCGAAATATCTTTGTATTTTTTTCTTTAGTTCTTCAGTTTATAACGTCCTTTATTCTTCTACTAGATAAGTTCTGATCTTCTTAAATTTAATCCTTATTCTTCTTTGTTAATACAGATAAATAGCAGTTTGTTTTCTTTAGAATCAAATGAAAGTTTCTTTCTTTTTCCATCGCCCAAAAACCGCAAAACGCTAAATACAAAAAAAAACATATATATAGTACACCTGCAGTACATTTACTATAAAACACGTCGTTTGACAAAACTATTTCTGTCTCTAAAAATATAAAAAAATTGAAAAATATTTCAATTCGCGCCTCTTTCAGTCTTTCTGGCACGTGACTTATACGTATTTTAACATTAATAGTTCTACATACAAATATATATATATATATATGTATATATCTATCTTATGTTTTAATCATTGGGGTTTTAATGCATACATTCTTACCGGATATAACTCTTTAGGTAGACCCTTTTGTCTATCTGTAGCAATTAATTTTAATCCGCTCTTTTCAAATAATTCTTTAAATTTTGAATCACTTCTTGTGACACTTGAATCTGTTGAATCAAAATCATCTTCATTTGATGGTGTATTGTTTTCTTTAATAATTATAGTACCATTTGGTTGTAAACCTTTTATACATCTTTTGAAAAATTCTATTAATTTCTCATCTGGCAAATGACCAACACACCATTGACACCAAATTAACCAATATTTACCTTCTTCTGGGTTCCAATCTTGCATTCCAATAGGATATATTTCACCAATTTTACCTTGATCTTTTAAATCTGATAATTCTTCTTCCATCTGTTTACAAAATGGTTCAACAGGTTCCACTAAATCAACAATATCACATTGTTTTGATAACATATTTTTAGTGACTCTACCAATTCCTGCACCAATATCTGCACCATATTTCTTGTATTCATTCGAAGGAGGTACCATTCTGGATTTTAATTTTCTTAAAAAGTGTTGAGATCCTAATACATCCATTGTTGGAACAACAGTTTCTTCACCATATCCACCTAGGACACCATCTACAGTTGCTGGTGTACTTGTCCAATAAGAAATTGCATCATCATAATTAATATGAGAATCTGGTTTTTCTTCAATACTCATTCTCTCTATATATATATGTATATATGTATATCGATGTATTTTACTGTGATGATTAGTTTATAAATACCAAGCGCATCGATTTCAACATTACCATATAAATTTATATCAATAGAAGAATCACCATATAAAAATATGCGTTTTTATTTTGTTTGTTTTTTGTAAATTTTTCACTGTGCACTCCCACTACTGGGCCAATCCAACTAAAAAAAAAAAGGTTGCGCAAATAGAACCTACTTATAGAATATATAGATATATATATATATATAGTAGTTCAATAAAGCTGAAATTGATATTATATTAAAAGAAAAGAATATAAAAATATATATATATATATATGTATATGAACAAGTAGCATTGTATTTTTGTACAATCTTATTGAGTATATTATTAGCACATCTAGATATCTGTGTTCGGTTTACTACCTACCCCACGAATATATCCATGAAACAGTATCTCTAATTTGTTGATTCCATAAATCTTTAAACATTTCACTTTGTGATCTGATATTTAAATCTCTTGCAGTTTTATCCTTTAGCATTTCTATTCTCTCTTGAAATACAGTTTCAACATTACCTCTTTGTTCTACGGCATCTTTGACTTTATCATTAATTTGTTTTAAAATCGATTTTTTATAATAATATCCATTTTCTTTAATAAAATACATATAGTAAGATGTAGCAATAGCACCTGTTACAGCAGAAAATGAAAGAAATCTAAGTACACCACCCATTGTTGTATATTGCTCTACACTATTCCTATTTCAATTTCCTTATATTTAAAACTTCACTTCTCTCTTTATTGAAATCGTTTCAATACAACTTTGTATACTTTAATTCTTCTATCATATATCTAGCTAAAATAATCCTTTTTTATTCTTCTTTGTTGTTTAGGGCCCTCTCTCTCTTTCTCTCTCGCTTACTGCACTGTGCAGTTTAACGGAAATTCGAGACAGACAAAACGAGAAAGAAAGATGTTGGAAGCGACAAATCACGAGCCACGGGCTCAATGTCCCACATCGTTGGGCAGAAACCCTAGTTCTGCCCAACGCTAACAGAGTCAAAAAAAATACAAAAATGCCATCGAATTATCCTGCGGCGATCTATCTCCGCGACATGCACACATATAGATACACAGACGAGAAAATGTTTGTTAACGAAAAAAGGGCAGAGATAGCACAGTTTTAAATAAATAATGGGTGAACGGAATAATATAGAGAAAGAGAGAAGTTGATGGGACATTTTTGACAGTAGTGGTAGTGTTGGTTAGACCTGAATTGACTCAATTGATGTTGTTGTGGTTATTTTACAAGAATCAATCAATCTCATTGTATTGTTCTTGTTGTGTTTTTTGAATAAATGTTATCTTTAAATGATTGTACACCTTTTTTCATAATCCTAAATAAATATATATATATAAAGGGCAGTCATTGATCAACTTTTACACACAGATTGTTGTTTTTGATACAACTTACATTTTTTGGTAGAAAACTTAAGTGAAAAAGCCAGAAAAAGAAAAGTAGTAATTATGTTTACTAAAATTGTTAGAACTACTCCTGTATCATCTTCTAGACTAGCAATTGCTAGATCTTTAAGAAATGGTTATGCAACTAAAGCTACACCAACAGCTGATCAAGTTTTAATCTCAAAGCATGTTCAAGATGTCGATCCAGAGATGCATAAAATTTTAACAAATGAAAAATTAAGACAAAAACATTCAATTACATTAATTCCATCAGAAAATTTTACTTCTAAATCTGTAATGGATTTATTAGGTTCGGAATTTCAAAATAAATATTCTGAAGGTTATCCTGGTGCTCGTTATTATGGTGGTAATCAATTTATTGATCAAATGGAATCATTATGTCAAAAACGTGCTTTAGATCTTTATAAATTAGATCCAAGTAAATGGGGTGTTAATGTTCAACCATTAAGTGGTGCACCAGCTAATTTATATACTTATTCTGCCATTATGAATGTTGGTGATAGATTAATGGGATTAGATTTACCACATGGTGGTCATTTATCTCATGGTTATAGATTAAATTCTGGTACACCAATTTCTTTTATCTCAAAATATTTTCAAAGTATGCCATATAGATTAAATTTAGATACAGGTTTAATTGATTACGATCAATTATCTTTAACTTCAAAATTATTTAGACCAAAAGTTATTGTTGCAGGTACATCAGCTTATTCAAGATTAATTGATTATGAAAGATTTGCTGAAATTTCCAAAGAATGTGGAGCTTATTTGATGAGTGATATGGCTCATATTTCTGGTCTTGTTGCCGCAGGTATTATTCCATCTCCATTTGAACATTCTGATATTGTTACAACTACCACTCATAAATCTTTAAGAGGTCCAAGAGGTGCTATGATCTTTTATAGAAAAGGTGTTAAGAAAGTTGTTAAAGGTAAAGAAATTATGTATGATTTTGATAAGAAGATTAATTTCTCTGTATTCCCAGGTCACCAAGGTGGTCCACATAATCATACCATCTCCGCATTATCTGTTGCTTTAAAACAAGCAACTACACCAGAATTTATTAAATATCAAAAACAAATTGTTTCTAATGCTAAAAGTTTTGAAAAAGCATTAGAAAAGAATGGTTTCCAAATGGTTTCAGGTGGTACAGATAATCATTTAATTTTAATTGATTTAAGAGAAACAGGTATTGATGGTGCACGTTTAGAATCTTTATTACAAGAAATTAATATTGCAGCAAATAAAAATACAATTCCAAGTGATAAATCTGCTATGTTCCCATCTGGTTTAAGAGTTGGTACACCAGCTATGACTACAAGAGGTTTTGCTAATGAAGATTTCGAAAGAGTTGCTAATTATATTGGTCAAGCTGTCACTTTAGCTAAACAATTAAGGGCTAATGAAAATCCAGATAATAAGGATCATAGATCAAAATTAAACAATTTTAAAGAATTATGCAAGGAGTCTCCAGAGGTTCAAAATTTGAGCAAAGAAATCTATGAATGGGCTGGTTCATTCCCTGTCCCAGGTGAACTGTAAATTAAGCGAAAATAAATTGTATGATATTAACATATATATATATGTATATATAAATCGGTTTATACATAATTACGCAAAAAAAAAAAATAACATAGAAGTAGAAAGATATGTCTTTCAATATTTAACAATTACAAGAACTTGTATCGATATTGTAAAACTTCTTATCTATCTGAATAGTTTCATTTTCAACTGTTTGACTATGTTTAATAAACATTTCATCTGGAAGATCACCTACTACACCATCAAATAGCTCTTCAATACCATCACCTGATTTTGCACTAACGACAAAAAAATTTTCACTTCGACTTTTCTTTAATTCTTCAGGCTGTTGATAACCATCTACCAAATCGGCTTTATTCGCAGCGAGGATTATCTTTAATGCTGATGAATTTCTCTCTGTATCGACATAAGATTTTAATTCATCAATCCAAGTTTCTGCATGTGATAAACTTATAGGGCTTGTTACATCATACACAATAATAGCAACGTCTGTACCTCTATAATACATTGGAGTCAACGATCTATAACGTTCTTGTCCTGCTGTATCCCATATCTCCAACGTTACTTCTTTATCCCCATTAAGTTGAATTGTCTTAGTCATAAATGCAGCACCAATAGTCGCATTACTTGTTTGAAACTTACCAATAACATATCTCATCACTAAGGAAGATTTGCCTACTGAGGAGTCTCCAAGTAGTACAACTTTCAAATTGCAATGTCTTTTCCCATTTCTACTCTCGACTGGATTGGTCATAAGGTTCCACTATATACTCATATAATCAATTTCAATCATGAACTCCTTCTCTACCGGATCCAAATTCAGAGTATTACTATTTACCAAAAACAAAAAGACTTCGCAAAAGAAAGACTCTAAACGAAAATTCTATTTACTTTCTTGAATATACTTTTTCTAAAAGTATAAAATACCAATAATGGTTAAGTTCACTATTCCGACGTAATGAGATATTGAATCTTCTACCTACACTCTGAATGCCAGCTTTTCACTCTCTTTCTCTCATTTGTTTTCCCCTTTTGGTACATTACACAAATTGTTAATTACAACTGAAAATTAATAATTAATGTGACGCGTTAGGCAAAGAAATTAACTATTTTTGAAATTTGCCCGCCTTGTGCATTTTCTTTAGCTTTCAAAAATGGCGAACCCCATCGGATGGGAGATGCCGACCAGTGAAGAGATCAATTGTAAATTTAATAATTCAGCCAATGACGGGCTTTGAGGATGATAAAGAAATTAGTTTGATATATCACATTTTGAAGGTAACATATTGATGTTTATCATTACATATTCACAATATTTATATTTTTATTTCCTATAATAGGCTAAATACACAGAATATTTCCTAATAATTTAAGGGACTACAAGTGCATCGAATATATATATGTATATATATATATTTAAGTCAGTATGCCAAAGAAAGATAACGAATTATCTATACCTACTGGTCCAAGGGTGTTAAGATCTCGATTACCTGTAACACGACAAGTCACTGATTCAAATAAAAGTAATAAGAGAGCATTGGATGCATTGGATCGGAAATTATCTCAAATTTCAAATAAAAAGAAAAATGGATCACCAGTAACAGTTAATACTGTACCATGGTTAATGAATAAAAGCCCATCTTCAGAGCCTGCAAAATCATCAATTGAACGATCTAAAATACCAATCATTCCAGTGGGACCACGAATGCGGTTACGACTACAAAATGATAAATCACCAACTCCAAAGAGACGCAAACGTTCTCTTAAAATTAATAATAATGATGATGAAAACGATTATGATTTCCTAATACCTAAGGATGTAAATATATCTTCTGATATATCTTCGCTTGGATTATCCATAGATGATATAGCTGAACATGAAATGATTCAATCTTCACCGATTCGAAAGTCGGTTGCATTTTCTAATAATATTGAAGAATTAGAGAAGATAAAATCGTCACCTATTCAAAGCACTACAAAGAAACCATTTAAATCGATTCTTAGAATCAAAAATGATAAAAAGTTAGTAAATTCGATATCAATGTCTGATTTACAGACTGAAACTTCAAAGAAAACATTATTTTTACAGGAACCTTATTTGACACATTCTGAGTATTGGTCTAGTGGTGAAGTTCATCAGCTTTCTGATAAAAATAATTTAACTGAATTTAAAAATATAATAAATAGTGGTTTAATTAATTTGGAAAATGATGTAGGAATGAAATTTGAAATTTACGCCACATTTAATAATATATTGCCGGTCAATAATAAATATGGTACTAATAACAACAATATACAACAACCAAATAATATTGATAATCTTAAAATAGATTTTCTTATAAGTGCGCTGCCAAGGATTATGAAGGTATCTATCGATGACCTAGTAAGTTTACAACCTGAAATAATAACAATCTCTGAAAATAAAGATGCATTTAATGTAAGGACTTATATTCAAATTGTTAAATTCATTAGCTTTATTCTTTCAAATCAGACAATAGTTCAAGTAATTCCAAATAGTCCACATGTTCTGGAAAGAATTAATCTTGTTTATAAAGCATGCATTCAAGCTTTAGAAAATCAGCATTGTTCCAAACAGATTATTATTACACATATAAACTTTTTGAAAGATGAACTCTTTGGAGAAAAACATTTTACTTCTCAAGAAAAACAATTTATAGTTGACGTTATTGTAAAAATACGAGAATTGAAAAGTATGAACTTAGTAACAGAGAAACTGAGTTTGATTAAAAGCCTGTTAAGGAAATATCGATATGCAATGTTAAAGGATATTGTTTTATGGTTACCAGGTGAAGTAATTCCACGTTTACTTCTTCATAATATTGAGCATGGTTGGTCCATCGTAGAATCTGCGATATCTATCTTACTTGATCTGTTAAAAATATACCGTGAACTAAGTTTCAATCACACCCAAGTATATTCATGCATTGAGCTAAGTGATATGAGAACTGTGGTACCAAAAAAATTTGTTGGACAATTAGGAAAGTTAATGAAAACTCCTTCAGATCAAAAAACAACTTTAGGAACAATTATTAGAAACCATATTAAAATATTAACAAATCAAGGAAACTTTAAGATTGCAAATGATATATGGTTAGCAACTATTGGTTTATTATACAACAAAGACAATATATGTTTTTTATCGGAATCCTCACATGAATATGCTTGTGAATGGATTAAGGTAAATAGAATATGTTTCAGCAATCCTGATTCAACTGCACGGTTACAAGCTTTGAAAGTTTGGCGTGTAGTAATACATGGTGTTTACGTGAAACTATGGAATGATCCTATTTCAATTAAGGATATAGAATCTATGTACAAATTACTTCAGATACCATTTGATATGGCATTGCAAACTCAAGTAGACGATTCTTCGTTGCAGGGTTTACAATTTTTGTTACATATTCTTTCTTTTACTACTTCAAGACTGTCGTACAATAAAAGCTCTACTATAGGAACACAGTATACTAACTGGTTTAAGACAGTACAGTCAATTTACATGAAATTGTTCAGTTATCCTAATAATGTTCTTCGTATTTCTGTTTTAAGATCAATTTTCAGGTTACTGGATTCGACTTATAAACTAAGTATTAAACCAAACATAGTTAATTCTGGGAATGACTCTGCTTTATTTGGTTCAAAAATGGTATTGACGGCATCTGGTATTTCACCGTCAGCCATTTCATGTATCGATCCACAATATTCACGAATAGTCCTTTGCGAGATCTCAAAAGGATTAAAAATAAATGTTGATGATCAACTTGGATCTACGGAAGTAAATGAAATTGAAAAAAAGACCAGTATTTTTCCTCAGAACCTCTTCACTCTGTCAATGTTCCGCGAGTTTTCTCAAATTTTAATATTTTACTATTCACAAAATGCAGATTCCTTCCTAAACCCTATGGATTTTGTTCTCCTTCCAACAGCTTTAGTTACCTTATTTTCAGACGTTTTATTTTATGAAAATACATCCGATTATCTAATAGATTTTTTGACTAAACTAGATTATGTGTATCCTTTAGATAAAAAGAACTCCATATTAGAACAGCTATTCAAAAACATGTTTAAGACATTCTCAACAAATGATAACATTTATTTGGTGACATATGCGTTTCTATGTATCGACAATACTTTATTAAGAGACATCATACACCAGAGCTTAGGTCAATTATCGTCACCGATTACTTTGACATTGACTCAAATGTACTATATCCTAAAGATCCTATCGTTCTTTCCGAACTCTGTATTACTGGAGAAATTCTACTCCATTATATTTGAAGAAAAATGTAATCTAATAATGGGAAATTACAATTTTTTAAAGATTTTGCGAATGGAAAGTTGGAACCTGAATCAAATTATCACGTTTACGATAAATTACTATGCGCATGATAGAACTAATTCAAATGGATGTGTTTTGGCGATATTAGAAGAATTGTTTAAGAGGGATACAAATATATTCTATTACATTGCTCCGATCATGGAAATGAACGGTGACATAAATAAACTTAAAATCACTGTTAATGAAAATCCTCAATTAATTGAAAATTCCCTGTTCTTCGAAATGCCATTTTTTACAGAGATTCTTTCGAAAAGTCTTGAGAAGAAACTTATCAAGGATCTTCGTAATTTTCCCAAATGGAAACAAATAAACATAATGAAAAAATTTATAATGAAAAAACCACAGATGTTCCTTAGGGCAGGTCGTCCGGTGATTATGGATTTCGTGAAGTTTGCAGGGCCATTATCAGGTGAAGGAAAAAGTGTTGCAATAGAAATATTAAAAGCCTGTTATAAATGTCAAATGGTATCTTTTGCTAATAAACTTATGGATATGTTCCTCTCAAACGATAATGTTACAGTTGTAGTGGATTTTCTTTATGAAAACGATGGTTCTAATAAAAAAATATGGGACGATAAAATATTGGTCAAGCTCGCCTCTAAAACAAGTAGAATTAGGGAGGATTTAATTATGATTCTTAAAAAAGAATTCGATAAGAGAACGACTATACAAAAAATATCGTTAATTGATAATATTATTAAGGAAAAGGACATGTATCTCTTCAAGTCGTGTATTAAAGAAATATTTCGTTCTTTTATACAAGCCCATACCAACCTGGTTTCAACTGACGAGCGGTTAACAAAAACTGTATTTGGCAAAGTAGTTGAATTTGTTTTGTTCAATCATGATTACTCATCAGTTTTTGATATTACCGACCTGTATGTAGATATGTTACCAAAAGAACTTTCTGAAGAAAATATTGAGGATATCAAATGTTTCTTATCGATGTTACCTAAACGAAATGAAAAGTTCAAAAAGGATATTGAACTGCCTAGAATGAAAGACCTTACTAACATTTGGAAGTGTCATACTGAGAAACAGATTAATAAGGATATGTCGACATCAGAAGTTAGTTCAATTCTAACTCCAGAAGGGTTATATGATTCAGCTCAAGAAAGTAATACCACAAACCAAAAAGTCGACCTACTAATGCATTATTTTACCGATTACATAGCTGAATACAAGTTAAAAGATTCGAGTATACTCTCCTCTCAAACATGTCCTTCTCTTCCAGAGGTTGTAGAAAGTTCCAGGGTAGAAAATAATCTCATACCAGCGATAAGTTTCTCTGAAAGTCATCCTTCGACACTACAAGAGGTTGATCTAAATTGTAGTGACAACAGTAAAAGGCTATCCCAAAGTTATTTGGCAAAAAGTACCCAGCTTTCACAGAAGAATATGGCAAATGCTGATATGAATGAAAATACCTTAAAACATAATATTGGAATTCAGGAGCATACTATTCAGATTAAAGGAACAAATATCCAAGGTGCACCTGAAGCTCAACCTTCTACAGAAGTAAATACTGATGTTGAAGACCCATCCACTGGTTCCGACGTTCGAATGAGTGATTTTAGGGTAATTAGTGGATATTTAGAGCGTACACATTTCACTGAAGAGAGGAACAAAATTAGCGAGACTTCAAGCCCAATTATAGATAGCCAAAATGATAGTAGCAGCAATCATAATAATATTCTAGAAACACCAATTGAAGAGGAAAGGCACTCTAAAGGCAAATTGAGTTCCAAAGGCACTATTGTTTCATCCAATTCCAAAGATGTGACCAATGAAAATGGTTCAGACACGCCTAATAACACAACTTCGAGAATTGCAAACAACTCAGCAGGCGGTTCAATGGATAAAATTCATGAATCACGTATTGTGGTGTCATCAGGTAGCGTAAGCATTTCAAATAACGATAAAGAAGTTGAAAGAAGTAATAATCTTGACAACCCAAACAGTAGTTCAGCGAAAAATGTAAATGGTCTAGTCAAAAATGTCTCTAAACCTGTAAACCCAGCAGATCCTTCAAAAAGGATAGAAAATTTAAGTGAAGATTTTGAACGTGTAATCCCCGATGGTGACGATGAGTTTTTGAAAGAAATGGAAAATTTAAGCGTTTTACTTGATCAACCAGTCTCTAGTAGTCCTGTTAAGGAGTCGGACGTTAAAACTACAGGAACCTCTCAAGGCACGATCTTACAGAAAGGGAAATCAAGCATACATAATATAATGCAAGCAAATTTACCTCAAGGTGCTATTGGAACAGAAACAGCAATAAATACAACTCCTTGTACAGATAGAACCAACCATACCGATAAGGTAGTTGAAGATTCTGAGAAAGAGCCAAAAGGTATTAAAATTCCCATTTTTAACTCAAGGAGAATGAATCCCGTAAATACTAGACCTGCCAAGATATCACCAAGGAAAAAAAGTTTACGCTATGCAAATAAAAGTACTGTAATAAATGTTAATATACCAAAAACGTTCAGACGGTCTGTAAGTCCCGAGCCAATTATTAGACACCCAACAATGACTGACTCCTTTGGCAACGATTTAATAATCTCTGATCTTTCGCAACATAATAGCCCCACAAGTTCCTCTTTCGCATCTTTGAAAGATGATGTGTCATCCAAGAAAGCTCGTAAACTATTGAGTAGGATGAGATCTATTTCTTCTTCAGATCTAGCGACATTATCCCCAGATGAAAGAAGAAACATGAGAGTTGAAATGCTGGATTTTTTAATGAAATTAGAACATCCGAATTCAAATGGCGTTTAATTTGTAATATTTGAATAGTTATTTAATCAAATTATATAACCAATTAAATAAGAACATTTAAAAAGCAAAAAAATAAATAAACTATAAATGCAAATTGTTTTTTTTTACTATTTAGTGCTATTTAGTCATTATTCGGCATAAAAATTAGATCCCTACAAAACAATGTAATATTTTTAAATAATCTTCTCCATTCTAGCGGATCACCGGATTTTCTCTGAAAATTAAGACATTTTAAATCACTATCAATCTGTGTTATATTAATAGAACCAGCTAATGTACTTTTCATTCTATCCTTAGTCTTAATGGTAATGTTTAGAGGGAAAACTTTATCCATACCATATTCTTCTACTAAAGCTTCAAAAGTGTCAACAATATTTGATTTGGTGACAATATTTCTAACATTAAATGCTTTTTGTAGAGTAGAGACAAGTAATTGCATGTCAACGATAGTATAAAATTTATCTAATTTAATAGGATTAAATTTAGAAGTCTTATATCGTTCTATATTAGAATGCGGATTAAATTGTAACATGGCAATATCATTATTAATAAAAGTTTTCCATTTCTCTAATTTTGTAATTCTATTATCATTATCATTAGTATTTAATTGAGAATCCATACTATATGTAGTTGTTCTTGGAATGTATTGAGAAAATGCAGTAATTTGAGTATTTGGTAAAATATTATCTTCTGTTGAAGAATCATGTTTAATATTAATCATATCAGTATTTAATGGTTGAGTTGATGCAAAATTTGTTATATTATCTCGGTTTGTTACATTTTGCGTAAATAAATCATAACTTTCATCAGATAAAGAAACTTTTAAATTCGAATATAATTTTTGAGCTAATAAACCTGGATTATTACATAATCCCGAAGAATTTGCAAAATTAATTTTTTTATTATACCATGGATGTAATTTTAATTGATTAATTGTTACTCTTTGTTCAGGTAATGGCTGTAAAAGTTTTCTTAATAAATTTAAATGATTAAATTCAATTTTTGACCATGGGCCTAAATTTAAATTACCTTTATTTTTAATGAAGTTAATAAAATTATTATCTTCCTTTGTTGGTATTTCCCATGGAATTTCACCTGTTAATAATACAAATACAAGAATCCCAATAGACCATACATCCGTAACATCTGCATAATATAAAGGAATATCAGAACTTAAAATTTCAGGCGCCATATATGGATATGAACCTCTTTTATCCTTTGAAACTTTTTTTGAACCATCTTTTCTTTTAAATTTTGACGCTAAACCAAAATCTGCTAATTTTAAATTTCCATCCTTATCTAATAAAATATTTTCAGGTTTAATATCTCTATGAGCGATACCACATTCATTATGTAAATAAAAAATTGCATTGACTAATTGTTTAAAATAAAATTGGGCAATTTCTGTATCAACACCAATATCAGGTTCAATTTTATCAAATAGATCACCACCATTAGCTAACTCTAAAAAAATACAAATAAACTGATCTTCCATTTGACAATCTATTAATTTTAAAATATTAGGATGTTTTGAACATTTCATATGTAATTTAATTTCATTAAATGTATCATTTTTTTGTAAACCTTTTGATTCAATTGTTGGTAAATGAATAAATTTTATTGCAAATATCATTGATGGTTTCTTTGTTGAATGTGCACTTGTCACACAACCAAATGCACCTTGTCCAATAGTTTCATCTAATGTTATACCATTAATTATAGGGAGCTCTGGAAATATAGTTGTATCATTACTAATATCATTTCCCTTCTCATCGTCATCATCATCGTCATCATTAAATATTATTAATTTAGGTTTTGTTGTATCAGGGTCCATAATTTTAAAAAACAATACAAACTATAACAGTGGTGGTAAATCGAGAAAGATATATATATGTGTGTGTATTATTTGTGAATCAACGAATTCTGTTCAAATATAAATCTCCATGTAATAGAACCTTCAATTGATTTGGAATACTAGAGTAATCCTATAAGCTTCTAAGATCAAGATATGTCAGTTAAAATTAACAAACCCTTATCTCATCTCTTTCATACTATTAGATCATTGTTGTTATTACTTAATATAAAAGCAAATTACATAGAAAGGCTTCGAGAAAATTGAAAAAATAAAGCAAAGCAAAGCAAAGTAAAGCAAAGCAAAACAAAACAAAAATTATTCAAAGAATTTCACCCTCGAGGTCTACGGTTCTTTCACTGCCGGTTAAATATCTAGAGTAAAACTACCGCACAACAATCAAAAAGACGCAGACTAACCAGCACGTGATTGCACGGCGCTGCAATCACTTTCACACGTGACCTCCCTGACTTAATTATATCAATTCTACATATTATTTAGCCAAAAAATTTAAGATAATTTCTATCCAGTTATTTTGATTTGTACTCTCAGTCCGTAAGATATCTATATACTTTAATGTTCATAACTCTATAGCGTGCTAAGGAATAAGGGTCCGAACCGAACTAACTTAATTAATAGCTCTTCTTGCCCTTTCCTTGCCAGTATTGTTATTGCCACTATAGTACCCCCTCGATGATATTAAATAAAAAATAAAAAATATCTCGAAGTTAACTACAAAAATCCATTGAAGTCCTATCAGTTCCCCCCTTAAATGGGCAATTATGACTAACAAAATACACAATTTCTTAAATTTTCCGTTTTCTTTCTCTGTTTAAAAACACCGTAAAATGTCGGAGTTGTCGGCTTGTAAAGCGAGTGAATTTTCCATCAATTCTGAACGTTACGTTATTATTGATATATCGCATCTCCTCTCTCTCCCTGCACAAGGCAACGCAGTGCGCAAGAGAAAGGGGACAAAAGAACAACAGTTAAACTTCAACGAATTAAAATTAAATATTCGAAATGCATCGAGTATCATCGGTACAACAATGTAGAGTGTTTGACAATATAGACCTTATAGACCAACTTTTTGTAAAAAAAAATTCTCTCAATTGTTACTGCCGCACTTTAAGTATGAAACTGAATATATATATTTGTTGCACTCTATCAAATAAACAACAACAGTAGAATGTGTTGATAGACGCTTTTTGGCTTTATTTGAAGGTGAGGCGTACACCAAATTTTTAAAGGGTCTGTATGTCAAACTACTGTATTTCATCCTCCCCCCTTGACTCGAAGTATATATATATATATATATCGAATATTTGCCTATTTTAATTAATTATATATCGAATCTCTCTATTAAAGATAACCCAATCAACTGCCATCCGTTATAAAAACAAACACAACAATAGTAACATATATTATGATGGTACCAGAATTTTCTTTACTAAATACAGATAAGACATTATATATTGATAACGTTCCAGATGCATTTTATCGTGCTATGCAGACAGATTCATCATTACTTGTAATTATACAAAATAAATTAACAAATAATAATATTCTAATTAATGATTTAACAAAATTTAATATGAACTCAATTATAATTCAATTATCATATAATACTACACAATTAGAATATTTTAAAAAATTATTCCCAAAATTAAATAGTTTTAATGAAAATAATACGAATCTTATACTTATAAAAGATTCAGATATTTTAAATAATTGGGATTTAACAAATCATTCATGGTTATCAATTGAACAATATTTAGAGAGCTATTTCCGTACTGATAATAATAATTCTAAAACAATAGCACAGCAAACATTTCAACCATCACGTTTAAATTATGATGAAATGGAATTGATTAGAATTAAAAAATTAATTTATCAAGATAAAAGAGAAAAACATTTTGAAGTAATTTATAAAGATAATAACAATAATAATAATATTAATCGTTGTACAAATAGTAATAAAGTTTCAAAAAATTATAATAATAGTAGTAAAGGGAAAAATCATACCCTACGCATTAAACTTGATGATGCATCAACTATTGTTCATACTTTTAATTCATGTACTGATAGTTTATTGACTGTTAAAAAATATATTGAAATTGTTACAGGTAAACCAATTCCAATAGATTTTTCATTTCATAACGTTTTACCAAAGAGAAAATATACAAAACAAGAAGAATTGCAATCGTTGAATTCTTTAAATTTAATAACAAAATCTTCACTTTATTTATTTAAAAATAAAGAATATATTAGAGAATTAAGAAGATCAAGAGACGCTTCACAAGATTTTAAATATATTAATATTTGCATTAGTAAAATTAAAAGCTTACTTCAATTTATGCGTTTAATTAAAAGAGAAACAACAATTGGATCTCCAACTCATAATATGAATTCAAAATATTCATTAAGTAATAATGTAAGACACGGTTCATCGTGCCCATTTAATGATCATTTACCATAAAACATCAAAGAACTTCACAACCCACTTGCATTTTAGTTCATTTCCATTTTCACGTCATTATTTATTCCATCTTTTTTTTTCTTTCATCCCCCCCCCAAATTTATTCTATTTATTGTATACACATTTCATTAGTAATAACATTAACAATTTAATTCATAATTTAAAACAATTTAATAAATTACTCTGCTTATATATGTACATTTTCTTATTCTGATAAAACTTTTTAGGGTTCTCTCCAAGTACTCTCTAAAGGGTTCCGCAGCCAACTTAGAACTAAGCATGAGAATTCTTAAAAAATAAAAAATGAACGGTACACAGGCAAACGCTCATCGTAACGGCAATCACAAATAACAATAATAATAAAGTGAGCTAAAAAGTTTCACCACCGTATTGACATAACAACACAAAGGCAGTATCATTTTGATAACTATTCGAACCGATAATTCGATAACATCCATTGAATCAAAGTTTGATTTACTAGCGGCAAATAACATATTAACAAATTCCATCACATATGTCAAACGAACCAATCGAAATACCCTATTTATCGTCACAGTTGAATGAGTTAAATGACTCTATTTTAGGTATACATGACGAAGATACAGACTTTAACTATATTAACAAGTTGATAGAACGATGTGTTATCAATTCAAGCACACTTACCACATTGCAAGAAATCCCAACAACATTTTTCTTAACCTTAAAAAATTTCCTTCAAGAAAATACATATTTTAAAAACTTCAATTATGAGGAAATATTATTACTATTAGATAATTTGGTAAGAATCTGTCCATTTGAAGAAATTACTAAAGTTTATACCCTTGAAGATTTAGAACAGGCTCTTTTGTCTGATATTTCTCATCTGATTAGAATCGCTTGTAAAATTATTAGAAATTCAGAACCATTAGATTATTATATAAATGTGACACCAAATAATACGATTTTCCGTCATTTATTGGAGATATATTTTAATAAAGATACAGAGTTGGCTGTGGTAAATGAAATTGAAAATATTTTATTGATTTTGACCAAAAATGTGTCAGTTCGTAATTATATTCTGCAAGAGAATCTTCCTCTTCTTCTAGACATCAAACAGAGTTCAGAGACATTGATAAATACAAGACTGTATGAACTTTTAACAATTGAAGTAAATTATTTTGATCCACAGAGGGAGTTTAATGGAAATTTATTTATTTTTAGTGAAGCAGAAATCTTTAGGCTTTTAAACACCGATAGTTTTGCATTTATAAATTTCTTGCAATATGTCACTTCCGCATTCAAGCAAATAAATTTCTCATATATGGAGACTAGTTTCCCAAGTTCATCAACATCTTCATACGATAACGGAAATTTCCTTCTGCAACAATTTGAATCTGTGATCCCAATTATTGGTGCAATTTATAAAGATAATATATCAGATGTCGTTTTAGTTGCAAAAAGTTATTTTTTTAAATTTTTCAGAGAGGTTTCTTATTTGCCTAATTTATCCTACTTTAGAAATTTAGATACTAATTATATCTCCATTGATTACGATAATAGTGATCTTATAGATTACCTTTCATTCACTAATCCAGAATATCTTTATCAACACTGTAATGAATTAATATTAGACTATGTCAAAGTCCTGGCTTCACAACTTTCAATATGGAGAAACATTATTACCCATGAAAATTTATTTTCCCTACTAAAGAGTAAATTAACCTCTAACGCTATATTAAATTTACCATATTTAGAGCAGATGGTATTACTTGATAAATTATCACAGTTTGAACACTCAACGAAATACTTGATACTATCACTCCCTGGTGTTATGACCAATTTAATCAACGATGGTAATGTCAACAATATAGTAAATCCTGAAACCATAGAAATGAGAGCAACCGTCATTAGAAACCTCTTAAGATTTGAAGAAAATATATTGAACGTATGGTATATCCCTCTTACATCCGAACTTTTCAAAATCAATCATCCAGGCCAATATGATGAAGCCAAGACAAAGATTGAAGAAGTATTTTTATAAGGCAAAAATAATATTTTATCATATATATCTATTGTTTATCTCTTTCAATATACATCTAGATGTTATCAATTATCAGTATTTAATTTCTTAATACAATTTCTCTATAGAGATATTTAACTGAACCCCAATCATCCACACCTTGGTCATATCGTTCATTCAATACTTCAAAATTATTTTCTTGCAGAAGTTGAATGAGTACTTCCCTCTCTTTAGCATATTTAGATCTTATTGGGATTTCCAAAAAACATTTTCCGTCAGTTTTTAAGAATTTGGAGAGCATGTTTACAACCCATTCTGGATGATTCGGAGAATATATTGGGTCAGCTACCAATATAATATCAAAAGAATTTTCTTTTACATTGTATTTCTCAACGAAAGGTTTTGGGTTGGTCCAATCTAAAACATCAGTTGTTACGAAGTCTCCAACATTATTATGTGTTACATTCTTTTTCAAATTTTCTAATATTTCTGGCAAATCTGTCACGAACATTTGTATGTTGGAGTTTACCAAATTATATTCTTCTTTCCATTTACATGCCCACGAGATCCCCACCAAACCAGTACCTGCTCCTAATTCCAGAACATTCAATGGCTCATTGGACTTTTTTGGTTTGAAGTTTGTTGTAGAATTAAAATTTTCAATAAGAATTTTCGATAAAATTAATGATGCACCCCAAGTTTTCCAACCAAGATTATCATTTGTAAGTGACGGTTCAAATAAGGAAACCATGGTGTTCATATTATCGAATTTAAAATCCCGAGACATAGACGGTATGGCAGAACGTCCACAGCATTCTGCAATTCTAAGACTTACCTCCTTCAAAATATCGAACTTTAGTGGTGAAGTATTACTTGAATTTTCATATCTTTTTAAAATAGATGTATAATAATTTAATAATGCAGATCTTTCAGTTTCTGATGCATTAACTAATGAAGGTATTTTATTACAAATTTTTTCAATGGTATTTAATTTTTTATTTTGAATTGAATTCAAATACCATTCCACAATATTATTTTGTAATTTTTTATCAAGATCCTTTGACTTGCATATAGCTTCAGTTGTGACAGCCTCTGTAGATTGGAAGTTTACTTGTGTTTCAGGACGTAATAAATGCAACGTTGCCAGGATAACTTCGGGTGAAGCATATGCAACATATGGAAGATCCAAGACATATATTGGTCCAAGTAAACTATCTTCATCGTCCTCATCATTTTCTAATAATTTGCTGTCCTCCAGTTTCTCATCTACTCCCGTGGATAACTGTTGATCTAGTTCGAATGACGGTTCAAAATCTAATGCTACCGAACTGTTATTTTTATCAGCATCGTAGAGATCTAATGGGTCGAACATCTATAGGCCGGAATTTAATATATTTATATTGGTCATTAAACTTATAGGAAATCAACAAATCATCGTAAATTTAGGAGGCATTTCTTAATATATCGCAGATTTAGAAAATGATCGTAAACTCATTGCTACTGTTTCAACATCAAATTGTAATAAAAATTTCCGCGAGAGGGCTTCAGGTCACGTGAAATAGGGCTGTTTTAAACGTCTTTTATTCAAGGTAATAGACGAATCATTAATAGTATTGATCCCATTAGAAGAAATAAATTTAATACCATTTATCGTATTTCTCGACATCATACGTATATATCTAGGAAGGAACTTACATATCCTCTATTGTGCTTTTTGCCATACTATGGAAAAGACGTGGCTAGGTTAGACGGATAAAACAAAAAAGAGGTTTTGAATATATCATTAGAGCTTATTAAGATTGAACTCAAACAATATAATTGAGATCTATTATCCCGTTATAAAGAAATAAGCCACTTTTTATACTATTTGTTGACAGATGTTTGAAATGATTTAAACAAGTAACGAGATGTTCACTTTCATTTTCTATGGCGCGGCTCCCCTTTTACAGACAGTTTGAAGTGAATCTGAAAATTAGGAAATTTGGATTATATTCAGTTGAGTTGCCCATCAACTATAGATCGTTATAACAGAAAATTATGAGAAAATGAGGACAAAGTAACTTTAATAGGAGTACATAAAACACCGAAGTTTATTTAGATTGTTAAGATCGTATCCACTGCACAATACTCACCATAATTAAACCAGATCAAGAATAATTTTTAAACACACAGGACAACCCATCTCTTGTATGGAAATATGACACATAGAAAAATATCTACGAGTAATTCGGAAAATGTTTTAACTTATAAAACCAGTGATAAACCTATTGGTAGACACCGAAGCTCTACGTTATTCCCCTTACCATCTTGGCATGATCACAAAGAGAACGATGAGAATAAAAGGAATGGTCTGTCCCGGGCATATAGTGTCTCTTCTGAGATTATTCCCCAGACATTAACGCACCCAGATGACGACATGTTATCTATCAAGAAGGTAAGATCCCCTGTAGAGATGCATCCATCAAGGTGGTCTCATGTTGGCTTTCAATCTATATTTCAAGGACAAAATTTTAAAAAGTCAGCAAGTAGTATCAATTCTGAAAATTCATTAGAGGAGAAATTCCCATTTACGAATCTTCGAAATTCTAATTCCTTTGATAATAGAAGTAGATTGAGTGAGGATAAAATTATAGAGGAAAACGATGATGACCTGTCAGATGACAGTTTGTTTACGACATTATCAGGGAAGAAGGAGAGGAGAACAAGAGGTTCTGGATCTGTTTTAAACAATTCGATATCTGATACTAAGAGTTCAAGTAGCAAAGACAAAAATACACGACTTTTTAAAACGAACACAAATAAAAGTAATTCCAGCTTACCTAATTCGTTAACGAATTCATTAATACCAAAGAAGAAGAACCAGTTTTTAAGTGTGACGAGAAAATTATTTCATACAAAAAATTCAAGACATATCAAGGATAGCGTAGATCCTGCTCTTCCAAATCCATGGAGTCAATTTTTACATTCATCTTATATAAAACATAGGTCACCTGTTCAATTTATCCATACTACGACGGGTGGGATAATGGATTCCGGTAGATCCGTTTATTCATTTAATCCATCAGTTCCGAATAATACCAACGATGTAGCTTTAGCGATAACTCAACAAGAAGATAGTTTTGATTCTGCAAATATTGCAATTTTACATGATTTATTGAAGACATTACCTTCTTTGGAGGACAATTATAAAAACTTCTCCACGCGTGAATTACAGGTCCTATCTGGAAACGTATGGGGAATATACTGTTCTATAGTGGTTGAATTATTTAAAAATCAGCATTTATGGGAACTTCCTGCCAAAATAGAAGATATTAACAAACTTTTTGAGTTCTATACAGTACTGAAGACAGAGTCCAAGGTCGCAGCACATCATAGCAAATTTATTAACGAGATTGAGGAGTTTATTACAACTTCGTTATTTGTTTTCGAAAATCAGATTGTCTTTAATTATACAAACGAAAATGCAATGAATACTGCTTTAAAACGACTGGGTATTATATGGCAAGTATTCTATCAACAAGTTTACCGCGATGTTATTACCGTATTACTACCCTTAGAAGAAAGCTTTAAGAATAATCAAAAGTACTGGTCGGACAGTGTTTACATGGGCGAGTATGTGGAAAACATGTTAAGTGTTGATTACTTGTTATTGAAATGTTTCCGTAACTCTATTGTTCTTCCTTATTATCAAAACTTTGTCCACAGTCATGACGGTGCAAGTAATAGTTTTAGGACATATATACTAAACGAAGAAGATGAAAATGATGTTACAGAGATGGATAAATTGACATTATTACAGTGTTTTGGTGTTTTATCAACAATTCAGAGCAATGATAGATCACAACAAATTATTGAGGAGTTACTGGGTGGGGTACGCATGAGTATATAAAAAAAGAATTATATACATGAAATTACGAATGAACATTTAATTTTTAATGAGAAAAAGAAAACGTTATATATTTATATCTTCTCTAGATTTCTATTCTTGAAGTTATAACTGTTAATTAACTGGGAGGATATTTTCGCCTCCCTCCGAACTTTTAAAATAAAACTAGTTTAGTCATTATTAATATTTCTAAAGGGAATGCAGCAGTATATTAACATATGTAGCAGGTTTAAAAAGGAAATGCCCTTTAAATAAAACCATTCCTAAAATGTTACAAACGAGCAAGTATACTATTCTGAGGTCTATTTCTTATAGGCCACTCGTTCAACTAGTCAAAAATCCAAATATTCGATTTTTGAATACTGAGAGGATACCCAGTCCTCCAAAACTTCCAAAGGAAGAACAGTTAGAATTTGAGAGATTACAAAAGATAGCAAATTCACAGGCAGCTATTGATGAGTACAACTCTAAAATATCACAAGATAGCACAAAAGAAAGTTTGAACAATACAATATTGACCCGTAATGATATCGGAGCTTTTTCACCTGAATTCAAAAAGACGATTCCAGAATTCGAAGGAGATACGAACCCCAAAACAGGTGAAATCGGAGGTCCAAAACAGGATCCTTTAAGACATGGTGACTATTCTTTTAATGGAAGAGTTACTGATTTCTAATATAGCAGGTTCTGCCACCTACAACACATATATTCTTAAATTGTGGTTTCTATTGACTTTATTTACATGTTTATACCTTACACAATATAGTTATATATTTACCTATATCTGTTTACAGTTGACTAATAAAGTTGTTCTGTTTTATTTTTGATCTATTCTCTTTACGTAGTTGTTTCCTACGTTGACCTAATTGAGTATCTGGAGATGGAGATTCTTTTGGTTCCTTATCAGGTTTGGCTTTTTTGGAATCATCCTTAAGAACTGTCCATAACCAATCCGGATACTCATTATCATCAAGAGCTACCGGACCTTGTTTACCTTTCTTAATATCCAAATTTAATTTCGTGCCGACTAAGCATGACGATATCACCTTAGTTGCATCAACGTTTTTGGTAGACGATACATTCTTTTGCAACAAATATCTGGAGGTGGAAAAAAATTTTAAAGTATTTAGTCTTATCATTGTAACAGAATTATCCAAAGTGCTATCGTTCGACTCCTTGTTACGACTTATCAACTCATGAAAATAGATATCCTTTTTTTTATTGGTTTGGATGGAAGTTTCAGTTTCTTAGTCTCTTAAGTTTCAGCTCGGGCAATATTATTTTTTGACATCAATTTTTTTTGAATGAGAGTTTTAATACTTGACTTATCCAAAGGACATACTTATTATCAAAGGAACCCATGCCACACTATTGGCACTAATAATTTCATCACTCAACAAGTACGTATCACTATTGTTATTTTAAAAAAAAATGTGACAAGTGATAAAAAAAATGGTTAAGTCTAAATATATATATAATATACAATTATGAAGAAAATAAAAAATGGGATATATATTTGTGACAATCGATGATATCGATAAATCTCAATACCGATAATGTAGTATCTGTTAGCATACTTTTAGTATGTCATTCGAATATCAATAAAAAAATGCAATATATTCAAAAACGAAGAGTAGAAGTAATTAAAGAAAACAACATTACGATTATTGTAGTAATTGATCTCTGTAGTAGGGTTGGTTGTTGACAAACTTTGCAGCTCTTTTGTCTTCTCTCTTCTTGTCTTTGTTTTCTGTTTGCCATACTCTTTGGCGAACTTGGTATTGTTTCTTGTCGAATGCTGGCAAGAAAGTTCTTGTTTCCGCAGCAACCAATGTACCTTGACCTTCAGTAAGTTCTTTCTCAGGTTTCAGATTTTGTTTGAAATAACGTTGCAATGATCTGTGACCAATTTTTACACCAGTTGGTAGATGTAATTGAACACCATCATTATATAGATACTCCTCAGGTATATCGTCTTCTTGATCACCTTCTTCTGTGGCTACCCCTTCTGTACCATTTTCTTCATCACTTGAAACATCTTCCCAGTCATCTTCGTTATCATTACCTGTATTTTCATGTACATTTGATGTAGCTGTTTTAGAATCTTGGTAAGATGATGTGAAATCATAAAATTCTGATATTTCTAGTCTTTCATTTTCGGATTCATAAGGTATTTTACAATGTCTCTTAGCTAACATATGAGCTCTAACCGCAGGTAAAGATCTACCTTGATAATTACAAACAATGCAAACGTTACCTAAACCAATCTTTTCACTCATATATTTCACTAAACCCTTTTTATCTGTTAAAAATTTCTGTTCAGGTATATAAAAACCATGAGTCTTAAACATATGTTCCAAATTACTTTCAAAATCTGGGAATGTCTTGTTCGTACAGAATAAACATGTCTCTGGGTTAATTTCCACTTGAGATTCTAATTTTTGTTTCATTAATCTTTCTGCTAATTCTTCTTCAGTAAGTTCTTCTTCGTGGACGTGTTCAGGAATAACTTGTGCTTTGTTATTTTGTTCTTTCTCAGCAGTGACTGTTTCGTTTTCTGATACTGTCTCTACTGCTTCTGGTTTAGGAGCAGACATCTCAGAGTTAGAATTTTGTTGTAAAGCAATATTCTTCAACATACTTTCCTTAGCTAAAGCTAACAGTTTCTTTTTTTTCTCCAAGAGAGCTTCTTTTTCTTTACGTCTAAGATCTTTTTTAGTCATTTGTCTTTTATCATCTTTCTTCTTCTTTTGATCTTCTTGAACTTCATCTTTACTCAAACTATTAACTTTTGAATTAAAGACTTGTTCAGAGATTGCAGGTAGTTGAGCTACACGTCTTTTCAAATTATAACGATGCCATTCTGTTTTCATATGATCTCTTTGATTTTGACTAGTCTGGAATGCAATAGAGCATGAATTACATGTGTAAATTGCCGACATTTCTAACACTTTGTATATATGCCTATATGTGTAGTGTTCTCGATTATCTGTATCTTGATGAAGTTTTATATTTAAAATTATTAATGCTCCTGAAATAGAGAGATGCTCATCACTTTATCAAATATATAAAATTTAAGATGAAAATTTTCTTTGCATTATTTTTCAGTCCGCGAGCTCATCGCCTTTTTTCTTTTCCTTGGGTACCACGGTATAAACCGAGGGACGACAGAAGATAGGTTATGTCATTTCACAATGAAGGAGAGAGGATACATAGGGAATAAAAGTAAATGCACTTGAAAACAGTTTCAATTATTCTTCCCGACTACTTCATTATTGTATTTTAATTGGTGATTTAAATATTGAAATTTTTTTAGTTATATATACATTATAATAGCAAAGAAGAACGTTTGCTCCGATTGTCTTTCTCTTTTCTTCTTCTTCTAAACAGGTTATTCTTGATGTGATTGTTTATTATGCCATGACCTTATCTGTATGGAACAAATCAACATATATATTGGTACAATTATTAAATTTGCTAATGTTCCAATCAATAGTTGACAAATCCAAAGGAATGATTTATTATTATGTTTATTTAATCCCATATCCAATGACATTAAGAGCCATCCAATAAAATCTGTCGTTATATCATCATATCCCATTTCTAACCACCATACAATCTTATCACAACACTCTTCACATGATATCGGATATGATGGTCCTTCAATAGATTTTGTAATATCAGGTTTTGTTACTTCTTCTAATTCAAAACCTTCTGATTGAAAATTCCCAGGATATATACAAGAGATACGAGCATATGGCAATTCGTGTCGAAGTATCCCAACCAAAGCTTTCAGTGATACTTTTAATGGAGCGTATTGACTATAACCAATAAAAGGGAAAAATGCAGTGACACTAGAAAATAGAATTAAATGACAATTTGGTATTATTCTAGCGACTTGATGTGATAAATATAATGCAGTTAAATAATTCATTCTCACACCACTTTCTAATTCATAACCTGATAAATCTTTAAATAATTTTGGTGTTGAACCACCTGCACAAGATAATACTTGAGTTGGTAACATATTAACCATTGTTAAAGTTTGGAAAAGACTTGCAACAGACTCATAATCTGATAAATCACACGGCATATAAAATAAACGGTGATCTGCAATTGTTGAATGTAAAGTATGCTCATTAATAATAATCGGGTCAATATCCATTCGTGAATCTTCTAAAAGATTTACAGTTTGTTCATCATTTCTTAATAAAGCCTCTTGTTTTTTCCTATTTGTAGCGGTTAATATAATATCTGTAACAGCATTTCTTAATTTTTCTTCTGATCTACTTACAATAATGATCTTTGAATTTATAGTTTCCTGATAATATTTTTGAGCAAATTGTTTACCTAGACCCTGAGATCCTCCTGTGATTAAGGTTACTTGGTCTTCCAATATATATTTCATAACAAATAGTGGTAATAATACAATACAATATAATATAATATAATATGGTTCTTTTTCACAATAAAACCAATGAAAAAGACAACTGTAGAAAGAGTAACTCAACGATTATAGTATACTGAAATGAAGACGTTTACGTAACAATGCAATTGAAATTAATATTAATGCTTGAAAAAGATAGAACTAACAACAAACAAAATTATTAGCATATATTTTCTTTAAACCGATGACAATAACGAAAGATGATATACTTCTTTATGAAATTTCAAATTCTATTTAACGATATATATCAGCAACAAAATATTACCTCTCTAAGTCAGGTTCAAAAGCGCAATATGTTTATAGATGATTATGTCTTTTATTGTGCATCACAACCAAAAACAGTTAAATGGCTACAAATGGCACTTATAACAACATTGTTCACTTTTCTCGCTTTAACATTTTCACATTCTAAAAAATCAATCATAAAAAAAAGGAGAAACACAGAAAACGCTGTAAGAAACCGATAAAATTGCTATTCGTAGTAAATGATGATTGACAATAGGCAGTCACGTGAAGAACAGATAATATAGACATATATTATGGGTAATGATTGTTACATACGCTTATATATGATATATTGTTGTTTATGTATTTACATGCAGAAAAGAGATAGTGATTATATGTGTATGATTTTAGATTATTTGGAATCCCTTTGTCTCTTATGTTCCTCATATTCTTTCTTTAATTGAGCCAGTTCCTTCTCATCAATAGGTGGAATTGGAACATCTGAGAAATCATTATCCTTATGTAAAAACTTGTATGTGTATAAGTATACACCACCGGAAACACCTAACAAAGCAGCAAGACCAATCATATTCCTTACAAAGAAAGGTTGACGGGCCCTGATCATTGCAGGTGTCATCTTAAAAGTACGTGGGTCCTGGTATGGCGATTTCTCTAATGGCATTGTTCTTATAATTCGATATGTGGCTGTTGTGAATTGTAGTATATATGATAATCCAGTCTATGTTTATTGTAAATCTTCTTTTCACTTGCCTCTGTGTACTCTGTATGCTGTTCTCCCCTTGATTAGTTGATTGTCGCTCTTCTTCATGTTTTTATTTTATTTTCCTCTTTAAATTGGAACTTTCCGGCTTTTTTTCCTTAAACTTGTTTTAGCTTCGGAGTCGCTCTTTTGGCTGTGCTGGTTGATGCAGACTGGATTCGAATGGGAGGGAGGAATAGCTGAGTATGTCTATCTATCTATCTATCTATCTATCTATCTATTGCACTTAGTTGTTGTTGAGTTGTAGATGTAATGTCGTGATATATGATGAATACCACGTATTCCTGGTCACTGTGTAGTGTTTATCGACATAGGAAAAATGAAACTAGCTTTCCCTGTTTATCACACTACACGACAGCAATTAGTACCTTTTTCGTTCTGTTTGTCCTAACTGCACACGGATAACTCTCTTGTGGGTCGTCCTTTTTCTTTGTTTCTTTCCTAGTGCGATATTGAACATTGGACCCAAATAGAGAGATATCAATATAATAATAGTTGTAATATAACGGGATTAATAGTATAAAACGTAGTAAATAAGAAGAGTTAACAGACAAAATACACTCTATATACGACCTATAATTCAAATCTCGTAGATACATAGATAGATATTTGCAATGACTCAGGGACTAGCAAGAAAACTATCGAGAACGAAACCTCATAGGGATGCATTATTAAAAAATTTAGTAAGTCAATTGTTACAACATGGTACGTTAACATCAACTCATGAAAAATGTAAAGAAGCCTCAAGATTAGCAGATCGTGTAATTAATATGGCTAAAAGATATGTTGATCCAGAGACTACAGAATTATCTAAACAAAGATTATTTGCTAATATTCAATCTCGTTTATTTTTATCTGGTGATAATAATCATTTAATGAAAAGATTATTAAATGATATTGCACCAAATTATCAACAAAGAAATGGTGGTTATACAAGAGTATTACATTTAGAGAAAAGGTTTAATGATAGAGCTTCTCAATCAGTATTAGAATTAGTTCAAACACCTATAATAAATCCAAAGACAAATCAAATTCAAAAAGGTAATTTAAAATTTTGGTTATTAGTTAAAAATGTAATTATGGATGAAAATAGTAATGTTGATGTAAATCCTTTAACTTTAATTAATTTAAAGAAAATACAGAATTTTAAATCAGACGAGGAATTTTTAAATGATTTATTAATCATTAAAAAATGTATTAAAGATCAAGAAAATTTAGCTTGGGATGATACTAAAGAATTAGAATCAATTAAAAATTTAATGGAAAACGTTAAGTCTACAATTTTACCTCATGTTGATGAAAGTTCACGTACCTCACCAACTATTAAACAAGGATTTGAAATAATGGAAAAGAGACCTCAAAGACCATCAGTTTGATTTGATAGTCGACGGCATTAAATCATGTAAATATTTGATTACAATAAAAAACCAAAAATATATGTCTATTCTTTACACACACACACACACACTCCTAACTCACATTTTTTAATCTATTCATTATTTGTATAAATGAAATATATAATACGTGCATATATGCAATTATAATTATTATTGTTACATTATTCAGGCTCTTTCCTATACCCTTTTTTTCATTATCTAATCATTAAACATATCGTTTATTTAGTTCCAAAATATTGCGGCAAATTATATGCCAATTCATTTCACGTTTGATCCCAAGAGCTTCTTGCCATTTTAGCAAATCATACATGAACATTAAATTTGGTTGAATAATAATATTAAGCCGACGAACACGAACATATAAATATGCTTTTAGAACTTCACATCTAAATCGTTTCATACATTCAGCAATACATACAGTGGCAGATCTTGATACACCAACCATACAATGAACCAATACTTTACCTCCTTCTTTGTATGCAACATCAATAAATTTTAGTATCTCTTCCAATTGACCAGTGATACAATCGAAACCATTATCTTGTAAATTATTTATCTTAAGAATATTAAACCCATCTTGAACAAATTGATGTATTGAGGTACTTGAGAGATGAGTCGTATCACCTGTAGTAATGGTTGCACTTCTTTGTTCTCTAACACTACTTTTCACTACATGTATATTATTAGTAGTACTCATACCACGATTTCGTACATCTATTATGGTAGATGTTAAGTTTGGTTTAACCCATGATATTATTTCACCAACAGATACAATATGAGTAATACCTAATCTTTTCAATAATGCAGGTGATTGAGCATGTTCTAGTGATCCTAGATATAGATGATTTAAAATTCGAGACGGTAAAGGTCCATTTAGTTTATTTAAATTGATATCTGTATCAGGTAATTTTGCAAAAAATATATTGCTGAACATTTCAGAATCAATCTCTAATGGCTCAGGTATATCATTAAGAGGATAGTTATTATATCGTTGAAAGTTTTCTTTGCGTTTAGGACTAAAGCTTCTTATCAATAATTGTAAATGATTTAATACTTGAATATCTGTTTGAAACAAATAAAAAGGTCTCTCACAATCTGTATTAAGCTTAATAATAACTTCCTCTAACGAGATATCCCATAAAAATAACAAATAAGTCACGAGTAAAAAAGTTATTTCTGTATAACCATCTCTGCAATGCAATAATGTCTTATAATTGGTTCTACGAGATATTATATACATGAAATAACATGTATTCAAAATATTCCCAATTGACGAAATATTTAAACTTCCAAGACCAATACTACCAGAACTAGGAAACGAAAACAAAATGTCTTGTTGAGGGTCCAAAGTTACATTCAATGTGTGACATAAAGTATCCCACAACTGTTCAGTTGATAGTAATGAAGCATTTTCTGAACAACGTATAAACAAGTTTCTTTCAACATCTTTCATTTCTTGACATTCAACAAACGGGATATTAAATAGATTCCTTTCTAAATTTGAAGTATCAAATTTGTTAGGTTCCATTTCATTTTTATTATTATTATTCTGAATGGATAAATCGATTGAAGGTAACACTGTGATCGAATTTTCTGGAGAATAATAAGAATATTTTTTATTGTCTTCCAACTTGAATTTTTTATTGTTGTATACGTTATCATTTAAATTGAAAAACTTTATGATTCTGAAATCAGTAGTATTCCCACACCAAAACGAATGTTCAAGGTCAATACATGATCGTGACGTCAATTTAGCCATCTCTAGTTTTTCATGTATTTTAAATGCTCTATCCCAATTATTAAATAATATTGCATCATAAGGAGAAGTAATTGAGCTATTAATTTCTGAATTCTCTTCACCTCTTTTCACTATATTATTCAGAGGAGGTGTCCCTATTAAAGACTTCGGTATCGTTTTATAACCCATATGTTTTAAAATGTATATTTTATCTTTACAATAACTTGATCCATCTTTTCTATCTAATAAAGTCATTGCTAGACTTAGTATGAATCGGAAGTTGACACAGTATTCACATGAATCATGAATATGATGATCCTTCTCATTTAGACAATAGAGCACAACTTTCGATGATAATTCTAACATTTTGGCACACTGTAAATCAAATCTTCTAAAAGAATTAGTGTATTGTTTCCATAATGCATCGGAAGATTTGTCTGAATTAGAGGTAACTGTTACACCAACTTTATCTCTATTAGAACCACAAAATTCTTTAATTGATTCAAAATCTGTCTTTAAAAATGGTAATATTTTAAAGTGAATACACACTTTGATAATAATATTTTTTTGAATATTGGATAAATTAATACTAAGTCTTTCAACAATCCAATCTACTATCTCGCCTAGGAAATCTTTTATTGTAGAAAGGTTCTCTAATATCGAATAATTTTTCAAATAGAATCTTAACATATTATGATTAATAGAATCTGACCAAGCAACAAATATGTCATTTGGCTCAACAGAATTCTTGAGGATCCCTGAATCTTCTAATGTTTCAAAATCTACTATTTGTCTAGATCGTATTATCATGGTTCTTCCTACACCACGTGGAGGACTGTCTGTTGAATAACTGTGTAACCAAGGAAACAATATATCATATGGAGGAATTAATGTAGATATATCCGAGTTTATCCATTCTTGTAGTTCATTAGGCTCAGTAAAATGAATTGATTTATCATTAGAGTTATTGATGTATTCATCATCGAACATACGTTTGGTTAATTCCCTATCTAGCTCATTTCTCAAGTCAATTTCAGATGGTTTCATAGAAATTGCACCTTCTTGAGTATCTAAAATAGAAGATAACATTTGTTAAATGGAAATTTAGAGAAATATGCTAAGGTTTTATTCAAATGCTAAATAGTGTAATAATAGTAATTATCACCGTACTGCCCTACTGTTGAAGTAGACAAATACAAGATACTGTTCTAAGCGCACACACGCACAAACCACGTTTCCAATTAATAATATGTAGTTTTGCCTTAAGTCGTACAACTTTATTAAGCTTGCTCTATTTTAAGATATATAAATACATATCGATCTATTTCTTTGTTATCTATTTAACTCTCTATTTTCCTTTTATGTAGAAAATTAAAAAAAAACAAAAAAAAAAAACATATTTACAATTTTTGGCACACAGCACACAGACTGGGCATCACATTGAAACCTGATGTGACTTTCTAGATTTAAATGAATTAACTACCGAGTCGCCAATTAAATACATTTGGGTAATAAGTTACGCTATATAACGGTTTTAGATCTTTTGAATAGCATATAAATGTCTGAACCCCCCCAAGCATATATTAGTATTGGGTGGTGCAAAAAAGATTTCAAAAAAGATTTTTCAACAAGTGAAATGTATTCTTTAATTCTTATTAGATAGGATTGATGTTCAACATTTGTTATTCAACCTTCTATATTTAAAAATAGTGGCTTTCAACCAAATTTGAAAGTATTATCCTAACTATCTATGACATCGAATATGAATGACATAGAGATTTGTTATAAATACTTACTTATTGGCACGGCTGAAATTACTATCGCAAAATTTTATATAGCAGAATTATCGACAAAAAAACAAACAATAAAGTTCTTGATAAATTTATTAAATTATAACTAAATACAAGATTCTAACATGCATCTAATCTTACGTGAAAAATTATAATATAAATGGCACGTAAACAAAAAAGAATTGTGTTTTGATAGGTTCTTTGTTAGGAATGTTGATAATCTAAACCAAAGTACAGGACTAATTATGTGAGATAGAATTCTTTCGTCGTTTAAGAGATGTAATAGTCCATTAAACGACAGTAATATTCCAGTTTATTTTAGGACACTTAAAGTCAACTTTAAGATTCCTGAGCAAAACTTTAGCAAATTAAAGCGAATTTTTTGGAACCGCTAGACGCCATCTTAAAAATTGAAAAGCTAGCAATGATTTAATAGTCTGTAAATCAATCGCAAGTCTTGGGTTATGTTTTGAATCACTAAACATTGACCAGATAGGTATTTTTTACTTTTTAGAAAATATTTGGATAATTTTCAGGTGAAAATATTAACTCCCATACGAAACATCGCGTATTTGTTATGTTCTCTCTAGTCAAGCTTTCGAACTCGGCTAAACAAACCTTAGGAAGCTAAAATTTGCCCATTATTAGCAAGGCGCTTTTCCTAACAGCCCGAACTTTCGTTGTTTTGTTTTCAAATAAAAAATAATTCTGAAATGTTAATTTTGGTTTTTTGATGGCGGCTCTTTGATGACTTTAGCTGTCTGTGGCTTTCATTTGTGGAATTTTTTCACGGATTTGATGAGTTTTTGTGGGTTTTAAATCCACACCAAACTTAGACTTTAACTCTAGCACGGTTAGGTTCTTTTTCAGAGGAAAAACAAATAGAAATACAAATTTTTCTATTTTACGTGGCATTTTTGGTTTTGTAGGAAATCCGCCCACTTTTGCTTTTGGGGAGCGTCTTCGGATATTTTATTTTTTTAGAGGGCTGATATTTAATACCCTATTTTTCAACTCGATGAAATAAGGCATCGTCTTCTTTTGTAAAATGTAAGCAAAAAATAAACTCGAAAACGCGTCAATTTTGTTATTACACAGTATACAGATATTTAATTACCTTTATAAGAGAAGAAAGAGGTGATAGTTCAATGACAGTAACCTGGTTAACTGTCTATCTTTGACATATTGTGATAGTCAAATAGTTTAACGCATACTCTTTAAAAATCAAAACATAAATTTTAAAACATGGAAGTTGAACAGAACGAAATAGAGATAACGGTTGACAATGCTAGATCTTTCTTACCGAGGTTACCTTTATCCAAAGCGAAAAAGATAGCAAAGATGGATTCTGAATATTTACTGACCGCAAATGCTGCTATGGTAGCAACGACGTTTGCTACAGAATTATTTGTTCAATCCTTAGTAGAGAGTGCATTGGCAATGAATCAATTGAGTCGTAATAATAAAAGTAAACCAGATTCACAAAAGGTGAAAAATTCAAGATTAACTTATAATGATTTATCTGAATCTGTATTAAGACAAGAATGTTTCCAATTTTTGGAAGATGTAATACCGAAAGTGCAGCCACAATCAAAGACTAATAGAAAGAATCAAGTTGCCAAAAATTTTGTAAAATCAAAAGATAATGATGAAAATGAGGATGGAGATGACGTTGAAATTGAAATTGATAATGATGATATCGAAAATCAAGAGGAGCAAAAAGCAAATACTACAGCGGAAATAAATGAACAAAATGCAACAAATAAACAACATACATTATCTTTCTTTAAAAAATATCAATATACATCAACGGATAAAGGAAATAAAACAAGTGATGAGAATGTTGAAGAAGAAGAAGAAATAGAAGAAGATATTGAAATGGTTGACGAGAATCCAGTTAATGAAACTGATGAGGACGAAGATGAGGACGAAAACATTGAAGAAGATAGTATAATTGATTCAGAACTTCAGGAACATCTTTCTCAAGTAGAAAAGTTGGATCATGTTATCGATGTTGATGTCGACACAGAAAAGGATTCGATGATACGGGAACGTATGGCACTAAACAGAAACCAGGAAGATAATAACGATGAATTGAGTTCGTCTGATAGTGATGATGGTATAGATCTGCTCGCTAAGTAGTGTATGTAATACCTATACAATAATTTGAGTCAAGTTGTTGTTGGTAATATATAGAATTTTGGTCGAAATTTATATAAATTGGAACAGTTACCCTTATTTTGCACGTGACTTTTTGTCTCTTTTTCTTAGTACTTTTGCTACTGAATGGAAAAGAAAGAAAAAAATATGGCACGAGGAAATGTTAACAACGTAAACTAAGCGAAATTTATTGATATGTAAAACAGAATTAGATAAAAAAATTGGCAATTCCTATTCAAATCTTAGCATAGAAGTAGAAGGGATATTTCGATAACTTAAACATTGTGAATAGTTCAATAGCTTTATTTTGGTTGCTTTCATTTGTTATCTTCACTGAAGTAAATCGTACAACTACCAAGGACGACATAATCTGAATCCATATACATATATATATTTTTGCAATGTCTAGGAAACAAGAATATATTGCTAGAGTTAGATATTTTAACAATCTTCCAGCACCTTCTGTGCCTCCAAAGTTATTGAATTATGTTACTAAACCAGATGAAAACGCAGATGCTCCTCAATTGGTTACTGCGTTATATAATAAAACCAATATAACCCCTTTGATTAACCTCGATAATGATCTAGGTATGCCATTGGATTTGATGAATATTCCAGGTTTGTTGAATAAAAATGATACGAAACTTTTATATGGGTTTGAGAATGTCAAATTACATCCAGATGACCGTGTTTTATTAAGGGATCCAAGAGCTGATAGATTGGCAAAGACCGATACAGCAAAAGTTAGTTTCTTAAGAAGAACAGAATATGTTTCATCAACCAATGCAACTCCAGCTGGTACAGGTAATGGGAAAAAGACAGGAAGGAATATTTATGAAAATAGAGGGGGGTTAAATAAAGATGGGGATGATGATAGAATACTCACAGCACCAGAAATTGTTACTAAAGTGGAAAACACTTTTGAATCAAGCGCAGAAGATTTATCTAAGTTGGTACATCCAATTAAACGTCATCTGAAGGCAGTTGAGTCCTGGAATTTACTTCCAGATACAGCCTCCATGGATGAAAATTACTTTTCATTAAGGTTAGTCGGTAGTGCTGCATTAGAAAAGAGAGAAAAGGATAAATTGGCTTTGAAGACTGCTATATTTAGACCTGTAGAGTTAGAAGAGGATGAATGGATTTCTATGTATACTACTGATAAGACTGATTCTGATATTATCAGCAAAAATATTGAAAAAGTTATTAGTGAGAAAGCCGGTGATAATGATGAGAATAATGAAAAAACATTTAAATTTAAAAGAGTTAGAGATTTTGATATGCAACAAGCACAAAAGACTACAGATGAAGGTATGCCAGATTTGGATCAATCTCGACTTGGTGAATTGGCTATACTATTCAATCAAGAAAGAGGTATTGCTTATTATAAACCACTACGTGCTAGAATTGAATTAAAACGTAGACGTGTCAATGATGTTCTAAAGACTATTGTTAGAGAACATACGGTTGATCAAATTAATATAGCCGTAAGGAATCCAACCACAAAGGAAGCCAATGCTGTTGATAGACTAAGAATGAAATACGATCCAATTAATTTTGTTCCAGTCGACGATGAAGATAGTAGCAACAGTGAAGATGAAGCCAACAAAGGAGATTCTAACGGAGAAAATGTTAGTAGTCAAGAATCTTCTGGTGAGAAATAGTAAATATCTACTCCTTTTGCCACTGATTGGAGTGTTTTTATAATATTATTAATTAAAAATAAAGTAATTAGCATTCGAAAGTAATGATAAAATGTACTATAGTAAACATTCAAGAATATTCGTATTGGTTTGTAGTATGGTCTATGTATTTTGCATATATTTAGTGTATACCTTTACGATTTTCTTCACACAAACACAGCACTTCCCTACAACTTCCAAAAATTCATGAAGTCCTTATTATAATTGCAGAGCTCTGCCAGCCTCCAGCTGCAATACCCACGCAGATATTTCCTTGTCCAATATCAATTTTTCGTGGTCTCTCTACAATAACGTTATTATGACCCTCAAGATGACCCCATGGTTGATTTTCATATACTCCTAAACCAAGACAACCACACATTTGGCTCTCAGACCCAGAAACGTATATCTGACCCTTTTTGGTCAAAATAAGTGTGTGGTAGTCTCCACTAGATAGGGAGACGATATGGTCATCATTTTCTTCGTCAACCTTCAATTCCTTTATCGTTTCCAATTGAATCTGGTTATCTTCTAATTTGAATGAATAACAATGATCAACGGTGAACAGGATTATCGAGTTATAGCAGGACACCAATTTAGAAATCTTTTGTTTTATTGGGGTCGTTATTTTTTCTGTCCTTTTATTAGAATATCTATACAAAAATTCACCAGCCTCATCGATGTAAAATACCACTTTATCTGAGAGACAAGTAAAATCAATAACTTTATTCTCACCACTTGATTGGAACGTTTCAGGGATAACCTCGTAAACCGCATAACTACATGTTTCTCCAGACTTTAAGGGATCACGTTCTCTCCAAACTACTAAACCAATGTTGTATTGATAGATACAATTAAAATTCCATCCGCAGGCTATTTTTAGAATGGGATCAACGGATGATTTTGGTAAGTCTTTAAATTTAACTTTAATTCCATCATTTGATTCGGGACTATCCCACACATATATATTCCCTTCTGTAGACAAGGCCAAGAAATGGCTTCTACCAGAAGTGACAGCTGAAAATTTCACCGAATCCAGTAACTTTTTATCAAACCGAAGAACAGTATCATTGCCCATATTATATAGGGGTAAACATTCCCTTGGAAACATTCTCGTCAAATATTTATTCCCAGGTACAGTTTCTGTAATTTCCTTATTAAGTGACTCCAAATTCTGATATATGTCTGTGTGAGGTGAGTTGACAGTAGGAACACCATTTGTGTGGTCGGGTTGAATACTAACTGTACGGTGAGTATTAATTGGCGTAGGGCCATGATGTGAGGTAGTGGGATTTGTAAGTTGTGAAAAGCTTAATTCTAAGAGATGTGCAAGTTCCCTAAATTGGTTATAATCTGATTGGCCCTCCCTTGGTCCAGGTCCTCTTAACCCACCGGTGAAAGATGTTCCAGTTGAGTATATTCTACCTGCTTTAGTTAATACCTGGAATGAAAACCCCCCAGCGGCAACAGATACTATGCTATCGTTATTATTGTGAGTGGAGTTTTCCTCTGAATCCCATGGCACCTGGGTTGGAAGAAATACAGCCATTCTGGTAGGATTATAGTTATACGGCTCAGCGTCATCTCCTGTGTTTTCTAGTATTGGAGTTAAGTAATTTGTTAATGGATTAATAAAAGGGTTTGATGATGCAGTATAACCAAGTCTACCTTGCTTAATGGAGCCCCAGGTTAGCAGCTTTGCGGTTTCTGTTCTTATTTTATAACGGTCAGCCCAGGTGCTAGGTAATGTTGGATTACTCATAATTTGTTCAGAGCAGGACTTGAATGTAGCTGGACCTTTCCCTTGAAACGGCTCAACATTACTGTATGGTGAACCGTAAACTTTATGGTATAGTTCCTTCCAAAGAGTATCAGAATTCTTGTAATCTAATAGACGATGATAGTACTTATTTGTTAACGACAAATTTTTGATATCCTCAGTGGACAGATATGGTAGAGTTTCTAATATGACATCTGGTGGTAGTTCATTGTTATGATTTTCATCAGTTAAGGGCATTTCAAACTATGTGGTTGTTTGTCTTTTATATGGTTGCTCTGAGTTAAATTGGTTAACATAGAAATTTATAAAGTTTCCCCTAATTTTTATTTTTGTTAAACAGTTGCCTTTTTTAATGTTACTGAAGTCCGCGTAAAGTATTTAGCCATTTGATAACTTCAATTGAAAACTAAAAGGAAAAACGTGAAAGGTTTAAAAATTATTTATGCTATAATGTAAATACTGAAAATACTGTAAAATTGACTATAACCTATTAATAACATTATAAAGGATCTCAGCCATATTAGAGAAATTTTTAATACGCAAATTTTCATTGTATAAATGACCATTATCAGTAGATTGACCACATGGTATTTGTACTGCAGACGCTTCGAATATTCTTTCTAACGTACGAATACAAGGGATAGAACCACCTTCTCTTACAAATAGTGGTTGCATATTCCAAGCTTTTGTAATTTCTTCCTTTAATATTTGGTAAGCATCATTCTTTGGGTCTCCCAACCAAGGTTCGGCAACGTTAAGAATTTCTACCTTTAAGTGGTTACTAGATGAAAGTGTTTCAAAACATTCTGTTACATATTCTTGAAGGTTTTCTTTTACAGAATCAACGCTTTGACCTGGAACCAGACGGATAGATATACCAATAGAAGCTGATCTCGGGATAACTGTTATATTACCAGGACCACTTGTACATAATGTAGTCAGAGACAATGAAGGTTTTGTCCAATTTTTAATTAATTCTTCAGTTGAGCCATTCTTTTCCATTTCCGCCACTTCTGAAATTTCAGAAAATCGTTTCAACTCTTCTTGATCAATTTCTTTAACATTATCGTAGAAATTTGGGATGCTGATTGTGTCATCATCATTTTGTAATTTGGATGCAATTCTAATTATATCAGTTGTTGGTTCTTGTAGAATACCCCCACTAACACCAGAATGACTATCTGGTACATCGGAGTAAACCGTGACTCTTGCATTAATGACACCTCTTAAACCATAGTTCAAGCATGGATGGAGAGTATCTACCCAAGTAGAATTACTTAACATAATCCAATCTATTTGTTCTCCGATTATATTCTTATATTTTTTACAAACTTCTGCAAACCCTGGGGAACCAATTTCTTCATTACCTTCAAGTAGGAAGATGACATCATTTTTTAATTTATTTTGTTTGTGCAACATAGAGACACTATGAATAGCGCTCACCAAGGGGCCCTTATTATCACTAACACCACGACCCTTCAAATAACCATTTTCACAAGTTAAAGTAAATGGAGCAGTATTCCATCTGTCTCTATCACCTGGATGGATTACATCATAATGACCATACCAAAGTATTCTACGTTTATTTTCACTTTTTTCATTGCCAGTGAAAGTAGCCACAACAGTTGGATTTAAAGAGTCAGAAATAGGTAATAATCTGGATTGAGAAGCACCAAGATTCGCAAACAACTGTTGTAAATAAGTAGCACATCTTCTCGATGATAATCCAAAACTTGTGCCTTCCATGTTCTGAGAGACTGTTTCAAACGCTATTAGATCCTTGAGGGTATCTAACATATTTTCCGTATTAACGTTCTGCGTCTGCATCGAATCAGACCAATTTTCTTCTAATTGGGTCAAACTTAGATCTTTACCACAAACTGTGCATGATAAATTCCATAAAGTTAACGAACCATCATTACCACCAGTTAATAGATTTGGATAAACTTTCCCATTTGGTCCAATTCTTTCAAATATACCAGAACTTAAAATTTTACCTTGATGTGTATTAATTAATTCGACTTCACCATTTTGGAAAAGAGTTATACCACTTTCATTTGCGGCATATATGCAATCATTATATACAGACAATGAAATAATATCTGATTTAATAGGGGTTGATAAAGTTGAGACACTTTGATTTGTACTTAAATCCCAAATTTTTACTAAACCATCGCCTAACCCACAATAAAGGAATGGAAACTCTACGTCTTGAGATAGCACACTATCTTCACAATCTAACATTTTACAAAAATATAATGCAACATCGTTGTGTTCATCGGCAACAAATACCCAAACTTTTGAAGTCCCATCACCACTACCACTAATAATATATTCAGAAATAGTGGCATCTTTAACGGGAGGGCACCCACTACAATCACTTTCTAGTAAATCCTTAAATTGTGAATCTAATTCACATATTGAATATATGAACCCATTATGTGCATAATTGACAATATTACTCGAAGGAATCTCCAGTATTGTATTACTCAAAATTGCAGGATTTTCGTCCAGGGAGAAACTTTCAATCGATGATTCCTTAGCTAAAAATGGACTAGCTGAACCTGTAGGTCCATTAGAATCAAAAAATTTATTATAACGTCTATGTGGCAATCTATTTGCATTTGATTCGTCACTTGATAAAACACCTTGTAATCTTTTAAAAACATTATCCAAATATAATAAACTTGCATTCTGGCATCCGAACACTAAGGTCTCTAAGGAATCAATATATCTAATTGAGAAAATATCGCCAATATCTGTCACTGAATAAATAGTGACCAATTCATCAATTTTCACATCAGTATCAACCGTATTGATTACTTCACCAATTGACCATATTCTAACCAAAGAGTCCGCACCTGCTGAGAATAGAGAGTTTTCATCCATTGATTTATCCAAACAGAGAACACTTGATCTAGTGTTCACATCGATAGATTGACCCAGATGTAATACTTTAATTAGGTTGTAAGTAACAGTATCGAACACTAAAATCTTTGAATCCTGTGTACCGGCAAACAACAATTTCTTACGAGGAAATGCACATGTGGATAAAATAGAATATGTGTGACTCCATTTATGTACCAACTCCAATGACTCAGACATCCTTTGTAACGATGATGATGATGCTAAAGTTGTATATGTAAAAAAAACAAAGATTAAGAAAGAGATAAACTTTGTTGTTATATTGCAATAAAAGCTCAATCTAGGTTATCTTATACTACCTTCAAATTGATAAGTACCGTCTCTCAGATCGTAAACCTTATAACTAGCAATGTTGACTATCTTTACACAGTTGAAATAAATAATATGCGTAAGTCACTATGAATGCACGGGACAAGTGAAAAATTATGTATGGATGACTTTAGAGACCTTCTTTGCCCAGAGAAATCAAGGAGAATTAAGAATAGTATCTGCAGAGATAACAATAAAGAACATTGTTATACAAAGGATTATAACGGTTAAATACTCCAAAACACATTGTGTGTACTCAATCATACATAAAACGTATTAAGTAGGATTCATTCAAATATTCCGTAGTATCTTTCATAAATAATCATTCAATAAGCGAATGTGTATATATATATAGTAATACAGATTGTTTAATAAAATGAGATCAATTTAAGTAGAAAAGATTGGACATTTGAACCACAAATGGTTCCACTACTCCGTTTCATCAAAAGATTACCACCCTAATACCTCACCATTTATTTTGAGACGTCCCTCTCAAAAGGTTTCCTCTATTATATATATGTTCCAATAGTATTTTTGTTCGTTGTTAATGTTTCACGGCGAAGAGCGCCCTTTCACTTTTTTGGTCGGGTTTGCATTTACTTTGAGAGCGATTTGTGAAAACTAAAATTGAAATTAATTCGAAAGATTGAGATAAATAAATTACAGGGGGAGATACACTTATAGAAGTTGCTATAAACAATATACGACAGATTCAAAATAAGACTCATTTAAGTGTGTGCGTGTGTGTGACTATATAACGTTAATAAGGTAGAATATTCTAACAATGAAACCTACAACCGTAAGATATTTCAGTCAAACTGCAGTGGAACAACTTACAAGACCCTGGAAGAAATACCGTGATGGTACATTATTTTATGGTTTAAGTAAATCAGGAAATAGAAGAACTGCATTAACTACGAAGCAAGGGAATAAGACAATGTATAAAGGTACTAGAGCATCAGGTATCGGTAAACATACCAAGTTTGGTGAATATGTGATAAACTGGAATAAAGTACGTACATATGTGACACCTAAATTTTTAAATATGGATTTAAAGCCCTTATTAAGTAGTAATTTACCTGTATTAAGACATGAATTTAAAGGTTATCCAAAAGGTCCACAAGACACTAAATTATATATTCAAAAATTGAAGGATTACATCAAGAATGGTAAAGTTCAAAGTGAAGCAAGTGATGTTAACTGCTACGTTGAAAGAGGTTAAATTGAATTAATCTCATCCTTTTAAAAATCTGTAAATAAGATAAGACATTAAATGAGCAAACATATATATATATATGAATGTCAAAACAAAATGAAATGAAAAAATTATGTGCACGTATATATATATATATATATATATTCGCATAAGTAATTAAATATTATATTTTACACTATTGTCAAATTTTGGTACATATGCTATATATTAATACAAAAAACTTATAAAATCATATATATACCAATGAATAAGTGTTTGGGTGTAAGTTTTTACTTTGTACTTGAAACTTATATTTGATGCAGTTAGATAAAATAAAAGGGATATAACAACTGAATGGTAAGAATCATATCATTGTCTATAGACCCATACCAGCTTGTAAAACATTACCTAAGTTACTTTCACCACCATTTTGTTGGAAATCTAAGGAAACAATTTCCAACAAGGAGAAACCACCGGCAACACCGACAACAATACCAGCACCTTTACCCTTTAGACCCAATAGTTCACCAATAACGGCCACTATAGCAAGAATAGCTGCACCAGTAGAAGCTGCAGTTGGGATGACTTTGCTTAGTTCCTTGGCCATGTTTTGTTCTCTACGACCTAACAAAGTAATACTTTGTTCCTTGAAGTCTCTGGCAATATCATGGGCAGATCTACCAGAGATAGCTTGCCATTTACTGGCAAACCAAACACCAGTAGAAACCATGAACAAAGTGTAAACAACAAAGGACAATGGTTGTTCGGTAAGACCACCAATAAGAGATCTTGGTGGGGTTAACATTGATAATGGGAAGGTTGGAGCAGCAATAATGTTGTTAACATTTTCGTAATGGCCTAGTACTTTACAGATTATATTTTCTTGGTTGTTCTTGGCAACAATTTGAATTAAAATGAAGGCACCGATATGAATGTAAAACAAGCAAACATAAGAGAAGATAACAGATAGACAACCAGTGTAAATCAATTGAATTGGGTACATTTGATTGGTACCACGAGCTCTTGTAGATCTGATGGCAATCTCATAACGGTAATTTTGTAAATAACATACAAAACCACCTAAAGCAATAACCAAGAATGTAGTAGTCATGTTTGGTAAATAATCTCTGTTGAAAGCAGAGATGATACCACCTAATAAAGTTCTATGTTTAGCTCTTAGACCTTGAATTAAGTTAACTAAAGCACCTTGTGCTTCATTGTTACCTTCCGCATCAACAGTAATTTGAGTGACACCTAAGGTGTCGGAAACCAAATTAGTGGAAACAGCAATGGTATTAATGATCATAGCACCTGCACCAAGACCGAACCCTTTGTCAATAACTTCGGTTAATAGACAAGCAAATAAACCACCCATTACTATTTGAATGTTAATAACAACCATTTGAGCAATAGATAAATGAGAACCATAGTAACCAGAGAAAATGAAAATGTTAGCAAGGACGAAATATTGGAAAAGAGAGAATAGTTTTGTTAGGGATTGGAATAATTCTCTGTCAGCTTTCAATTTAAAGTTAACTTTAATAACTTTCAACCCAGCAAGTAATTGTAATATAATACCACTGGCAAAGATAGGTAATAGACCGAATTCCAAAACGGTATGTGGTTCAGCAGCAAAGACACCACGTAAGAAATACAATGGGTCATTGACAGTTGGAACGTCATCTTTACGAAGACCTGCTAATGGGAATTGAGCAAAAAGGTAAATTAAACCAGTGAAGATAGTATAAACCATCTTATCATCAAAGGAGATCTTTTCATAAGGAACCTCAACTTCTGGTAAGATTGGGAGGAATGGCTTTGCCAAATCGATCAAACGGAAACCAGCCATATTGTAATGTGTCGAGTTTGGTTAACTATTTCGATAAATAACTGAAATATGATACAAAATAAACTAAGGCTTCTAAAATGGAAATCAGTATTTCAATTTATTTTAATAACAAACGTTAATTAATAGTAACCTTCGTAATAAATTGTACCTTTAACGATAACGGCGACAACGACACGAACACGTAGTGTATGTAAAAAGTATAAGAAGAGACGACAATTACAGTAACAAAAATTTGTCTGTTCTGTTTCCGCGACCAAAATTTTTCACTTTCCTGTGTCGTCACAAATGATTTCAAGAATGCTTGATTTTAAACAGCGGTTGTAAAATTGAATTACTTAGATAACGACTGAAACTAAAGGTATAACCTGATTGGTGTTCAAAGAGGTGCTAGTTACTCTCTGGGCTTGAAAAAAAACATGGATCGAATTAATAATTCATAAAATATCTATTTGAATAACAAAAAGATTAAGGTCCCCAAATTATATAGTAAATGCAATCCGCCATACCCATCTATCGCACAAAAGGTTTAATCATTGCAAACTAATCAGTAGTGTTCGTAATAGAGGTAGTATGCTATTCTTGGACTGAATTCACATTTCTTCATAAATAAAGGTCTTTATTGTTATTTTTCCTATTTTGAATTAAATTGAATTGTTTTGACGATCTGTCCAAAGGTATAATTTAGCCGCCAAATGTCGCAAAAATGGGAAACTAATTAATAAATATTTTTTTTTTTGATTTTGTTATGTCAACTACCATAAAACACAAATAATTTACATAAGTAATTATTTGAAAGAAGAAGACTATTTCATATCTAATATTTATTTAATTTTGTACTTATATTTTTCAACAAGTAAAATCACACCAAGGTCTAACAATCAACCGTTGTATATCCCAAATGTCAAGTGTCTTCCAATATCTACAATCACGCTTCTATTCTAATAATGATAGTAATTATAATAACACTAATGCTAATGCTGCTTTTAATAATGTAACTTCTATTAATACTGGAAATGGTGGAAATACGGAGAGTAGTTCCAGAGTTGTCAGTCTAGATATAACTAGTATTGCATCAGATTACAACGATGATGATGATGATAATGATAATGAAGAAGAGGAGGAAGAAGTGAGTAATACAGAGATGGCATATTATTTTCAAAGTTTTCGAAATAAAAAGACTAGTAGTATGGATTTAACTTTTAGAATATGTCGAATGCAAGCTAGTGATATTCAGCAACAAGCTGGTATTACTCAAGATGATCCAAAGAAAAGACGTACAAGGAGTGAAGAAGTACCATTAATATATAATAAGAAGAGACAAACTACAAAAACTGAACCTGAATTAGAATCCAAACCAGTAGACTATGATGATAAATGGCTAAGAATCCTCAAGGGTATTAATAGACGTAATTTTAACACAGGAAGAAAATATAGACATGTAGAAGAAAGAATCTGGAATAATTCGACTATTCATCACTCTACAACTATTGAACTACCAACTGTTGATTAACTTCCTCCCCTCTCTTTCCAAGAATAAAAATAAAATTATATTACGTTTAGATCAAAATTTCTTCATATTTTACAACAACACAATTTGCATGTACTTAGATCTTGCAATAATGAATTGGTCAATAACAAAAAAAACCAACAACATATACTATTTTACTGATAACATATAATTCTTAATATATTTATGCACATATATATATAACACCAATCAACGGAAAAAACTTCCTAATTTCAATATGTATTTAAATATATCAGACCACTTTTATACTGCACAGAGAAATCCGTCATATTAAACAATTAGGTCTTACAAGTTACCAACAGACCAAATGACAAATTGATCGACTGATTCTTCGGACAAGGGAAATATATACATGTATATTCAACGAATAGAATCGCATCTATTGGAAAACCCGACATTGTACTCCAAACCATTATGCCCTGTCACTTCATCATTCTTCCTCTCTTAAAATAGACGTTACATATATATGCTTTGACAACGGTCTCTCTCTTTCTATTGTTTAAGTTGTAACTATTCTCAACTAACTGGCTGCTGTTTGTTGTATTATGACATGTTATAATATAGATGACCCATTTATTATGTTGTGTACTGCTAATTATTACAGTGAACCTCTCTTTTCTTCGTAATTTTCTGTGCTTATCGGGTCATCCCCTCAGTGCAACTTTTGAAGATGTGGGTGCGCCGTCCCTGTTTGTCTAACAAGAAGAAGAACTTTCACAGAAATTTTGATACTTTTCCAGAAGTCATTTTAATTAAAGGGTAAAAAAAAGATAATACTGAAATATATATAAAGGGAACAGAACTATAGAAATTTCGTTTCTTGTTACTTTGAGTGTATTTCTTCTTGAATTTGTTTTTTTTTTGTTCCGTTCTATTGGTATTATACTCTCTGTCAAGATATAAAAACCGTTAATATATATACATATAATCAGTTCCAATATGGTATATATGAATTTGGTTGCATTAGCACCCTTATTATTTTCTGTTGAAGCATTTGTGCTTCCAGATATGTTTCAACAAGAATTTGCTACTCCTGAATTACAACAATTCTTTGAAGGTAAAGATGAATTAACTCGTGAAGTTCTAAAAGATTCTTCAGCTGTTAATTATTGGAAACCACATGTTCCATATTTTTTGAAACCATTAGTTGAAACTGAAAAATTACAAAAAAAGATTCAACTTGATGATTTAAATGCTACAGCTCAAGACTTATATGATTTAGCTAAAAAATCTCATAAAAAATATGGTCATCCAACTCGTGTTATCGGTTCTCCAGGTCATTGGGCTACCATTGATTATATTTTAGAAGCATTAGATGGTATGTCAGATTATTATAATTATACTTTACAAGAATTTGACGCTTTATCAGGTAAAATTAATTCTTTTAATTTAACTGATGCTAAGACAGGTGTTAGTTTCCCAAATTCTACTGCTTTTTCATTATCTCCATCAGTCAAACCATTCACTGGTGAGTTAATTGAAATTCCAAATTTAGGTTGTAATGAAGCTGATTATAAATCTTTAGAAATTTTCAATAAAGATCAATCTGAAGATAATAGTGTTAAAAAGATTGCTTTAATTGAAAGAGGTAAATGTCCATTTGGTATTAAGAGTGATCTTGCTGGTAAACATGGTTTCCATGCTGCTGTTATTTATGATAATGAACCTGAAAATGGTGGTGAGGGACTTCATGGTACATTAGGTGAACCAAGAAATCACACAATTTCAACAATTGGTGTATCTTATGATGTCGGTGTCTTATTAGTTACAAATATTGAAGTCTCAAAACATTATTTTGTTAAATTTGAAATGGATTCTACTGTAAGTAAGATTAAAACTAAAAATGTTATTGCTGATACTAAACATGGTGATCCAGAAAATATCGTTGCTCTTGGTGCCCATTCTGATTCCGTCGAAGAAGGACCAGGTATTAATGATGATGGTTCTGGTACAATTTCTTTATTAACTGTCGCTAAACAATTAACACATTTTAAAATTAATAATAAAGTCCGTTTTGCCTGGTGGTCAGCTGAAGAAGAAGGCCTACTAGGTTCAAATTATTATGCTTATAATTTAACTAAAGAAGAAAATCATAAAATTAGAGTCTTTATGGATTATGATATGATGGCATCACCAAATTATGAATATGAAATTTATGATGCAAATAATAAAGATCATCCAAATGGTTCAGAAGAATTGAAGAAATTATACATTGATTTTTATAAACATCACAAATTAAATTATACATTAATTCCATTTGATGGTAGATCAGATTATGTTGGTTTTATTGAAAATGGTATCCCAGCTGGTGGTATTGCTGCAGGTGCTGAAAAAGATAATGTTTGGAATGGTAAAGTATTAGATAAATGTTATCATCAATTATGTGATGATGTTAGTAATTTAGCTTGGGATGCATTTTTAATTAATACTAAATTAATCGCACATTCTGTTGCAACTTATGCTAATTCATTTGAAGGATTCCCATTAAGAGATGTTAATGCTACTGCTGATATTACAACCACTAGTACGAACGATGTTTACAACGAAGTACCAGTACCTCAATTTAAGTACGCTGCAGACTACTTGGTCTACTAATTTATTTAGTCTACCAGTGTATTTTGTACGTATGTTTTTTTTCTCCTCCCCTCTGCTACCCCTTTACTTATTCAAATACCCTGTTGTGTTTTTAAATAAATATTATCTGTAACAGTTTCTATTATATTTAATAAATTAATTTAATTATTCATCATCACATCCTGTGTTAGTATTATTCTTTATAAAATTTGTACGTAATTCTGAATAGTGGCCAAACCCTAGTATTCCTTTTAGGGTTCAGGCACGCCCCCAAAAACGAAAATTTTACTCAGCCTCAGTCCACCCACACACCACATAACCACATTTCCACAGCCTCTCTCTTTCTCTTTCTATTTGCTCCCTCCGGATCAAAATTTGCACACAGAAAAGATCGTAGAAACAAGAAGGACACCCTTTAAAAAACGTTTAATTTCAATTTACTTTTTTAGGGTTTTAATTCAGGTAACCTTGATTGTGAGATGTGCGATATCTCTAAATTTGCATTATCCAATTTCTAAATTGACATCACATCATACACCATATATAAGGCAACTTTGATAACCAATTATAGAACTGAAGTTAAAGAAGTTAAAGAAGAATAAATCTTGATAGGTTGTGTGTTTTTAAAATAATTATAAGTTTAATTCGTAATAATATCTATCTATATATATATTCATATCATTAGTATATTTAAGTTCATATTTATTTGCTATATTTATTTGAACCTTATTTAGTTCTATTTCAAGGAAAGGAGTTTTCGGATTCCACAATTAGTTCCAATTAGAGATCAAACTCAAAAATATTTGATGAATTCGGCTGTTGCAGAAACTTTTACTTTTTCTCATCTAGCTTATCTAGTATTTGAATCTGTCTTACAGGTAGTAATTATTGCATTAGCTGGGTTTTGGAGTGCACATTCAGGATTATTACCAAAATCATCACAAAAAATTATATCTTTATTAAATGTCGATCTATTTACACCATGTCTGATTTTTAGTAAATTAGCCAAATCTTTATCGATGGCAAAAATTATGGAAATTGGTATTATTCCAATATTTTTTGGTTTAACAACAGGTATTTCATTCATATCAGGTAAAATTATGTCAAAAATATTACGATTAGATAAAGATGAATCAAATTTTGTTATTGCAAATTCAATTTTTGGTAATAGTAATTCTTTACCCGTTTCTTTAACACTATCCTTAGCTTATACTTTACCTGATTTGACTTGGGATCAAATTCCAAATGATAATAGAGATAATGTTGCATCAAGAGGTATATTATATTTATTAATCTTCCAACAAATTGGTCAAATGTTAAGATGGTCATGGGGTTATAATAAATTAATGAAATGGTCTGGTGAAAATACTGAACATATGCCACCTTCTCAAATACTTGCATTACAAGAAGCAGGTGGTTCATTACCTTCTCCACCTTCTTCATCTGATTCTGTAACAAGACCTGCATCTACACCAGATTCAATATCAATGTCTGTTGAGCCTACTGATGATAATGATGAGGAATCGGATGAATTATTAGCTACAGCTGGTGAGAATAGTACTGTTAAATATAAATCATGGTTTCAATGTGTTAGAATATTTAATAAGATTAGATCATATTTGAATCCACCATTATATTCTATGATACTTTCGATTTTAGTCGCTTGTATTACACCTTTACAACATGAATTATTTCATAAAGATGGTTTTTTTAATAATACACTTGCTGAAGCAATTACTCAATTAGGGTCTGTGTCGATTCCATTAATCTTAATTGTATTGGGTTCTAATTTATATCCATCCGATGAAGTTTTCCCAAAGACAAAAAATCATACTAAATTGCTAATTGGTTCCATTGTTGGACGTATGATTTTACCATCATGTTTCCTTCTACCAATCATTACAATCGCAGTAAAATATATTAATGTTAGTATATTAGATGATCCAATTTTCTTAGTGGTAGGATTCTTATTGACTGTATCACCTCCTGCTATTCAATTAACTCAAATTACGCAGTTGAATGAATTCTTTGAAGCTGAAATGGCAGATATTTTATTTTGGGGTTATGCTGTATTAAGTTTACCGGTAAGTATTATTGTCGTTTCAGTATCCATATATGTCTTACAATGGGCTAATCCTTCTTAGATTATACTTATTCCAGCACTTCATATTCTAACCTTCCCCCCCCCCGTACCACAAAAAGTTTACTCATAGTTCTTTTCGAAACATTTTTCTTTCTATAAGTTTATAAAACATTTTGTTGTTGTTTTTTAGTTCATCCATTGTAATGTTCTTTGTGATCTATATAAACTTTATAAAAATCGATCAATATTCAATCCTACACAATTGTTTAACAAGAAACTACTTTCAATATATCATATGTAAGTCAGGTATATTTCAGTTGTTGTTTTTTTGCCTATACCAATGTGTATGTGTGTGTATGTGTTTTTACATATCGATTTATTATACATATATATGTATTTACTTTTGTATATTCATGCATTATTTTTTTTATTTTTTTATGTTCATTTTCTTTTAGATTGTTTCAATAAGGATGCAAATCCACCACTTAGTTTTTTCTTTCTCTTTCCTAAAGCTGCACTAGCTGATTTAGCATTGATAAAACTTGCCTCTTCATCTGAAGATGATGATGATGAACTATCACTAGAATCGGAATCAGAATCAGAATCAGACTTGGAATTGGAGCTGTTCTTATCAGAGTCAGAATCAGAATCAGAACTAGAACTAGATTCGCTCTCTGATTCGTCACTAACGCCATTGCCACCCTTAATTTGGGAGTTGTTGCCAACTGATTTGTTAGCCTCAGTTCTACCATTTCTTAATTTGCTCTTATCTTTAACGTCAGGGATACCTCTGGATGCAAGATCAGAAAGTGATATTAAGGATGGACGAATTTTTTTAGGCAAGTCAGCAACATCATCGATAGAATCTTCTATTGTTGCAGATGTCTTATTTACTGGAGTCTTTCTCTTTGAAATTTCTGACATTTTAACCTTTTCTGCTGGCTCTCTTTGGGTAGAAGTAACCATATCACTTTCTTTGAATAAGGTATCATTGGAATTCTTTTGCGAGGGCACTCTTGAATTAACTTTTCCCTTAGGTGGAGCAACAATCTTTCTTCTCGATTTTCTACTATTAACAGAATCATCTTCATCTGAAGAAGATGAGGATTCATCAGAAGATTCTTCGGAAGAAGAAATACCATTTGGAGAGTTGTCTTCAGAAGATGAGGAAGAATTGCTCTCGGTTTTTTGTTTACGGTTAACTGTCGGACTTGATTTTAGGTTCTTAGATGTGTCCTTTGACATTTCTGGAACATTTGCTTCATTGGGATTTATGGTTTTTGGACTAATTGTATCAGTTTTCTTTTCCATTTTCTGCTCAAGTTTAGAAACAACGACACTTCCGGAACTTTTAACAGTGCCTGTAGTCTTGATAGGTTTCTCTTTTTCATTTTGTTTACTGTCAGTTTCACTTTCAGAATCAGACTCAGATTCAAGATATTCAGGAGTTTGGAAAATTTTTGATTTAGAAGGTCCGCCTCTAGTCACTGGTGTTTTCTTACCTTCTGTACTGTTACTTTTAATTACCCGTTTTCCATTGTTTCCATTGCTTGTTCTTTTACTACCTTCGTGTTTTTTAACAAGGTTAATACTACGATTTGATTCATCATCACTAGAATCATTTTCTTCGGAACTTTCATCAGAACTGCCACTTGAAGAATTTGATCCCTCAGTAGAGCTTTCATTTCCACTCGTATTTTCATCATTTTCAGTTTTCTTCTTGTTCATAGCGGTAGGTAATTTATCCTTATTCTTCAAACTGATATGTGGGTTTGAACCAGTCATGTCAGGAACTTTGTTTGCTACCGATGGTGTTGCCAGGATTGGACCTAATTTCACCGTAGAATCTTTAGTTGTGTCTTGCTTAATTTGTTGCGGTTGTTTAGGTTCGGATTTCTTCTGTTTAACAGTGGCAGCCTTTACAGTATCCTTCTTTTTGGCATCAGTCTTCGGTTTTGAAATGGATACCTTTTGGAGTTCAGAGGATTTTGTTTCAGCTCGTTTGTTAACAAATTTTTCAACGTTTAATGTCTTGTTTTGGGAAAGGCTTTGGATAATGATATTCCTTCCTCCCTCTTCCTCATCTCCATTCTCGTCCTCTTCGGATGACGAATCGTTATTACCTATAGGCATTGTTGTTTTACTTACATTTCCTGCATTAAGTTTTTCACGTATGACTTGGACACTTGAAATATCTCCCTTCCTTATATTATCTGTGGTGCCAACAACCGCATTTTTAACTGGTGCTTCGATGTCCGATTCTTTTCCGGAAGTGACAGTGGAGATCGATTTTCTATTTAGCTTCTCAGAGATAGGGCTATTAGCTAGTTCCATAACTGTCTTTGAAGTCACTTGATTTTTCTTGGTTACAGTTGCTGTTGGTCTCGCCTGTTGCTTTTTAGGAATTTCTTCCTTACTCTGAACATTTTCAGGCCTCTTCTGTTTCTTTTCTTGATTAATCAAAGAGGTAGACGCAGCTCTTTTGTTTCCATTCACACTTTGTCCCTGTGTGTCTGATTCAATTGTGACTTTCATTATTTTTTGTGCAATTGGAGATTTTCCTGATGCTTTATTTAATGGAATTCTACTTAACTGTGATTTGGTTGAAATATTAGATTTCGCATTTGTAACTACAGTTTCATTGGGTGGAGAAACCATACTTTTAGTGGTATTCTTTTCACTTTCGATAAGCTTTCCATTACTTTTTTCTGTTCCAACTGATGACTTAGTGTCAGGATCTTGCGAAACAATAATGTTCGAATCTCCTTTAGCGGAAGAAATGGATCCAGTAGTTTTCTTAGACGGTAATTTATAATTTGTTATTTCTAATTTATTATTACTATCAAGGAACGCTGGTGGTCTTTCGTTTTCCTGTCTCTTCAAAAATAATGAATACAGATCGGTCTTTTGATTACCAGCAGATTGATTATTCAAAGTATTTTTTTGTGATGCATTTTCTGTATCAAATAAAAGAGAGTCATCATTTGCAATTTTGTTTTGTTCAGATTCTTGCGAAATTGCACTATTTTTAGAGGTAAGATTACTGAAAGTATCCTTTTTGGTATGAGGAGGTTGTGGGATGACGTTATTAAATGTACTTGCGTCAAATGGTTTTCTTAAAATGTTTTTTTTCTCATGTAGAAGATTTACGGGTGAAGCATTGCCAACCATATTCAGAAGATCAGCTTTATGTATAGAAGGGTGGGTGGGACTAGTCTCAGTAGCTCCTGAAGTCTTATTTGGAAGCTCTATGTGTTGTACGGTATCGTTAATACCTTCGTCATCAGTTACGTCGTTAGAATCCACAGGTTCAAGCATTTCATTAAGTTTGTCATCAAAAGGAATATCTTCTACTGCATCCGGTTGAATATCAAGATGATTCTCCTCATCTTCTTCATCTTCGTCGGAAAAATGGTCCATTCTTCTCAACTCTTCTTCTTTACCATTCTGAGTAAAAGTTGTAAATGATTTATTTAGAAGTTTTGTTTCCAGGGAAGATTTTCTTCTTATAGTTGATTCGATTCTACTTGTCTTTGAGTCAGATAAACCTCTGTATTTTTTAACGTCTTTAATGGGTTCTATCGCAGTAGCTATTTCGGCTTGAGAAGATGACTGCTGATTGAAAGGGCTATCTTTACTTGATGAATTATCATTTATAAATGATGGAGATTTGCTTTGTCTCAATTCGTCATCGGTATCTGTTGAGGAGTCAGTCTCAGGAGTAGGTGATTTTTCAATATAAGGTTTCTTCATTGGTATTTTTGAAGCCTTAGGTGGTAATATGGATGATGGACTGGCGGGACCTTCTCTTAATTCCTTCTCAACTTCGGATATTTTAGGCTCAGGGATGGTTAAAGATCCAGATGCAATTCTTGGTGTAAATATTGGAGAAAGCGCCTTCAAGGGTAATTTGTTTGATGTACTGGCAAACACCAATCCCTGTCTAGAGGATGCATCATTCCCAAGGTTTTCAGACATAACTCTTTGACCAGTTAATGTTACCCTATTTGGTGTCATCATTGTTCTAACAGGAGTACCAGAAAACATTCGTTGTTGTTTAGATTTATCTGGGTCTACCGTTTCGGATCTTGAGACGGTATCTTCAACAGTGTTCCGTATCCTTTTATAATTGTCTATTCCTGAACTTATACGAATTGGTGGTGATTGTGGTTGATTAGGCGGTGGTAAAAATGATCTATCAGCCATTTCATCTTCATCGTCAGAATTATTAGATACCTTGTTTTGATTATTCAGAGGGTATATTTGATTCGCGAGTGGAGTCGAAATTCTTAGGTTATTATTATTATTTACTGATGATTTTACAGTTGAAGGCCCGGAACGCTTTTTAACGACGTTTAATATGCTATTTTGTTGATTTTGTGCTTGTTGTGGAGCAGACACTGGATTTAATAGTTTGCTCTCATTGAGCTTTCTTCTTTTGTTGCTTTGGTATAGAGATGTGTTTGAATTTTCATCAGATTCAAGTTCATCACTTAAAATAACTTTTACTATATTATCCATATTAAAAACATCTTTAACAATAAAATCAGGATCTAAATCACATCCCGTACTATCTTGGATACTTAAGATATCAATTGTTTCAGTTAAATTGGGATACATTTTTTCACATTTCTTTTGAATTTCTTCTGAAAGAATTAATAGTGAATTACTTGGTTTTGTAAAGTGTAAAAACTTTTTTGTATTTACTGGAGCTTGGTATAATGGTGTCATGAAGGAACTATTAAAGTTCATAGTATTTTCATTGTTCATTGGTCCGTTCTGGAATTGAGTTCCAGATTCCATTGTTTGTTGAGGATTCGATGGATTCATATTTTGACCAGGCATCATCATCGGAAAGGAGTCAACAGAACCTACTCTAAAATTGCCTGGTACTAGGCTATCTCTAGCGCTAGGTGGCACTAAGATGACTTGTAGTTTATACATATAGAGAACAAAAAGGGTTGCTACCTTGTATTGAATTTGGATAATTTATTTGGATCTATAAATTCAAAACTCTTTATTAGTGAATCTTGTTTTACACCGCTGATAAATCAAAGGATGACCATATAATAATGATATGTGTATATATATATGAAGTGCTCTTTGGTGTTTATTGCGATGTGTATTCTTGATGTTTTTTTCCTGAAAAAAAAACTGAAAGAGGAACGAAGCGGTACCAATTCAGTAAGGCAAAAAGTATGTTTACATTTCGTTAGGAATGATATTTTTATGATATCTTCAATGAAATGTCATAAATTAATTAAATTGAGAATTAACTTAATGGCGTTCATGGTTGGTTTACCAATTAGAATATATATCTATTTTTCACTAACCGCATAATTGTAGGGCCGTAGTACTTAACAATTAAAGAACTGATATAATTACAAAGGGCTTACATTTCGTAGAGCATTTTGAATAACTTTCTACCTAATAAGGTCAACCACCTACCCTGAAGGTAAAAATTAAGAGTATATTATAGTAAGTTGTTGAATGTGATATATGATATTTAGAAAATGTTTTTTGCTTTTGTTATTATTAGTGAGTGTTTAATTTAAAAATATCTTTTTTTGTCTCATTTTATTGTTTTGTAATGTTTTAATAAAATTCTTTTCGTTGTCGTCAATAGATCTAAACAATGAAGAAAATAATTATCAAGCAATAAAACCTTTAACTATACAATAAATAGTACAAAATTCTATATAAGGGTTTATATAATGATGATTATGAGATTCTTCCTCTTTTGAAGTAATTAAGGTTTTAAAATTTAGTACTGGGATACCTTTTTTTCTGCCTTTTTCTTTTTCTTATTTACAATGCAAAAAAAATTTAGAAAAATTAATCAGCAATACCAAGAACACTAAAATACAGCAAGTCCTTTCTTAAAGCAAAGAATCAATTGATAGATATGACAGTGTTTTTTTTTTTGTTTTCCTGTTTTGGTCTATTTTCCATTATCAATTTAGTTTCTAGACTTAACTTTAGATACACGTAATTTATTATTAGTATTTTGATCTTTATTCCTTCTTCGTCTAACAGTAGTAGTACTAGTGGTACCCGTAGATTTTCTTCTATGGAATTTAGTCTTTAATTCAAATAATTCGTAATCTTCAGCCATTAATTTAAAATGGCTATTAAAATTATTAACAATTTGATTTGTAGCAGATGCTGGTTCCATAGGATTTAATATATTCTTGTGATATGTATATATACCATTATCTGAAGTTACTGGAGATAAAGGAGAGTTTGTTGAAGTTAATGATGGAATTGAATCATGAGAAGATTCCCTTTGAGACATATCTAATTCACTATTACCATTTATATCCGAAGAAGAAGAAGAAGAAGATGATGATTGTAGTAAATTTTCAAAATTAATCTTTAAATTATTAGTTTGGATAATAATTCGATTAGTTACATTAATTTCATTTTTAATTACATTACATCTTAATATAGTTAAAGAAATTAAATTTTTTAAAATATTAATATCTTCAAAATTTCGTTTACCTTGTAAATCTAATAAAATAAGATGAAATTGTTCCCAAAATAAATTTAAATCAATTTGATTCCATGGAATATTTAATTTATTTAGTGAACGTCTTAATGGTTCTCTAATTGGTGAATTAATAAAATTTTCATGAGTTAATAAATATTTTTCCCAATTTATTCTTGGTTTTATAGTTTGATTAGAATATAATTCAAATAATTTTGTAAAAACCTTAACATTTTCCCAATTTCCTTCATTTTTTTCAAATAATTGGAAACCTTCAACATTATTATAACGGATAATATAATATGGAATATCATTATTATCATTATCATAACCATACGATGAACAACTAATTTTTAAATTGTTTGAATCAATTCTATTCAAACATAATTCTATATTATATTCTTCTTGTAAATCGAAAAAATACTTCGCTAAATCATCTGTATTTTGAAATGTTTTAATAAGTTTTAATCCTTCAATAGATTTATTCATTATATTATTGTATCGATACTCCTCTGCTAATATTATAAGATTTTCAAATCTTTATCACTTTGACAGCTGTGTAATCAATTGCAAAATTTAATCTTCTATAAGGATGAAATCAAAAGTTAAATACTGTTTTAAACCAATGTAACAACAAGAAGAGTATACGGTAACAAGTCAATATATATTTAAATAAGATGACGTTTAAGTCAATTGAAGTAATTATAACTTTGACTTATTAAAAAAAAAAGAATATGTAAGTTTCCCACCCACACCCTTTATTCAAACAGTCTCATAAACGTTTATGCAACTTCCCACCGGAAGGGTCAAAAAAACAAAAAATGTAAACAAAATTAATGCAGCAAACAAATCAAGCATAATTCTTTTTAATTACCTCCGTTTGGCTGAATTTTGAAATTTGGCCAAACAAAAACAATAATTCCAGCGGGAGGGTAAATAACAAAAATACATAGTAAACTGTCAAGTTTTTGTCACTAAAAGCGCCGCACAATAATTTAAATATTACTGGGCGGTTGACAGCTGGGTGAGGGGTAAGTACGGGGAAGGGAGGGAAGGAAGAAAGGGAAATCGACAGCAATAAGTAATTAAATGTCACAACAATACTCGGGCTTATCTATGCCAATTAAACTCATAACATGTTCATGACTTCCTGTGATATTACAAGGACATTGCACTTAGGTATATCTCATTACTTGAATGAAGCAAGTATGTTAATTTTCGTATCTCTTGCCAATTTAAAGCGTTTTTTTTTACTATATCAAGATATATTATTGTAATACGAAGTATGTTTATAATTTCATAAAAGATATCCTTGTCATTGTAATTCATTTGTTATCACCACCAATTCCTTTCCCCACATTTTTGATGCCTATGAAAATAATACATGCGATGCCAAAATAAAACCAAAGACAAAGAGTAATGGTGGGAAGTAAGGTTTCTCCTCAACTACCCTAGGTTTAATATGCTGTATTTAAACTATCTCAAGATTCAAATGTAGCAATACATATATGTAGTAGCCTACTAATAAATACAGTATTTTATCGATCTTTTATATTTTTATTTAATGACATGTATTACTAACTCGAAAAAGTATACATAACTTCAAACATTCCTCAGTGAGAATATGGGGTGTTTTCTGTTTGATAATACCTTTGGCACTATGCTTCGAGATAAGTTTAAAATATTAAGAACATAATAACAACGTTTTTCAAAATTGGTAATAAATTGAATATGCATTCTTGTTTTTGTTAATGACGAACGGCTGAAAGGACTACGTTACATATGCGATACAGACACATGTATGATATAGAACGATAAGAGGGGTTAACTAACAATACACATTATATTTATGACGCAAAGCAAAAAAATTAACTATCCTCACTTTACTTCATGATCCATAGCTTTCTTCTATTGTCATTCATAAGTCTCAATTGATTTTTTTTGTTGTGAATGAAATACGTTTGCACCAAATAGATATAATTCAACTAACTATCTTTTTATCTGGAGAATATTCAGTTAAAACCGTCCATCCTCTGTTTCTCTCCCCACGTTTATTATCTGTCAAAAAAAAATCCAATTAAATTTCAAACTTATTCTCTCAATGCCTCCTTCTCCTCCTTTTGACGCGAAAATATTGTTTCGAGACCGCACAAAATGATTTCTTTACTCGAAAAAAAAGCCGAACGTTTGCTTTTTTTCTTCTCTCTTTCTCTCTCGGTAAGAATATTCGCGTTTTCGTGTTTGATATATGTTTTACAATGATACGATATTATATTGTTCTCTCCCTGTACTCTACTGCGTAAAGTGATTACCATACATTGTATTAAATTCTTCTATATCTATATGCGTAGAATTTTGATTCCATTGTATACCCTCAGAGATATCATGTAAATTTTTTGTTTTTGAGAAACGTAAATCTGAATACATCAATCAATATACATTTCGCGATTTTAACTAATTGAAATTAAATGATACAATACCATTTTCAGTAATTTCGTCATAATTAGATCGAATATTTTTGCCAAATAATAAATATTAATTAATTAATTACCCATTCTTATATGTTTCAACTTCTTCGTTTGCTCTTTTCGCTACTTCATCACTTAACCTTATTTCGTGAAACTATTCTCAAATTAATGCAATACTTTGTAGAAGTAACTACGCCAATTCAATTAGTTTTTTCCTATATCGTAGATCATTCTGCGTGATATATCGAATCTTCCAATATTTTTTCTTATTTCAATTGAAATTAGCCTTCATCTCAACCATGCAAAATATTTTGTATATTCAATTCTTTTTATCTCTTGTCTGAATGTTCATATATATACTGAATTATTTTCAATTAATTATTGACTGCCCTCTTAACTATTCTTTATTCTCCTTTGTAATTAATTGAATTACTTTTACTTTCTATTACTTATTTTTAATATTTTAAATCAACTAAGTAAGCAAACTTCTCAGACTCCTTATAACATTCATTCATTTTGAAAATAAATATAAAAAGACATTGATTCTAATCATTTTGATCTAAAAACACACCCAACAGAAAAATAATTTAAGTTTGAATTCCATTCCTTAATTTTTATTTTGACATTCCATATTAATATAATTAAAAAAATATTTACACAACAAGTATAATAAAATGAAGTTCTCTAAAGCTTTACTAGCTACTACCTCTGCTGCCACTGTCTTAGCTGCCCCAGCTGCTGTTACTGTCACCGAACATGTCCATCAAGAAGCTACCATTACCGTTCAAGGTTTTGTCTATTACTCTAATGGTGTCGCTTATACTTCTGTCTCCACTCTAGGTGTTGACAATGTTGCCACTTCCACTGCTGCCTTCACTGGTCTAGTTCAAGAAAATGACCTTGGTGTTGTCGCTACCGATGCCACTTCCGTTGATTCTACTTCTTCTACCATTACTATTACTGGTACTGTCACATCTACTCAAGCTATTCCAACTACCACAGCACCAGTTACTACTCCAGCTACTGTTGTAACCAGCGCTGCTGTTGACCCAACCACTTCTTCTACCGCTGCAGTTGAAGCTGCTACTACTGCTGCTACTACTGCTGCTGCCGCTGCCACTACTACTGCTGCATCATCAGATTTTGAAACCTCTATGTTGAACGAACATAACGTCAAAAGAGCTCTACATGTTAACACTCCAGATCTAACTTGGTCCGATACCCTTGCATCCTATGCTCAAGCCTATGCTGACAATTACGATTGTTCAGGTGTCTTAACTCATTCTGGTGGTGCATATGGTGAAAACCTTGCGTTAGGTTACGGAACAACTGGTGCTGTTGATGGTTGGTATGACGAAATCTCAAGTTATGATTATTCTAACCCAGGCTTCACTGAAAATGCTGGTCACTTCACTCAAGTTGTATGGGCCTCAACTTCTCAAGTTGGTTGTGGTATTAAATCTTGTGGTGGTGTTTGGGGTGATTATGTCATTTGTTCTTATGAAGATGCCGGTAACGTTATTGGTCAATTTCCAGAAAACGTTCTTGCTTTAGCATGAAAGTATTTTAAAATAAAAAGACAAAAACATAACAACAATAACGACAATTTCCAATCATTCATTTATCATTCACATTTATAACATCCAACAATTTATAAGACATTAAATATTCCTGCGGTTTTTTTTTCTATTATCATAATAAAATCAGGAAGGGACAACCAAGAGATGAAATTAATCTCTTCGCCTGTATATTACTTAAAAAAACACAACAATAAAATTATATACCTATACACAACGTCAAAAAAATTCATACTATTTTTGCACAATACATATTATATCAAGAAGTTTTTCTTATTTGATTTTCTGCTATTTTATCATTAAATTAAAGTGTATTACATACATATATAATGTTATATAGTATTAACTGCAACATGATGTAGAATCATTAGTAGATGGTCTTTGTAAATGAATATCCACTGGAGCATTGCCACGTTGGGTTGAGTTAATATTAGTTGTATCTTGTTTCTTTCTAATTTGGTATAAATTTTCTGCAATTGATTGAAAGACTTGTTTAATACCTTCTCCTGTCTTTGCACTAACTTCACTAAACAATAGATTATTTTCTTCAGCATAAGTTTCTGCCACGCTTCTCTCAACAGCTCTTTTATCTTGATCATCATTATTATTTGATACCAAATCAATTTTATTACCAACAAGATAAATGACTAAGGAATCATCATCTACTTTATTTTTCAATTCTTGAACCCAACTACGAGCCTTTTCTAATGAATCTGCTTGTGTAATATCATATACCACTAAAGCTGCATTTGCATTTCTATAATACATTGGAGCTAAAGATTTATAACGTTCTTGTCCAGCTGTATCCCATATTTCAAATTTTACTGTAATCTCTTGAGCAACATCTGAATCATTATCATTAATCGTTACTGTCTGTGATAAAAATGCAGCACCAATAGTACTCTCTCTAAATTCATCGAAAGAATCCTTAACGAATCTATTTACAATGGAAGACTTACCTACGGAAGAATCACCTAACAATACCAATTTAAATTGTAACATTCTTTTCTCAGTGTGTGTAATATGATTATAATAGATAGAAGATAAAAGATCTATGTCTTTATGTGACTATGTGTCTGTTAACACCGTAAACAAACTTCGTATACTAACTAGATAAAAGAATACAAATACAAATATATTTGAATTTATAAGAAGTGATGATTAAAAAATCAATCTACCATTTAACTGAGCCCTCTTATCACTTTTCCTTACTACCTTTTGTATTTTAAGCCGTCAGTTCTATTTTTTTTTTAAACTTTCCTTGCAACTGCGGTTGTGCGCACATAGATAAAAATATATCCACTGCATATGTTTCCTCCTCCCCACCCGCCGTGCCACCTTAACAAAACAATGGATATCTCTATAACCTATATCTCTACATTAAAAGGTAGATTTAAATCTCTTATTTGATAGAGAACTGTGAACTGGTGAGTGCTTTGTCATGTACATATTCCACACGATCCACTATATGGCGACAATCCTGTCCTACTCCTCTTATACGTATTGAAATTCTAAGCATGTATTTTACAACAATATTTAACAACTCTCTTCTTGTTAAAAAGAGGGAAAAATAGAATAAAAACAGAGGTTACTCATTTACAAGCAGATTGGTCCCAACCTTGTGCATTTTTTAAGAATTGCAATGCCAATGCTATCCTCAGAAACAGTAGCCGATCCTAACGACTGATCAAAACGAACAGTTTCAATTATAAATACCATATACTTTATCAAACTTGTTTAAATTCGTTCTTGCCATTCACACACATATATATGTATATATATATATATACAGTTTTCTTATTTGGAAAGTTGCCGCCGAGGTCAGAACTTTTAGAAGAAGTGAATTGCACGTGACTTATGGCCAATCGTTGTAGAGAACGTCTCTTCCCGTTAAAGTGAACTACTACGCGAATTTCTCTTTTCTTCTCGCTGAGAAAATTGATTGGGCTCTTTTTTTTTTGTTTCGTTGCTTTGCTCCGTAAGTTTAAACAATTTAAGGAATTTTTCAACTAACAGCAAACTGGTAAGACAAGAGCGTGCGATAGAACGTTTTGTGAAAGAGAAACAACCCCTTTGAGGTCAATTCAGCAGTTGATTGATTGATTGAATTGAATAAGTAAAGTGGTTTAACAAGATATATATATATATATATATATATCCATAGACGTATACCGAGTTGTTATAACTATTAAGTTTAAAAGTCTATAAAAAAAGAAGAAATTCGTAAGACTACAAAGGAAGGAACAAGGAATTACCGTATATAATTGTTCTACAATGTTAAGGCCAACTATAATAAGGAATACATTTTTAAAGAAAAGTTATTCAACTATCAATACTGGTACTAGTACAGTTGTGAAATCACATAAATTTCGTAATAGATTTTTAACAATTTCATTATCATTAGTGGCAATTTATGGTACTGGTATAATCTTATCTGAAACTGATAATAGATATTCTTCTGTGTACAATGATAATATTCCTTTTGCTAATAATGTTTTAGAATCGTATGACGATATTAAAAATGGTAATATTAAATTATCAGATTTATCATGGGAAACAATAAAGAATAAATACAGTTCTTATATCACAGGCGGAACTTTAGGTATTCCATTATATAGACCTAAAAAAAATGAATTAAATAATGCACATTTATTAAATTTATCAAAATTAGATCAAAGTAAATTAAAAGATTTAAATCCTGAATTCAATTCTATTTTAAATCAAATTAGATATACTGTAGATGCTTTAAATGATCAACAAATTCCATTAACAAATTCTCAAACTACAGTAATTACAAAACTTTTTGATCAATTATATGAAACTGTTTATAAATTTAATGAAAATTTAAATGAAAATATTAAAAAAAATATTGTTAATGGTTCAAAGGATAGAATAGATCAGTTTGAGAAAAAATATTTACAAGAGACTGATGAAAAGAAGAAAGAATTAGATAGAAAATATGATGAAAAATTTGAATCATTTAAGACTGTCCTTGAAGAAAATGTTACAAAATTATTAGAGACTAGTTTAGAATCAAATTTAGAAACTCTACAAGCAAAACAAGCCAACGAAATATCTTTATTATCAATAACACAAGTTCAAGAGTTTAATAAAATTATTGAAGAAAAAGTTGAACAAGAAAGAAATGGTAAATTAGCTAATTTAAATGCACTTGATGAAAGAATTGCTAAACTTTCAACCACTATGAGTAAATTTGGTGATATTCTTTCGAAAAATCAAGTTATTACTAGATTATCCCTTATGGTTAATGATATTAAAGGTAGATTGGATTCTAACAATTCATACAGTATCGAATTAGATGGTGATTTCTCAAAGATGAAAATTATCTCCAAAGCACTGCCTAAAGCTGGTTGTGGTTGTAGTTCTGGTAAATGTAAATGTAAAAAATGTACCGGTTCATGTTCTACAAAGAGTACCATTGGTGGTCAAAAACTTTTAAATGTAACAATTGAAGAATTGGATGCATTGTCAAAGGATGGTCCTATCCTTTCAAATGAACAATTGTTCAATAGATGGAACCTTTTGGAGAGTGATTTTAAAACTGCATCATTATTACCACCAAATGCAGGTATTTTGGGTCATATTACAGCTAAATTTTTCTCCTTCTTTTTATTCTCAAAGAAAGGTATTTCCACCTCTGGTGATGATTTAGATGCATTGTTTGCCAGAGTACAGACTAATTTGGAGACAGCAAAATTGGATGATGCCATCGAAGATGTTATCTCTTTGAAAGGGTGGCCAAGAGTATTATGTGAACAATGGGTCAAAGATGCGAGAAGAAAATTAGAGATTGAATCTCTGATCGATATCCTTGATTGTGAACTAAAGGTCATGTAAGCGATCACGATGAAATAAGCATCAATATTTTTTTGTTTATTCCTCACTTTATATTTCATAAATATTCATCATGTAGAAAAATATATATATTTAATTGATAACATTAGTAGAACAAGCAAAGAAAAAGTAAAATTATAACTAAGTGTCTCATTTTTAAAGATGTTTAGTCTTTTGGTTTACAGATACCTTTACATAGTAAGTCCCTACCACATTCCATAAGGGCATACATCCTATTCTCAACGTAGCCAGATTTATTGTAAAATTCAAGCTTATTTTTCATAATTTCTTCAGGGTCTTTTATCTGTAGAAGTTCAGAAAGGTCTTCAACAGCTTTTGACAATAGACTTTGATTATCAACAAATATTTTGGTCAAATTATGAGATGCATCTGAATAAAATGCGACAGGAAATGACCATTTTAATGCTGTTCTTCCTTCATTCAAAATCTTAATGCTATCTGTTAGAAATTGTCCCTCAATCCATGAAATATCCATCTTTTCCTGTAAAGCACGCACTTTTGATCCAATTGTTTGACCTAACTTCCAGTCCAATTTAGCTGATATTTCATGTTCATTAAATACTCTGTAATAGAAGGTGTATTTTTTCATTATCTTTGATAACTCTTCACTTTGTGTCTTTTTTGAATTTTCATCATTTTTATACAATGTACACTGATAGAATGCTTTCCCATGGGGTGCCCAATCACCTTCACAAATCCAGCAAAATTCATATTTACAACTAGAACATTTCATATGATTACATCCACCATCCTTTTCAATATTTACCTCACATTTGGGGCATTCTTTCGTATGTGACATTACCCAGTTCAGATTCTCAGATTCTTTCCTAGCTTTCTTTACCCATGCACTCGTCACATTACAATCAGCAGGTGCATGCGTTTCAAATCCACAATTGAAGCAAAATCTATGACCTGCATCACATTGAACAAATGGCGAATAATGTAATCTGGTATATTCCGCTAAAGATGATGTATCTCTTAGATGCACTATGCATTTACAATCTGCATAAGGACACCATTTATAATTCTTATTATGTTTCTGAACAAAACTCTTGATGGAGGAAGTCATTAATTTCTTACTTGAATTATGTCCCATTATACTATCGATATCAATATTTTTTAAAGCTAACGAACAATCCATACATGTTATGACATTACCACTATGAAGTTTATCTTCGATATAGTGTCTATAACAATCAATGCAATATTCGTGTCCACATTCTAACGAAAATGTCTTTGTGTCTTTTTCCTCACAACATATAATACAATTAAAATGTTCTTTGAATGTAATACCTCTCTTTTTTATCTCAGAAATTTCCTTCTCATCTATATCCTCAGTTACTTTAATATCTGTGGGCTTTGCATCTGCTTGATTAACACCAATTTCAACCAATAACTCTTCCATCCTCTCAGTCCAATTTTCAAGTAATCGTTCTTCATTCCAGTCATAATGTTGCATTAGCAAAAGAATATCTTCACGTGGCATATTGAATATGGGTTGCAAATGATCCACTCTAGCTAACATATTCTCAAAAATGTCCTGAGTAGTCAATATTTCATAACTGAGATTAGGAACAGCACCTTCACTTAATTCTTTTTTGTTGCTATGTTTAACTGGTTTTGTGAGCATAGAATCATATGCCTCGCCGTCATCGTCATCGTATTCAAAGTCATCATCGCTATAAGTAAAATCTTCTATTTCAAACTCTGACTCCTGGCTAACCAAACTAGTCCTCCTATGTTGGATGTTATCTGTTAGTGTAAATGAAGATGTATTGTGAGAATCACATGTTCCACTGTCCTCTTTTTCATAATTTAGGTCATCTATAAAATTGCTAGGCATCGTGGAACCTGAAGAATCAATTTTGGCCATCTTTTAATACCGTAGAACACAATACTGATGTTAAATAATGCTGTACGAGCTATTTTAAATGAATTAATATACCGATGCAATAAAAAATTAGTCAATATGTTACTTTTGGTTACGTGTAATTTCTATTCTATTTCAGAGTAGCTTTAACGTTTTCGAGTTTGCCTAAGAAAGCTATTTTTTTTATCCTACCCACTCGGACTATTATGTAAGACTATGTATTTGTTATTACTCGGAACAATCATAAATTCCTTTATATAGGGCAACTTGGAAAAGATATAAGGTATTCGCATAAAAGTTAAGATGAGCAAAGGGTAAAACAGTAGTACATGCGTTTGTTTGTATTAAAAACATAAATATGTTACATACAATACGATTATAAATCATGTTATAATTTTTTAGACGAAAAAGTCTTCGAGTAATTAAGAGTGAGCCGCCTATATTTTATGCTCGATGGATAATTAAGTTATGGATTCGGAATGACCACATAGCAAATCACTTTTCAATAATATATTGTTCAACATTTTATCACGTAGAGTGTTCAACCCTATCAAGAGCAGCTTTGATTTTCATACCGATACGAGAACTTAGTTCATAGTCATCTGCATAGCCAGTGGCTCTCTCTAACCATTGTTTACTTTCAGGAAGACCCTTCATACCATTTAGTTTCCAGCAAAATAATGCCCGTTCATATAATGCAGCTGGGTAGGCCCATGGATCTTCTGTCTTTTTGATATATGTACAAACACCGTTGTTATCTATCGATATAATTTTAGTCAAAACTTCTGAATCCATTAATTTGCAACCTTCCTCAATGTCACCTAATCTTCTTAATGTTAGGGACAACAACAAATTTCTCAATAATTCTTGATCGGGATCCATAGCTTCGATTGCTGGATTTTTATATTCTGTTAACATTCTCTTGGCGATTTCCAAATCTTCTGGGATCATTCTATTATAACCATTATAGAAATATGCAAGCTCATGTACAGGAGATGTTGCGATAGCGTCTAATGGATCTTCAAGGTTTAATTCTTTTTGCTTATTTTTAAATTGTTCAACTTTTCTCAACATGAATCTATCCAAAGGAAGATTTTTTGCTTTGAAAGTCTTTTTACCCAAATGATCTGGTGCACTGAAAATATATTTTATAGCTTTCTGTTTATAGTCTTCAGCTTTAGAAGAATCCTTCAATCCTAATATGCACATTCTATAGGACTCCAAGTAACAACAACCTGCATAATAGGTGTATAATGCATGAGACCAATCACTAAATTCTAATAGACTCAATAAATCATCCGCAGCTCTATCGTATTCATGTAAATGCACTAATGTGTTAGCACGATCAAATACCATCATAACCTTAACTTGTCTCATGTGAATCTTGTCGACGTCAATAGAATCCATTAATTGAATAGCCTCACGCAATTTACCTCTTGATGATAACATTCTAGCTTCATTTAACAACCAAAGTGCACTATTTGGGAATAATGCTCTAGATTGCAATAACGCATTAACTAAAATCTTACCTGGGTGAAGTAGAGTAGGTGCGTCCATTTCATTATCATCTAGTTCACTACCTATTGTTAGTGCAGACATAGTCTTGTTTAAAGAATTTGAACTCTCACCTGTGGGTTGTCTACGTAATGAACTAGTCGTAGAGTCCGAACGCTTCTTTGTGCTGGTTGCCGCAGGAATATCAAAATCATCGTCTGTGAATTGGAAAGGACCATCATAATAGAACATTAATGCTAGTAAACCAATACAACCATGCACGTTTCTTTCTTTAGTTGCCCTCCAGATCAATCTTAAACCATCTTCACGAGAACCACGGAAACCAATAGCAGATAGAACAGCACCTATAGCTGGTGGTAATAATGATATCACAACCTGAAGGATACCAAAACATAGGTTGACACCTGAATGGACAAATTCATCAATAGTAGCCTGACTAGCATCTAAATCATCGGATAAAAAGACATGTTCCGTTGAAATAGAGTCATCATCCTCTTTTGGTAAATTATCTAACGTAGCCATCCCTAATTCGTTTCTCAATCTATTAATAGCAGGAGGATTACCTATATGCGCACCTGACAGCCTTTTAACTCTCATTTTATGGATTTTTTCAGCATAATCTAACAGATCTTTATCCTTTTGTTCTTCTGGGGTTAAATCGTATGGAATATCGACTGATGCAAACATTTTAGAATCACTGGAGATAAAACTTGCAGATGACGATTCGATTGATTCTGTTGTTTTATTGACATCTTCCATCTTCATCTTTCTGAATTTATTCTTTAAACTTTTTTTCTGTTTGTTGGCATTTTTTATCTGTTGTAATATGTCTTGTAAAGTATGGTATGCCTTTCTCAATTTAAGTACAGCTTTTGCTGCTTCCATCATACTCTCACTAAATAACATTAACAAAGCATGCAATAAACAAGATTCTGTATAAGTAACAGCATATACTGTTCCAGGAGGATACAGGGAACTACTCTTGATCTGATCCTTCTCAGCTCTTTGTTTACTCTTCAAAGACAATTGTTCTGCTCGAGCCAAGGTGGCAGAAGCAATCTTCATCTCTTCAGGTTCAAAACTTAAAGTAGCCTCTAAAAATTCAATAACACCTCGAGCCAATACATTGATCGTTTGATCAGGACCGTCTGCTTTGTCACTTTCATTCAATAAAGCAAGACCTTGCTCAGCTTTATCGTCTAGGACATAATCCATAGCCCTTAGAGCTAATTCGAAATCTTGAGCTTGTTTCAAAATAATCTTAGTTTTCTCTTCTTGAGATAAAGTCTCTTGGGTGCCTCTAAAGGCATTCAATACTCTAAACATTATTGTATTAGGGTATTGATCTTATTGTTATATATGTATGCAAAAAAAAATGGAATAAAAAGTATTAGTTAGCTATATGAATTTTATATTTGTATTGAATATTAAGTAATATCAAATATTATTAAGAAAAAAAGGGCTTTTCAATGTATGTTATCGATTAATATATGGGCTTGTATTCGCTATTAAGAGAAGTGCCGTAAAATGTTTAATTATCTTGGAAAATTTCCCCTATTGTGTGCAAAATATATGAGTTTGGAATCGTTCCGAACAATGAATATTTTGTATTGCTCAGTCTATTTTTATTTGTCTCCGCAGGTAAAAAATATACATATATTTCTCGCAAGATAACCCAAAATAATAGTAACTGGCAATGACACAATACAAAATACAAATAAACTAGTATTTGTTTCAGGAACAACTTAGTATTGTCATGACCAGGATAGGTGATCTATGTGAATATATATTAATGTAAATGTCTAAGAAATTTAATATATAAGAATGCTATATATTAATAATGCTATAATGTTATTTCTAAGGAGATGATTTAGTCTTTTTAATCATTTTAACTTCTTTCTTGAATATTTTCTTCTTGGTCTTTAGGTTAAATTTATCGTTCATGGCGACGTTGACTGCGAATCTGTCAACACTATCCCATACTTCTTGTGGTATTGTACGTGGTAATTTTCGGCCATATAGACATTGATCTACTAACCACATTCCAACAATGAATGATCTTCTATCCAATGTTCCATCCCTTCGGCAATCAACTAAATCAAATATATTGGCCAACAATGGATTTGATAAATTAGATCTTTGCCATATTTTTTGAACAATTAATGATAGAATGAGTCCATCCTTAGGCAATAAAATATCAGAGTTGTCTGTTGGAGGCCACCAATGTAATGTTGTTAGATACCTAAATCTATTAGACATCCACATTGCTTCATACCTCCTACGTTCGTCTAGATTAATGAAATTAATGTCACGATGAGCTTTCCATGGTTTATCCTCATTAAAACATTTTTTCTTATTTTTTATATTTTTATCTGAACTTTTGTTCTTTAACGTAGGTGATAGATTAATTGTCTTTTTCAATTTTTGTGCAGATGTTTTATATGTTCTTTTGAGTACTTTTCTATATCTATGAGATTCTTGTGGATTACCATTATTATATTTTGAACTAACCAGAAAATGATTAGACAACCTATCTGGTGAGTTGTGTTTGTTTCTTAAATGTGCTAATATATCATTTTCTTTGCTATCATCTCCAGCGTCTTCATCATCCTCACTACTATCATATGTATTATTTTTATCATAATCATCATCATCTTTAGTCATTTCAGAAGTATTACTATCATTTCGTAACGTTTTCTTTAATATATTTGATTTTTTCGAAAGTATTAATTTATCGTGATGATCCATTGAATAATTTTTCTTATGATTTCTTTTATGAAATTTATCCTTAACATGTTGTAATTTTGAAATATGATGATATTGAGATCTAGGTATATCTAGCAGATTCATTGTCTGTAAAGAATGATCTAATTCATCCAATGAATCATTGCAATAACCATATAATTGGTCAGAAGGTGAGTTAATTGATTCTTTGGCAATATATGCAGCGGCCTGTACAGCTGATGACAATGACGGTGGGGGTGTTACTATTCGATGACTTGAATGAATTTTTTTAATGACATCGTTACCTCTTGGTGATGATACAGATAATAAAGATACAGAAGAAGAATTTGAAGGAGATCTATAATTTGATAATGGTATATTTGGTTCTAACATTAATGAATGTGTACTATCGTTATCATTATCATTTGTATCAGATGAAATTGTTGCAGCAACCGCTGTCATTGCAGCTAATTTTGCATCTCTATCATTAATCTTACTTAAGAATGGTTCATCAGTAATTGTAATTCTAATTGATGTTGAAGAATTAGGTAATGAAGATGTATCATTGCTATGTTTTTTAAAAATTGCCTGTGCAGCCCTTAATGAATCTGTACTAGGTACATTATCCAATGTATATAATTTTCCACGTTTCAACATATCTCATTTGAATTGTGAATGTGTTTAGTGGTTTATCATTAGATGATTTACGAATAAAAAATTGAAAAATTAGTTATCAATATCAACCGATATATATATATATATAATCAATTGATTCAATGTCCAGTTTCAGTCATCACTAGCAGTCAAGAAAGAGCAAGCATCAGTACTGCCTTTTATCAAAAAAAAAAGAAAAAAAGTAAAAAGAGAGAATGGTTCATAGAACAAACCTCTGCACATCAAATTTAGTGAATACAGAAGTCACATCTACAGGATAAAGAAGTTGATAAAACCATTAAAAAAAATAAAATCTGTCAATTTTAGTCAATTCATCACCTCTTTTCCAGTTTGTTTACCCAAAAATAACTTTTATTCGAATAATATGTGATACAATTTCCATTTGTTTAAACGACACAAAACAAAATTGATACACGTAATTATTAAGTTTTTTGTGCTTTGTTGTGCGTATATTTGTCTGAATGAAAAAGAGAGGCGTTGACGTTTACAGTCACGTGAACTGAAACTCTTTTTCTTATTTTTATATTTGAATAGTTGCTGGAATTATTTGCAAAATGGGACCTACAAGAAATAAAATATGGTGAATAACATGCGAAAGAGGGAACATATATAAGACTACGTTATACATTCATACAAGACAATATATATATTTTGAGAGAGAGAGAGAGAGTAAATAATGGCTGAACAAATTAGTCATAATCGATCATTAGGTGTTAAAAAACTAAATGAGGATAAGAAACGTCTTTTAAAAGAATATTATAAATTATCAGATGAAATCGACACTAATGCAGACAATGATGGTGTTGCTTCGTCTTCTACCGAAGGGGACATTGCAACTACATCTTCAACAGAAATACCAGACAACAACGAGAATGATGTAACGTCAATTGAATCATCGAATACTGATCCAGAGAGACAAATTAATGAAATGACATTGCAACAAATTTTACAAATCCATAATCGGTTAGTTGGTCAAGAGATTGAAATGAGTAACTCTATCAAGAACACAATATATGATAATTATTACGATCTGGTGAAAGTTAATACTTTATTACAGGATATTGTGCAAAGAGACAGCAGTACAACAACTGATCAACAAAACAACAATACTAATCCAACAAAGGAGAATCGAATTGCAGCCCTATTAGGGCAACTGCGAACCCTATCCGAACCCTAATCGCCGTCCTCAACACAGAAACACCGGTAATAAATTCACTATGACCGTTGTGCTCGGTTCGTTTTTTCCACAAATTGCGCCACCCACGCAGAAAATCGCAGAGAACTAACCTCACTGCTTCCGCCCCCCGAAATTGGAAACTTTTTGCGAGGGGAAACCGACAGGCAAATTCTTTTCCATGGGGTTTTCTGCAGCTTGTACGGTCGTTCCTCTGTCGAAAAGTGGTCGGATTTGCGGGGAGAGAATGGCAAGCACGAGTGATCGTGTTGCACGACCTCGAAGGAAAAGAAGGGGTGGATCGATTCAAAGGACAGTACCAACAGCAGCAGCAGCAGCAGCAGCAGAGAGAAATTAGTTGAAGAGCCAAGCTTGTAACGAGCAAGAGAGTAAGGCAGTGTCAGTGACCCACCACCACGGTGAACCTCGGGACAATTTGCTGTTAAGGGATTACTCTGTTGGTTATTCCAGTCTTTGTAAGGCTACTAATGAAGAACGAACTTGATGTAATTTGCTTCAAATTTCCCAAAACAACAACATCAACATGCATTTATGTATCTTAGATTAAACCTGCGATAGTGAGAGGGGGGTTCTAATCATTTAGTTACTTCTATATTGAGGGGTTAAGTAATCTTTAAGTTTTTATTGACATTATACGCTTTAATTAAAATTGTTTTGTAGGCTTATAACTGATATTATTTTATTTATATATATATATTGACGATAGAATCTTTTTTTTACGAAGTTTTCAAATTTGATATTACGTAATTAACTTATTAAGAACAGGTTAAAAGAAAACTAAAACTATATACAACAAGAACAACAAGAACAACTAAACTGCAATGACAAATATAAATTCGCCGATTGCACCCATAGAGAAAGATATTAATCATATATTGCCAAATGAAAAGCCTGTTACCACTACTTCGTCTTTACAAGCATATATTCAACTAGTTGAACCTGTGATGTTTTTACGTGGATTTGAAATTAATGATACTAATAATGATAATGATAAAGATAATGGAACACCACCTTGTATAATGAGAGGTACAGTGATTCTTCGATTATTAAAACCAACAAAATTGAAAAAAATTTCATTATCATTCACAGGTAATTCAAGAACGGATTGGCCTGAAGGTATGTCAAGTTTAGCAATGAAAGAAACAGGCAAAATGGTATTACAAGATGAATTTAGTGAAAATAAAAAATTAATTGAAAATAAATGGCCATTTTTCAATTATCAAAACGTTAATTTATTATTAAAAGATGAACAATTGAAAAATAAAAAAAATAAAAAAATGACAAGATTAGATAATATTTTAAAATTTTCTGGTGCATCAATTTATAGACCCTTAAATGATTGTAAAGTCAAAGATACTAATAATATACCGAATTTACATAAAAATGATAATGGATCATTATTATCAGATCAGGAAAATTTATCTGATGTTTCACCTTCAACAAGTATAAATAATGATAAATTAAGCGATATGGATAAAATGAGTAAATTAATGAAAACGAAATCTTTAAATGATCCTAAGGAATCTTCATCATCACAACGAAGAGGTTCATTTTTTGCAGATTTATTAATATCACCATTTTCTCATAATAATAGTAATAATAATAATAATAATAATAATAATAACAATAACAATAACAATAATAATAATGCATCAATACATTCAGGTAATGAGAGCTACGCAATTGAAGATGATGAAACGGATGATTTAAATTCAATTAATGATATATCTTCTTTATTTGAAAAGGATACTTTTGTATTTCCAACGGGTGAATATGTTTTCCCTTTTGAACAATTAATTCCTCATACTTTACCTGAATCTATTAAAGTAGAATACGGTCAAGTGAAATACCAATTAATGTTAGAGATTAAACGTTTTAGTATGTTTAAATCTTCCTTTTTATTATCAAAACCTATTCAACTTATAAGATCTCCATCTGATTCTTCCATTGAAGAAAGTGAACCAATTGTTATTAGTAAAACATGGAAGGATAGATTAAATTATGAGATAATGATTAATTCAAAAAATGTTATATTAGATGCCTTTTTACCAATATCAGTACACTTAGCTCCAACTGATAAAATTTGTATCTATAGAACTAGGATATATATTACAGAATCTACTGAATATTACGCAAATAAAAAATCGATCCATAGAGTTGAAAAGACCAAAAAATATCTGCTGGCAGAACATAATGGTCCATTTAATGACCCCGATAATAAGAATTTAGATAGAGAAAATTTTAGAAATTATGGTAATTTATTAGAAGAAGAAACTACTGGTGATTTGATTGATAAAGTATTTGAATATCAAGTCTTTGTTCCAAAGAATTTCAATGGTTATAAACAATTACATCCAGATACTACAAATGAAGATATTGTTGTGAATCATTGGCTGAAAATTGCATTTAGAGTCTCATTTGTAATTGACGGGAAGACTAGATTCTTTGAGGTCTCAATAGATTCTCCAATACGTGTTCTTCACAGACTTTGTTCTCATGCTAATACACTGTTACCAAATTATTATTCCAATATTAAAATGCCAAATGAGGAAGAATATGACCTAATGAATAGTTCTACAGTTAATAATTTATATCATAGTTCTAATATTTTTTTCCCAAAGGAACTTTGTACCTCACCTATTTTAAACACAGATTTGGATGTCTTCGATTTAACAATTCCCTCGATTTTACAAAATGATAGACATCGCCAGAGGAGAGGTTCGAATAAAAACAATGAGAATGTTAATGAGAATTCAACTGGTAAACGATTATCATTATCATTAGCCTCATTAGGAACAACCAGGCCTACTAGAAACACTATAAATGTTGATGATGATAATAGTAGAAGGCATAGTATAGTTATTCTAGACTCTCCAAGAATGGTATCAAATATATACGAACCACAAGCATTAGCAAAAGAATTGGCATACCCTCAAGCCATACCCGCTTTTAGATCTACCGTCACCGTACCAATACCAAGGTTAGAACCACCACCTCCACCTTACCAGAAGACTCGTCATCATTCTATTCCACAGACATTTTCAAGGATGTCTCAACTAACAGAATCTCAAGAGACACTTATTGGTAATAATGTTGATATAAATATTAATACGGGTATACATTTCAAGAATCCAAATCCTTTTAAGAGACCAAGTAGTATAAAATTTAACCCAACGTATTCATCTTACGGAACTGCACCTGATCAATCTGATCTTCCAAGCTTTACGTTTTCATCTGCCCAAAACAATGATACAATACTAAGAAGAAATAGCATTGCACATGAACCAAGATATAATAATAACAACAAGAATAAAACTCATATTGAATCACCTTCAAGGTTCCCACCTGACTATGAAGTTTCAGAAAGTACTGAACAAGATGATCAGAACGATTTAACTATGTTTAACCTAGATGAAAACGCATGGTATCCTCATCCATTGACTTGATACCGACTATCTTACTAATATTCTAAAATTATCCGAAACCCACCCTCTTACTGATGACGCTTAATGATTGATTTAAGGTATTTGCCTTCTGATTTTATACATTCCTGAATAATGCTTAATAATTAAATAATATATATATAGACAGAGAATTTAATAGAACAATAAAGTATACTTATTCTTGTGAATCATAAATGCATATATACTGCGAGAAGCCTATTCCATAATTTCATTAATAATTGAATTACCCTTTTGAATCAGTCCAGACCGTTCTTCTTGAAGTTTTCGACGTTGGAGTTCTTTCGTTTTTAATTTTATGCGGGACTTGGCTAATTCAGTGTCAATAAATGAATCACCCTCAAAATCTTCGATATCTTTCCATAACGCTGGTAAACGTGCTTTTACGTTAATTTTGACCGTACTACTGCCTAAAGAACCGTTCTGTACGATGTTTTGTTCCCAATTATTTTGGTCGTCATCAACTTCCTTTTCGTTGATTGCTTGTTCTATTAAATATTTTCTATTCTGTTTCTCTAGAAGCATTTCGTTTTTTGTTAAAGCCAATTTACCATCATCAGCTATACTATCTGTGTAGTCTTCTGTGCTTTTTATATCATTATATTCATTAGCCTTAGTAATGCCACCATTATCCTTATATGTGTCTAATAAATCTAATCTTTCTTCTGAGGTTAATAATTTAGCATAATCCTTCTCAGATGGTCTTCCTTTTTCAACTTCTTGCTTTTGTTGAAACTTCTTCCTTAGTTTCTCCTTCTCTTTCTTTATTTCATCAATTTCTGAAATTGATAATATATTATTATCATCTATGTAATCCATATCGTTTTGTTCTATTTCATTTAATTCACACTCATCTTCTAGATTCAGTACAGCACTATTATTAGCTTTAATTTTGTATATTGATCCGTATGTATCCTTTTCTAGGATTATTTTCGAAGTATTATCAGAACTTGTTGAGCTGTTTGTGTCTTGTGATTTGAGAGAACTAGAAAATGGAGGAAGCTTCCTTGCTCCTTTCTTTAGCTTCAAACTAGGTAAAGAGTCAAAATCGTCCACTATCTCATCCTCATCAAAATTCAAAGGTATATTATTTTTATTCCCTTTAGATGTGGTTTCAGAAGAGTTGTGAGAAGAAATTGGTATCTTAATCTTATTTCTCTTTCTAAAACTCATTGTAATGACCTCATTATTGGTATACTCCTGATTCTTACTACGAATTAGTTAAATACCGCTTTTAACTTCTTTAACTTATTTTGATTATTCCAATGAAATATTTATTTTCTTTAAAAGGCCAAATCAATATATTTAACAGTTTTATTTTTTTTTTTTAATTATCGGACTCAGGTAGAAATAAACTAGTCCAAAAATAATTTGATGTAAAAAATGTGTGTGTGGAAAATGTTAATGCTAATGTCTTATTAGATTTTATTTGTTTATATATTACAAAGACTGTTAAAAACATTATATTATGGTAGAGGATTTCTGTATTTACTAACAATAAAGATTCTCCTGATATGAATGTCTATCTACAAAACTGAACTCAGTTTGTTTTTGTGGTTTAAGTGAGCAAATGTATTTTAGTAACACTATTCTTCCCTACTGGGAGTACGATACAACGATATATCGTTTCCTGTACCGGGATTTTCTAAAACCTGAGCTTCTTCATCAGAACTATAATCTTCAGGGCTTTCTATGTCAGATCCAGACTCTGAATCACGGGACTGTAATTCATCTTCACTGAGCGTAATATTAGACGAAAGTGTATGCAGTTTGTTGAATAGAGGGTTATTTGGTTTGACATACGATTGTCCGTCATCATTTGGATCCATGTAATCGTCGTCATCATCCGGATTAGGTGGCGAATAATCAATAAAATCATTTTGTAGAGTAGTGCTAAATCGTTCGTGAGTCTTTTCGTTATCACCCAATTTAAATTGATTGGTATATATATACTTCAATGTATCATCGTAATTAGAATTGTTTTCCGAATCTTCATCAGAATCAGTGTGGAATGAGTCTAAGTTTAAAGTAGTCTTGTGACCTGATGGGTCGATATATTCGTAAACCGCACTTTTTCCTCTGCGGTTTTCATCTTCTAGACTATCACTTCTTATGGTGTCATCTTCTAGGTTATGACTATATTTATAAAATGACTCGGTACTAGGTTCTTCACTTGTTTCAATATAGTCTTCGCCTTCTTTAACGAGATTGCCCTCATTTTGTTCAAAAGAATCATGAGCTTGCTCTATTGGATCATCTAAATCGTCAAGGGGATCAATATCTCTATTCTGCTCTGTCAATTTGTCTAACAATGCATTATTTTCTTCCATTTGTAATTCAGGATCGTTAGCTTCTATCAAATGGTCTTCATAATCTTCAGCATCGACATCTTCCAAGACAAAATCACCAAGTACAGTATTATATTTTTCTCTGATATCTCTTAATGTGGTATCCATAAAGTTAACCCAAGTTTCGTCATTCAAAGCAGTTTCAATTCCATCGTCGGTGAACGTTAACTTTAATTCCTCGACATACTCCACAAATTTAGCAACCTCTTCGGCAATTAATGTCAAATGACCCATGTACCCTAGTCTAATACCAGTGTTTGTTTCATTTTCTTTACAGATTTCGTCACCTTGAATGATTTTATCTGTTATCTTCATATCCGCTAATAAACCTGATAATAAAAATTTATTATAACCTGATTTTAATGGCCCATTAAATATTTGTTGAACTATATCAAATACTACGTTATGCAAAAAATTATTCCATTCAAATTGAAAAAACATGTCCATAATATTAGTTATAATTCCAGTATCATGTAATGCGAATTTCAATTGATCACCAGAAATATTCTTTTCACGAAGAGCTTGTTCTGCTTCTTTAGAGTTATCTATTTCATCATCAGGGTATACTTCATTATCATTTTCATCTGTGGCATTCAGTTCTTCATTATTCACTGGTTCATTTAATGATTCTTTATCATCATCTTCTTCATTTTCTGTTTTGGTGAAATCATTCTCTGAGCCATTCAATTTTAACGCCTCTAATTTATAAGTAAGATCGTCATTTTCAGAGCCATCGTCCATTTTGTTAATACTATCTCCATTGGCAATTCCTTCCTCTCTCAAATATTCTTGTCTAATATGATCTCTCTCGGAAGTAATCTTTTCACCTTCAGGTTCATTTAATAGTGCCATATTTGAACAATGTAACAATTCAGCTACTAATTCACAAATCTTAAATCTTTCGAATCCCAATGGTTCTATTTCTCCAATTGGAGTTTGTAACATTGGTAAATCACCATGTGTTAATAATTTTGCAAAATCACCCATATGATTTGCAAATGCTTTAACTAATGCAATTAAATGTACAGGATCTCTATCATTCGGTGGATGTGTCTTTACAGTAGTATACATGACTTGAATAAAATCATAATCAGAATTATTTTTTCTAATCATTTCAATTATTATTCCAACACCATTACTTAAAGAAGTGCTACCTTTTAGCATTATATTAATCAATTTTTCTACTATTTCGGTAGAGACTAATTGTCTTGTTAATTCATTTGGACCAATTCCTAAGGCAATTTCATTATTTGAATTAGCACTTAATGTGACGAAAGCTTTTAAAAAATCACCAGCGGCACTTTGAACCGACGTACTATATTTATCAAGATCTAATCTATCGATTAAATTTGGTATTAAATTTTGCTCTTTTAAGCAATTTATAATACCTGTTGGAGAATCCTGTTTATCTGTTGAAATTACTTTAAGTAAAAAATCCATTAAAGAAGGATTTTCAATATGATTAAGAAATCTTTCTGCACAACTATCTTGTGATAATATAAATGTTAACATTCCATTAACATCCATATCTAATAATCTCTCATTAATTTTCATAAAATATGTTGAAGCAGCCACTGATAAAGATGGTTTATGATCCATAATTGACCATAATTGTTCTAAAAGTTGAATATTTTCCATTATCGTTGATGCAATAGGCCATATATCAGCAGATAAAATTTCTGCAGCCATTCTTGCTCTTCTTGATTCTAATTGTTCTTCACTTTCAGGTGGAACAGTAACACTAGTTTCTTCAGAAATCATTGAGCTTGCATCATTTTCATCTTTTAAATTTGTTTCAATCTCTTCATAACCTTCAGAAATTTTATTTTTAATTATTGTTTCATCTGATTCACAATCTTTAGTTGGTTCTACTATAATTACATCACTATTCAAATCGTCAATACTATTATTTTCCAAATTAGATAAAGAATCATTACTTTTAATACTAATTTCATCAAAATCATCTGTTAAAATTTTTTCATTAGTAACGAAATCAATTAATTTTTGTAAAACTTCAGGGTATTTTAAATATATTAATAATTTAAAATTTGAACACATTAATTCTGTGTATAATTCTTCATCGTCTAATAAATCATCTAAAATATTTAAATCAGGTTTATAATCTTTATAATCTTCTTCATTACTTGGTAATTTATCGAGTGTTGTATCAGTTGAATCATTTTTAATTTTACTACCATCATTTATTGAAATATCAGGTTCACTAATGGGACTACCAGATTCTGTTGAACTATTGGTGATTGTTGTAGTTGTTACATTAACAATTATATCATTAATTTCTCTTGTATCTTTATTGCTATCATTGTTATTATTTTCAATTTTAATAAATGCTCTATTTAATAATTTTGTTACAGATGATTCAATAGAATAATCTTGACCGAATTTCCAAAATGAACCAGACATTTAGACAAAAATATTAAAATAATGTAAAAAAATATAGAGAACTTTGTTATGCTAATGACGTTATCTTCAAATAATAAATAGATATCTATATATGAAGAAAGAAATGGAAAAAGACAAAATGCAGGAAAATGAGAATAACTTATAATAATTTTAATAGTACAATTATCAAAAATAAAATAAAAAAAATATGACGAATTATTAAAATGAGAATATTAATTTAATATTGGAAGATCAAAAACTAAAAAGGAAAAAATGAATGAATGAAAATGTATTGATTATTATAAGTTCTTTAAATCTTTAGGTTAATCTTCTCTTATTAGTTTCAAAGTAAAATAAAAAGGATTAAAAATATTGGAAAGGTAATGTTATGTATATGTCTCTATATACATCTAAAGTAGGAAAAGATTCCAATTAGTAACTTTAATTTGAGACTATTTTATTATTCCTTTATGCAAATGGGTAAATTACCTTAATAACCTATTTTTTATTTGTATATGTAAATATGTATATATATACAAGATATTACAATTAATTGTTTCAACTTCAGTTAAACTAAGACCCTGTAGTCATTTTTCATTTCAATTCTGTCTAGTTCGTGTATAAATTGTTCATGAATTTTCAAAATACAGAGAGAGAGAAAAAACGAAAATTGAATATTTATTATGGGTAAGAAAATTGACAAAATAGTTGGAAAGAAACATCACCAATATATATCGTGACATATTATAACTTTATACGTAGTAATTAGCCTGGTAGAGCATTGTCATAGGCTGTTGCTGCAGCCTTTGTTGAAGTAAAGAGAGAGCGAGAGAAAATAAATTAATTTTAACTGCAATAATTAGAATACTAACAAGTCACGGTCGACGACGACGCTACTAAAATATGTTATATATACTGGTAACTGGAGTAAAACACTCGCAGAGTCTTCCCAGAGGGAGGTGACAATTCAACAACAGAATTTACGTAGAAGACGACAGCTGTCAAAAAAAGTTCAGTAGTTTGTTGTTGGTTATTTTTTTTCACATGTTGAGAGGGTAAACAAGTAATTCGTGGTAAGTGATAGAAACTAGGGAGATCGTTTGATACGTGGGACTGTATTGGGGAAGATCATATTATACGTAACAACCCCATCCAAATTTTATTTTTTTACACTGTCGGAGATAACCAACACTAACAAGGCAAGAAAAAAATGTTAAACAAGCATGTGACCTGTGGAAGTTTTGTATGAAAACATCTACACAGATGTCACCGCAGATGCCACAGTTTTATTTTTCCATTTATAATAGAAACGTATATTTCCACACGGCAAAATTTGGCATTTTCTGTGTGTGAAAAATACAGTTCATTCTACTCGGATCCGAAACTCCTTTCACTATGTGAAATAAATTTTTTCGGACGAAACAAAAGCAAAAAGGGATATTTAGAACTTTCATTTCGCTTACTAATAAAATTATCATTTGGAAACAGCCCAAAAATTAAAAAATTTTCACGATTTCTTCGCTTTATGCAATAAAGAAAAGTGAATTTTTTGTCAGAAAACCGAAGAGAGAGAGACTGACTGGCACAGTCTTTGGGCATCGCAAATCTTGTTTAAGTAAATATTTCACTATTAATTTTTTTTTTCTGTCAAGGATATTTACTTAGCTAGTACAATTGTTACTACTAGATCACTGAAAATAACAAGGATATGGATAATCTGTAACCCTTTTTACAATTATATATGAATAAAAAACAAGGATACCTTAGGTGGATCATTGTACTAATTAATATTTGAATCCCTTTTCCCTTAATGAATGAATAGATTTATCAAAACTTGTAAAGAAGGGTTTAAACATCTAACGATAACTTCTTGTAATTTAAAAGAACTCATGGGTAGTTATTTATTTTAGCAATTAAAGGGATACTAAGTTGTTGCAGCTTTTTAAGTATAATGATAACCCTTTCCCCACTATCTTTATCTTGGATATATCCCTCACTCTACTGGTTTAAACTGTTATTTTTTTTTAAGAATATGTATATATTTGAAAGCAGAGAAATCTATGTGGAGTGCATTTCGTATATTATGAAGCGAACAACATTGTAAAGATTAGTTATCTTTACAACTTTTCGTTAAATTTTATCTTAATAATATTACTCTCCATCTCTTCATCACTTATTATTGTTCTTCTTGCTATAACACTTTTTTTCAAGTTTTTTTTTTAAATATTGATGTTCTACTTGATTTTCTTACGCATAGACTATTCGTTATGTAATACAGCTAAACCTTGATAAAAATATTTTAATTAACTTGAAATATATATTATATATAATATTCGTTTTAATTCATTAGTAATTTTTGTTAATTGATAGGATACATTTTTTTTTATTTTAGTTTGAGTGTGCCTTTTACTATATTAAAAATATTATTAATTTATTTTTGTTTGATAATTTGTTGTTAAATTTATTCGTATATATATTCTAACAGTGTGAATGAACAACAATTGAAAATTAATAAATTTTATCATTTCAGATTAATCTATTTTATTTTATTTTATTTTATTTTATTTTTGTTCTGTTTTGTTTTTGCTTTATTCACCTCAGATAAGAACCATTATTATAGACTATCAATTAAATTATCAATGGGTTTATTAGCTGCTGGTACACCATTAACTTGGTATGATTCAAGACGTTATAATGAGCATGTTAAAACTGAAGGTACAGAACAACTGTTACAGGTTATGAAAGCTGCCGCAAATAGAGATCATGATCCATTATATTGGGGTGATGAAGTTGAATATATGTTAATGGAAATTGATGATACAAACTGTAACACAATGTTAGATGTAATTGATGATAAAATTATTACGGATTTAAATACGGATGATTATCAACTTTGTAAAGATAATAATGTTGAAATTCATCCAGAATATGGTAGATTTATGGTTGAAGCAACTCCAGGTGGTCCTTATCATGGTTTAACAAATGGACATTTTGTTGAAAGTAATATGGTTGAAAGAAGAAAAATTATTGATTGGAAATTAAATCAATATGCAAGAAGATTATCAAAGGGTAAAAGATTATCTGTATTAACTATGACTTCTTTCCCAAGATTGGGTGCATCAGGAAAATTTTTAAATATTGAAAATCAATGGGATCATAAAAATTCTGCATCAAGATCTTTATTTCTACCTGATGAAACTATTAATAGGCATGTAAGATTCCCAACTTTAACAGCAAATATTAGAGTAAGACGTGGTGAAAAAGTTTGTATTAATTTACCAATGTATAAGGATAAATTTACACCAGAATATGATACTTCTATACATGATAGAGAATGGTTCACTCCAGAAGATTTGGAATCAAAATTAGCTTCAAAGAAGGGTCATGTTTATTTAGATGCAATGGGATTCGGTATGGGATCTGCTTGTCTACAGATGACTTTCCAAGCTCCGAATATTGAAAAATCGAGATTTCTTTATGATTCTTTAGTAAATTTTGCTCCTATTATGTTAGCAGTCTCTGCTGCTGCACCTGCATTTAAAGGTTGGTTGGTAGATCAAGATGTTCGTTGGAACGTTATTTCGGGAGGTGTGGATTGTCGTACTCCTTTTGAACGCAGTACAGAACCTATTTTACCAAAATATAATAAAAATGGTCTTGGTGGTGTAAGTGAAGAAGAACAATCAAAATTACAAAGAATTCCAAAATCAAGATATAGTTGTGTTGATTTATTTTTAGGTGGTAAAAATAAACATTTTAATCGTACTTATAATGATACAGAAGTTCCGATTAATGATAAAGTATTAAATAGATTATTAGAAAATGATATTTTCCCATTCGATTATGATTTAGCTAAACATTTCGCACACTTATTCATTAGAGATCCAATTGCGATCTATGAAGAAAGTATAAATCAAGATAATATGACATCAACAAATCATTTCGAAAATATTCAAAGTACAAATTGGCAAACTTTACGTTTTAAAGTACCAAATCAAAAAGCTATTCCATCAAACAAGAGTGCCCCAGGTTGGAGAATAGAATTCAGACCTCTTGATGTACAAATTACAGATTTTGAAAATGCAGCTTATGCAAATTTTATTTTCCTTATCTCCGAAGCAATTTTAACCCTTGGTGAGAATTTGAACCCATATTTGAAAATGTCACAAGTATGGGAAAATATGCATAAGGCACACTCAATGGATGCTATAGTGAAAGAAAAATTCTATTGGAAGGATTCTTTTACGACTGAAACATCTTCCACATCATTACTTTCAATCAATGAAATTTTCCACAACAATGAATCTGGTATCTTTGCAACATTTATCAATCCAATATTGATGTATAGAGGTTTGGTTAACAAAGAATGGCAAGAATTGCAAGTATCTCCAAATTATCAGAGATTGTATTATTATCTGAAAGTTATTTCCGATAGGGCTTCTGGTAAGACCGTATCTGTTGCAAGATTTATACGTAACTTCATTATTAGTCATCCAGATTATAAGCAGGACTCCCAAGTATCAGAACTGATTAACTATGATTTAAGTCTGATGTTTGAAAGATTAACTAATCTAGACAATGCAAATGATGAAATTACTGCATTGTTCGGTCATTCTACTGCTGAATATCTGACCACTACCAAATTAAATAAATAGAAGTATTAATATTATTATTTTTTTTTTTATTTTAAATATAAATCAAATAAAGTGTATCATATTCCATTGCAAATTAATATTCAATTTTAATTGTTAAAATTGTTATTTAAAATAATATTTTTTTGAAAAAATATTATTTTAAATAAAGACAGCAAATGTCCTAAGTTCATTTATTTGGAAACTTCAAGAATATGACAATTTGAATTATCAAATATAGTTGAACCGTTTACTTTTAAAAGAATTTGGAATGATTATTCAAAACTTTCTAACAAATCAGACAAAAAAAATGCTATGTTGAATTAATACTTATCTAACCAATGCTGAACCACATTGAAAAGAGAGTACATTTACAACTAAGGTTAAAAAATTTATTGTATCACAATTTACAAGGGATGCAAAAATTGAAAAAATTCTTCCCCGCCAGGACTCGAACCTGGAATCTTCTGGTTCGTAGCCAGACGCCGTGACCATTGGGCCACGAGGAACAAGAATTTAAAAAAAAGGACCTCAAAAGTACATTTTGACCAAATCTTACTTTTTCAAATAAGTATTCTTTGGTCTATATAGATGCATTATAGCGGTTATTGTAAACGTAAGTTGGATATCGAGAAGGTACGATTATTATTTGGGTTTATAAAGTCGGACATAGAGATAGATTATCAAATGTATTCTTGTGGTTTTATTATATGTTATATAAAGTAAATATAAGAAAAGGAAATAATATACATAAGTATTAGAATATGTGGCCCTTTTATACTTATAGAAAAGGGTGGCAAAGCTATCAATTACTGATAGCGTGTTTACTAATATTCTTAAAGAATGTTCTAGAACATCGTGGAAAAATCTCTGAAAGTTCTAGAATGTTATGGAACATTGTTACTGATATGTTCTAGAACCTTGTGGAACAATTAGTAATAATCCTACTAAATGTAAAATGTTAAATAACTAAGTGTTGACGCAGTTTAGAGATCTCAAATTGTCGAGGTATCTCTAAATTGGAAGTGTTTGTGAGAGACATATTATACGTATACAATTATATAGTATTTTTGTATTCTTCTTTTCTATTGTACATAGAAGTATATAAATTAACATTTGGATAAAAGTCCCATTTATATACTTACCGTCTGACAGTTGAAGATTAGTCTCATTTTGTAAACATATCTTACATTTTTGTTTCATGACACAACCGCACACTGTTTCTTAGTGTAACGTGGTCTGTTTCATAATGTAACATGTTTCAAAATGTAACACTAAGTATTGCCACTTAATATATTATAACATACCCCCGTAAGTCAAATACTGGGTTAATTGAAAATTTTCTGACTAAGATATGTGAAAGGCTTCTTAGCCAAAGTCTTAGTTGTAATATCCGCTAATTGATTATCTGTTCCAACGTGTTTGATTTCTATTTCACCATCACTGATTGCTTTGCGTATGTAGTGGTGTTTTATCGCAACATGTTTCATACGACTATGATGAACTGGGTTTTCAGCGATAAGAATGGCAGGCATATTGTCAACCCATAATATAGGAGTTTTAATTTTAATTTTCATGTATTGCATTAAATTTCTTAACCATTGCATTTCTGCTACCGCTTCACTGGTGCTAATGTATTCAGCTTCGGTGGAAGAGAGTGTTACCGTAGATCTTATCTTTTTAGAGAACCAAGTAATAATACCACCAGCTAGTTGTGTAATATACCCCCGTGTAACGTATGGAATATCCGTAGTAGTACCATAAGAGGCATCAGAATAGATGTTCATATGAATAGGAGATCCAATACGATACACCAAAGCAGTAGTACGGGTGGTGTATAAGTACTGGAAAACACGATGAGCGGCTTTTAAATGAAGTTCAGTAGGGGCTTTTAGAAACCTGGAGAGTAAAGAGACCGAATGTGCAATATCAGGACGACCAGTGTTAGCAATAAATAGAAGTTGGCCGACTATACTCTGATATGGTGTAATGTTAAGCAATGGAAGAGATTTGTCATCGAAGAGATCAGTTGGTGTAGGCAAAGGAATATCCACTGGTTTCTCGAGAGGAATTGAATTTGATCGAGCAGAGTGAGAGATATAATCTTCTAAAGATAATGTAATAGCATCTGGAGTTTGTTTAACATTCATCCCTAGAAATTTGTTTACTGACATCAAATCCTTCATGGAATAAAATTTGGATAAAGCTTGCTTGACTTTTTGCATAATAGTCAAGTCAGGTGCCGCGATAAGTAAATCATCGACATACAAAGCAACTAAGATAATACCAGACGGGGATTGTTTAAAGTAGAGTCCATGTTTACCAGCATGTTGACTAAAGCCCAGTTTAGTCAATGTACCATTAATGTGTTTGTGAACGATGGCGGTTGACGTACGTATACATCATCATCCATAGGTGAATTCAGGAAAGCAGTATTGACATCCATTTGATGAACCTGAAGATTGAGACACGCGGAAAGAGCTAGGAATATGCGAACGGAATCATAACGGACAACAGGAGCAAATGTTTCTGTGTAGCCGAGTCCGGCAATTTGGCGATGTCCCTGAGCAACAAGACGTGCTTTGGCAGTTGAAGTACCTTTAACAGTTAATACCCATCGAGTACCAAGAGCTTTAATACCAGAAGGAAGAGGAACTAGGCGATAGGTGTTATGGTCCGCAAAAGCCTTCAGTTCTTTTTGGCACGCAGTTAACCACGCGGTAGAATTTTTCCCTGTAAAAGCGTTTTTGATGTTAAAAGGGAGAGAAAGTGAATCATTCACCATAGAATGACCACGAATCATTGCTGTTAAAGCCAACTTCGTGACATTAAGTTCAGGGGAGGATGAGGAAGTAGCAGCATTACTACTACCAGTAGGTGTTAAAATTTGTTGCGAAAGTGGGTTAGAAGAATCCCTTACGACTATAAAGTTCTGGGAATTAAATAGAGGATCAGCAATTGCAACAGGCAAAGAATGTAAAGAATGGCCAGTTGGTGACCAATCTTGTTTGGAAAGAAAATGATGGACACGATCGGAGTAAAGTTGATCCACAGGAGTTTGTTGAACACCCACGTTATCTGAGTCCTCACTTGGAGTAGACGAAAATTGATGATTATCCGCCGTATTAAGAGAAGTAGGGATGGCTAGAGTATTAGAAGTACTTTCGAGCTGTGCATTCAGTTTTTTAGAAGTGTGCGACTTTGGTATTTTTTGTTGTGCATAACCAAGAGTGAGTATCCCAATGCTTATGTTGGATCTTTAAGATGACCAATTGAACTCCAGATCAGCTGGCCTATCAGATTCGATTACTGATCCAGTTCCTAATTTTGAGGGGCAACTTGTTTGAATGTTCCCTTCAAGATGTGCTTAACAAACGTCACTACAGTCTTGCAAATCTGATAAACCCATTGTGCGGTTTACTAGTATATCCCCAGCACTTTTAATTTCCATATCATAATGTATTAAAGATAGTAGTTAAATTTTTAATTAAATAAGTTTTCAATATTACCCCCTTCTTATTAAAAATTAAATTTGGAAACGTTCTATTTCTTTGCTGACTTCGATTATATAAATTTTAAATAGTATACCTATATGCATACCTTACAGATAAAATGACGACTGAAATGTTATACATACAAAAGAAAATGAATCAACGAAGATCTGTTGTAAAGCTATTAACTCAGTTTTGAATCAACTCACCGATTCTCATCTATTTAATGACCACCCTTCTAAGCTTAGTTCCACTATAATTTGGCAGTTATTGCGCGATGGAAATTTTCAATTGCTAAATAGGCCGAACATCGAAAAATTCTGAAAAAAACCCAACTTGATACTTGAAGAAAAAGTTCTTAACCAAATGCCATTATAGACTTGCAACTCATTTGACAAATTATCAACTCATACAGACTAATAATTTGTCAGAAGAATTCAAATAGTTCTAGAAGGAAATTTTATATCTTACAAATTTGTCCTTTTGTTTGAGGAATTGAAAAATATAAAGTTATACATTTGATAAAGCATCTAATTTCTGCTTAGCTATTCAATACTACATCGACTACAACAATGCCTACCACAGATGATTTTGATATTACTGAAACGTATTTAAAGTTTCTAGAAGAGGATTCAGAGATGACTATGCCTATAGCGGCTATTGAAGCTTTAGTTACGCTAGTTAGAGTTAAGAACCCAACAACAGCTGCGGAAGTTATTAATTTGATTAAGTCTGGAGCTGAAGTTCTAGTCAAATCTATTCCAAATTCGGTGTCTCTAAGAGCTGGTTGTGATATATTTATGAGATTCGTTCTCAGAAATCTTCATTTATATGGTGATTGGGAAAGCACAAAACAACATTTAATAGAGAATGGGCAATTGTTCGTATCGAGAGCCAAACTATCTCGTGAAAAAATTGCGGAAATTGGTATCGATTTTGTCTCTGATGATGATATTATATTAGTTCATGGTTACTCGAGAGCTGTTGCTTCTTTGTTAACCCACGCAGCTAATAGATTTATTAGATTTAGATGTATTGTTACAGAAGCTAGACCTACTTCTCAAGGTAAACAATTTTACGAATTCTTACAAGAAAAGGGCATACCTGTAACATTGATAGTCGATTCTGCAGTAGGGTTGATTATTGACAAAGTTAATAAAGTGTTTGTCGGTGCTGAAGGTGTTGCTGAAAGTGGTGGTATTATCAACAGAGTTGGTACATATTCGGTGAGTGTTTTAGCACATAATGCCAAGAAACCGTTCTACGTGGTAACGGAGAGTCATAAGTTTGTTCGTATGTTTCCATTAGCTGCAGATGATCTTCCAATGGACAGAAAAATTTTAGATTTTTCTCGTATTGATAGTGAAGCTAGTTTGTTGAGTGGTCCAACTATTGATTATACTGCTCAAGAGTATATCACTGCATTAATTACTGATTTAGGAGTTTTAACCCCCAGTGCTGTTTCTGAAGAACTTATTAAAATGTGGTATGATTAAAGAAAATATTTGCTCGTCGTTGTTTTTGCATTCTAGGTAGTATCATTGGTAACATTAACCATATTTTACTTCATATATACGTATCTTCTTTAAAAATTTAGCATCAAGGATATAAAATTATGTACATTGTTTAATAAATGTCAGATAGGCAACGTAGTCAAAAATACTAATTTTGTAACACTAAAATATGGTTTATGTAAATGCAATGTTTATTTAACTTATCTTGAATATATATCTTTGTTATACAAGATGGTTTAAATATTCTTCGTGACTTTCGATTGGTTTTACAATACTTTCAGAAGATTCTTTTATAACTGATTCTCTAAATTGGCGCACTGTATTTTCCGCCCAATTTAGATCTACCTGTGTCTCTTCATCCGCAACCTTGTGGGCCAATAGGGAGCCCGTTAATCTATTTTGTGATGAATCATTAACGCTTTTCACAGACATCGTAACAACCTGGGCTCTTTGAGATGCCGGTGTTGCATTTAACTTTGATTCTTCCTGTCTTCTTTTAAGATTCACAGCATCAATATATTTGAAAAAGGGTTTTAATTGAGCCGTCGTTCTAACAGGTACTAAATAGGCTTGATTATCTTCCATAAACGCAGCATATTGGCAGATGTTGTTGACACCAACACCCTTCAATGTTTGAACTTCAACACCATTCCAATTCTCCTTCGCCTTATCTTCGTTAAAGAAAGCCTTAGAATCAAGTGGAACATCAATTTCCCATAGCGACGATTTAGACTTATATCTTGCTGCCGATATTGGAGGATGTTCACTAGGTTTATGATTCACTAGCCTTAGTTTGTTGATGTATTGGAAAATGTGAAGATTTTCATCCTTACCCCCAAAATTCAAAGGTATTTCCTTAACAACTGGATCATCATCATCATTATCCGAATCAATTTCATCTTCTTCTTCGTCGATCATTCTAATGTCTTCAATTTCAACTTCTTGAACAGCCTCTCCTTCTACCGCAATATCTTCCTCCTCTTCTGCAACAAACAGTTTGTTATCGTTTTCACTCATCTCAGCTATGATAATTTCCTCCTTAATCTAATCCAAAGATACCGTAAATATAACCAATACTTTATTTGGTGCAAAACTACTACTCTTTTGTGTTTTGTACAACACCAATTTAATAGTTATTTTTCATCAATAGTGGAAATGTAAAAGAAGACTATAGTGAAATTTCAGAAAATCATTATATGCACTATCCGAAAAAATTTTTTTTTTTCATTTTGGTTCTGCGATGAGCATCACAAAATTCACAAACCAATGCTATACTCTACAGAGATATAAGAACCATAAAACTATTACAAAAGGACCAATTAATAAATATTTTCTACCACAATTAAACTCTATATTATCATAATATACCATTACGATAAAAAAATAAATAATCCTCAAGTAGAAATAAAAACTATGAGTGAAGATAACGATTTATTCATTAATCTGGCTACTCCGGATCAGCAGATTTCAAACTCTTCTAATTCTATGAACAAGGTTTCCGGTGGGAGATGGAAGGATAGAAGAAAGCTGAGAATGCTAATGGATAATAGACCAAAAAGAGATAAAAGGTCTTATGACAATGAAGAAGTAGAAGGTTCTTTCAACCGAAAGGACAAAAAGGCTAAGAAACAGGATAAAATTAATGATAATCCAGCAGTCACAAATGCTCATACCAAACAAATTGACCAGAGACTATCACAAAATAAAAAAGGTAATCCAGTTAATGTCGATAGTCAAATTGTTTCTTCATTATTTACTTCTAACAGAGAAATTACTACTTCGGAAAATACAAACAAACACGATAAGAATGCAGAAGTAGTAGCGTCAAATGCTCCATTAGCGGCTAATACATTTGCTGATCTAGGTATCGAAGAACCATTACTGTCATACTTATCAACTAAAATGAATATTGAGAAACCTACCTCCATTCAAAAATTGGTTATTCCTCATCTTTCTTCTGTTGCAAACGATAATGATTTGTTTATTCACGCCCAAACAGGTTCCGGTAAAACTCTAGCATATCTACTACCGATACTTTCTTCAGTCCTTAACATGAAAACACATGTTGACCGAAAATCAGGATCTTTTGCATTGATCATTGCACCAACAAGAGAATTGGCTTCACAAATTTATGATGTTGCAACTAATCTAACAAATTGTTGCAGGTATTTAGTACCATGTTTATTAATTGGTGGTGAGAGGAAAAAATCAGAAAAGGCAAGATTACGTAAAGGTTGTAACCTTATCATTGGTACACCTGGTCGTATTTTAGATCATTTGCAAAATACACAAGTAATTAAAGAACAAATGGCTTCTTCTTTAAGATATGTTATTCTTGATGAGGGTGACAAATTAATGGAATTAGGATTTGAAGAAACCCTGCGTAATATCTTTGAAATTATCCACAATATCCCAATTGATACTGACACATTCCCAAAATTACCTTCAAGAATTATGCATGTCCTGTGTAGTGCAACATTAAAGGAGAATGTTAAACAACTAGGAAATGTGACACTAAAAAATTATAGATTAATTTCAAATTCTCAAAAGGGTAGTAAAACAAATGATGAATCTGTTATAACAGCTGTTCCAGACCAATTACTCCAAAACATCACAATAGTACCACCAAAATTAAGATTAGTTACATTGGCTGCAGTACTAAATAACATTACCGTAAAACATATGAAGGAAGATGATGGTACTTATCGTACTATGATTTTCTTATCATGTGCTGATAGTGTCGATTTCCATTTTGAAGCATTCTCATCAATGGATTCTCGTCATAAAGATCTAGTAGAGGGCGCTGTAAGATTGTTAACAAAAGGAAGTTCTGTCTTCCCATGTTTCAAGGAAGATGAAGAACCAAATGTTATTTTTTATAAATTACATGGTTCATTATCCCAACAGGTCAGAAGTTCCACTTTAAAACATTTTGCATCTAATAAAGATGCTACTAAAGGAAAGCACTTGGTCTTATTTTGTACCGATGTTGCAAGTAGAGGTTTAGATTTACCACATGTGGGTACCGTCATTGAGCTTGATCCTCCATTTAATGTCGAAGACCATCTTCATAGAATCGGTCGTACTGCCCGTGCAGGTAGAACAGGTGAAAGTATATTATTTTTAATGCCAGGAGAGGAAGAAGGTTATATGGATGTCATTAAACCTTACCATAAAATGGGTTGGACTTTATTGAAATTCGATAAGGATATATTGATGCCAGCATTCAGTGAAACCAACGTTGGAAGAAATGACATGAAAGAGAGAAAGAAAAAGGACATTGATCTGGAATGGGATACAAATGCAACAACATGGCACTTGAATGTCGAAAGAAGAATTCTGGAAGATTCCGAATTTAAGGATGTTGCTTCTAAGGGTTATAGCAGCCATATCAGAGCTTACACAACCCATATTGCAAGTGAAAAAGCCATATTTAATGTAAAATTTATTCATTTGGGTCATCTAGCCAAAAGTTTTGGTTTACGTGAAAAACCTAAAACTATGGGTATTCAAACTAGCAAGCAACAAAAGGAAATTGGTGAATCAAAGAAATCGAAAGAAGGTAACAAGAACAAGATGTGGCGTATTGCACGTATGACTGCCAAAGACACGGCTAATGAATTTAATTATTAACATTTATTATTTTTAATAAAACTATTTTATTTTATCTATAATTAAACTGCATTTATATATATAACACTGAACTGTCTATAGTACTGCAAGGATATTATCTTCAAGGGCAGTCTCATTGTTGGAGGCAATTTGTACCCTTGGTTCCTTACCTAGTCGACTACTTAGTTGAAAATTATCGGTTTCAGTTGTTTCGTCTTCTTCTGGATTCCTGTCGATATACATGGCTCTTTTGAATTGTTTCTTATCCTTTTCGTAATCCCATACATTTGATTGAAGAACTAGACTATCGACATCCTTCTCTTGTTGGAGCTGCTGTTTGCTTGAATTAATTTGGTGTAAATCAGCTCTATCTTCAGCATCACTGATATCATCAGGATCCTCATCAGAATCAGCATATACGTTGCCATGATCTTTTTTTAGCTCAGTCATTGTAACTTTACCATTAGCGCCAATATTCATGCTTACAACATATTTATCACTCTTACCGTGTCTCTCTTTTTCCATTTTTTCCCATTTTCGAAGATTTCTCTGTTGTTTCTTCAAAATCATTGCCCTTTCCTTGGAGTTTCCCCACATACCGGTATCCCCAGACATATCAAAGTCACTTGCATTGTCAATAATTTTCGTTCTCTCAGCTGATGTATCCTGAAAATGAAGTAAATTTTCTAGTCTATTTTGAGCCTTTTCCAATTCCTCGTCAACAACTTCCTTCTGTAGTGGGATTACTTCCTTTGGAGCATCATCTAGTTTTTTCATTATTTCGTCTCTTTTCCGTTCTCTTTCATGTTGTCTCTCTATGAAGTCAAATAGTTTATCTTGTTCCTTGAATAAATTCTTACCCATTCCTGAAGATATCTTGTATGTTTTGGTTGGCTTACGTTTAGTTGCAGTTGTATCCTTTTCAACCTGGTCTGATTTACCAGACATAATGTCATCTTTCTCTTTATTAAGTTCTTGTATCAATTCATACCTCTCTTTAAAAGGAATTAATTCAGTCCCACAAAAACTGCAGTTATTTAAATTTAACCCCTCCTTTACACATATTAGTTTACCACAAGAAAGACAATTAGGTGCAAGTTCAAATAACGGATGTATTCTGCCCTGACAAGAACATGCATACTCTTTGGAATTGGTTTTCTTATCATTTAAGTCCAGTAGTTTAACGGCTTCATTAATTTCATCTAAAGATTGAAGTTTCTTTTGTTTTCCCAACTTCTTTCCAGAAGAGCTATTATGGGGGCTTTTGGAAGTGACAGTAGATTCCTTACTTGGTGTAGCTATTTTTGAAACAACTACATTTCTATTATTAGTTGGTTTTGGTGGTACTTTAATAAGAGGTGGAGGTCCATCATTTTGGGTTGTAGGGGTAGTTTTTGTCGTTGTTCCCGTTGCTCTGTCTTCCTTCTTATAATCATTATGAATATTGTTACTACCTCCTTGCCCTAATAACTCATTGAATTTAAAAACAAAATCAAATACCATCTCCTCCTGACCAAGTATATTCATGAATCCTTGTGCAATTGAGTCTGGTGTCTCATTTGTTGTAATGATTTGATTACATAGGTCGACCACATCTTGTTTCTCTAATGGCAAAATCTGTGGAATTGTTTCGATAGCATAATCGAGAGCTTCAGTTTTGGTCATTTTCAAAATCTATTATTTTTAATAGTTAGTTGTTGCTCCTGACATAAACATATAATAGTAAAATTTTAAACGAATTGCCAAGATTGCCCACATTTTGTTAGTTTGATTTCTATTTCTACTGTTTGAAGAGTTGCCACTTCTAAATTTTCCCGCGGACCTCTCTCTAAGACACACACATATATATGCAAAAGGTGCTATGCTATATATAGGCATTAGAAAAACTAATCCCAATAGGGAGAAGTGTATTGCTGGATTTAAATACTGAAATATTTGAAATATCTCTGTTAAAATTATTTCATTACATCGTCTATATAATATTAAGTGTGAAACTCCTAAAGCTTAAATCATTTCTGCAATTTCTTCCTATAATCAGCGAACGAGAGTTTCTTTTTTAAATTCGAAGCATTAGAGTCTTGCGCTGAACTCAGTTCAAGCGTTTGTTTGTTAAATTTAGAATATGTATCTCTTCTAGGTAAATCACTTGAGCTTAATTCGTTTGGTAATTTATCAACGTGACCAGCTGGTTTCACTTCTTGCATATCTGTAGATACACTATTAGTTTCAGGGACATCTTCAGATACAGACTTCTCATAAGGTAGGTCAACTGGTATTGGCAGTTTATTAATATCTGTAACAGCTGAGTCATTATATTTACTTAATAATTTATCGAGTGTTTTCTTTCCCTTAGAGGAATTGCTATTAATATGATCTTTCTTTGCTAAAGAACGGATAAACGTCTCTTTCGATTTAAAGTTAGTTCGGCTAGTATTATTGTTGCCAAGAGTTCCATCTTTCTCGATCAGATCAATTTTGTTCCGGTTATTCTTTTCGATACTATCTTCAATGGAATCATCGTATGATAGGTTTAGTATGTTCGCATGTAGCATGTTAATATCTTGCTCCTTTCTTCTGCTTATTTCATTTGATAATCTGTTTAATACTGGTCCTTTGCGTTTTTTCGTATTTAGCTGATATTGACTTAAGATTTGGTTCAACTTATATCTGTTGTTCATTTTTGACTTGACAGATTTCACCAATGTCTGGGAAATTTTCTTGATTTTTAGAAGATGACAATCTTTACTATTGTTTCCACAGCCGCATTCGCAATTACTGAGAATGGTGTCTACGGAATGTATTAAAGAATACTTAACAGTGTCATCGAAGGATTCAAAATCATTCGGGCCATTTATTATCCTTAAAATTGGATGTCTTAAATCCCATTGCCAACCAATGTATAATTCTTCGCCCTCTTCCACATTCTTTATCGCTTGGAGAACAAACTTTATAGACCCATCAGATAATCTGATAGTGACCAATTTTACGTTAGGATTACAACTTCTGCGTAAGAATCTCGTGTAATTACCACAAGTTCTTTGATCTATTGTAATAGGCCAATTTTCGTGAAAGGTTACTTTCCTTTTTGGTGTACCCCATATTCTATATTGATTCCTTGGATCCATTAAATAATTTTTTTGAAAATCTAAATCACCTACTACTTCAGTTATAAAATCATTCTTTTGGCAACTATCCACGATGAATACACCAAGCTTCATAAACCCAGGAAAATATCTTGCATTATTTGATTCATTATACGATTTTACATCAACAGGGATTGATTTGAATTGTATAGAATTGTATGGGATCACGCAATCATCATTCTTGTGTTTCTCGATGAAAAGTTTCACATATTTATCTACGTAACGAGATTCCTCTAATGCTAAATACACGGAGGGAAACGCTTCTTTTGGTGGTAATAAATGTTCTTTCTTTCTAATATCTGGAACAATAGATACGATTTGGTTTGTGGTAGTTGTTTTCTGGGCGTTAGTCTTTCCATCGATATCTTTAGTTGGTTCATTATTCGATGAGCTATTTTGAGATTCGGTTTCATCATCATCATTTACCTTCCTTCTCTTGATTTCTTGTGTATCTAAATTTCCCGTTGCTTTATTTACCAATGCTTCTCGTTGTCTTTTTTGTCTTTGTCTTGCAGTTTTTGTATCCAACTTTCTCGGGTGACATGCATTACAGAGGTATTGTTCTGGTACCTCATTGATATCCTCTATTCCGTAACAAATTGCATGTTGCCATCTATAACAATGGTCACACTGTATTGTAAATCCATCATCATCGTCAAATCCACATATACAAGTGATAATTCCAGAATCAGGATCCACAATATATGAATCTAATACGGGCCATTTCTTGGGACTTTCCAAATCATTGCCTAATGTTGATTTTCGTATGTGATTTGGTGAAATAGAACCCAGATTTCCATCTTTAGTAGTTTCTTCGGTGTCATGTTTTTTTAATGGGAATGGAACAGATGCTGCTGTAGCTAAGGCTGCTGCAGCTGCAACTGCAGCAGGATTTGAACTTTTACGAGAGGGTGGTTGACTCAGATTTTGATGTGGAAAGACTTCATTTTTTGGGTGGCTGCTGTTAGGTACAAGGGCAGTCGTGTTATTGTTTTCATTTGAACTTACTTGTTCCCTGTTTTCATTGTTCATATTTGTGGTTTCTTTGGAACTATCTTCATTTGCTGTCAGATTTGTACTGGGCGGGAGATTTGAACTGGGCAATGATTGTGGATTCGTACGGCTTGAAAACATTAATAGTGTTGATGCATCATCTAAAACAGATTGGTTCTGTATTTGTGAACCTTTATTATCCGGGGAACTAGAAGGCATTCAGTGTTATGTATGAGAGTATTTAGTATTTGATAATTGCAACTTTTTAATCGCTTAAGTAAGGAAGGTCGTATTCTGATCTAAATAACAGTGAGACTTATTATTATTGTAAAAGTGGTAGGGTTAACAGTGCTATGTTATACTTTCTAAACGGTAGTCTATTTGTGTTGCTTCTTCCTTTTGAGTTCTAGAATATTTACTGATTTGATATCTGAAAAAATGTCTATTGTTGTTTTGTTACTAGTTGTGTTCTGATTTTTTTGCTGTTTTTTTCAAATTGACTAACGGCAAGTTTCGAATCTAGAAAATATACCGACTACATATTAATTAATATAAATAAATATACATTTATATATTATATATATATATATATTAAAAATAAAATCCTAATTGGAAATTATACAGATCAAGAAACGTTTGTAAATTTAGAAAATATACGAGACACTGATATATTATTATATAAATCGAGTACCGCATGTGCAAGATCTATACTCTAAAAGTTCCCTTATTAAATTCTGTGTAGTCAATGAACGAAACAAGAAAAGAAAAAGGATTTCCAAATGCAGTAAAGTTGAAATTTGGAACTGAAAGGATCGGGACAATAATAAGATTACAGTAGAATTTTGTTAGGAGATTTATGTAGCATACGTATTTTGTAACGTTGTTGTTGGTATTAAAGAGTATGATTTTATTTCATCATAAGGGAGCCTAGAGATGCTTGTTGAGTTCTCTGACGAAGAAAATATTCAGTATAGTACCATGATGGTGGAAAATTTAAGAAATATATATATCTACACGTCAATTATGTACCCTTGCGTTCTTGCTACTGAAAACGTACCGTATCGTACATATCAATATTGTCTGATTGGCACTTAGTTAACCAAGAGGGAGATCGAGAAATGAAACTGAGGCCGTGAAGGGTGACAGATGGCTATCTGAAGAAATTGTAGCAGAGGAGTTATATTAACGAACAGGAAAAAGACAATATCTTCTGTGTTATTCTCTTCATTGTTGTACCGATTTTCTACATCTATACAAACTTGAAGATATTCCTAAGCCAATCAACTCAACGATATTGCTCAACTTCTTGAGAGTTTTGTACATTCGGACTTAAATCCGTTGGTCAAATTCAGGGTGGTTACCCCTGGTTACTGGTATATAAACGGGTTTTATGTATCAGTTCCAGTACTTATTTTCACTCTCGTATATTCATTAATAATTGAAACGAGCCTGTAATTTTACATCTTTACCGTTGGTTTTAGATGAGAGTAATAGGCCGTTCTTTTGTAGGTAAGACAGTCGTTTAATCGGAAAAGAGAAAGAGAAAAGATATTAAACAGTGGTAGTAAAATGTGCCTGTACTTCGTAATAAATATTCTCTTGTTTTCCGTGATTTTGTATTATTGCTCTTGGAGTTTGTCGTTTGTTCTTTGTTTTAACTATACGTTAAATTCGATATTTGCGATGGGAATTTTTAATGTCACAACAAAATCTTATTTTACCGCAGAAGAGCCATACTTTGTTTGGTTTTTTTGGTAGAGAAGTTCGCAGACAAAATATGCTATAGTGGAATAGAATAACCTCGTATAAAGATGAGAGTATTCTTTTAACTTCAGAGGAGATTTGTATTGTTTATCCTAGTAGCGTTCATTTTGGTTGAAAAGTTCGACCTTGTATGTGTGACATCATCGACTAAAATATACTGTATTCCCTCCCACTAAGTTGACATATTTTTCTGATACTTACACATGAATATGTAATGCTAATGTAATTAGTCGTTTCTGGCATCTCGAGAATAAAATGTACGTCTCATCAAATAGAATGTATATAAGCCATTTATGCATGTATATTTATGTAAATGTTAAGGGTAGTGTATATACATATATATAAAGGAAAGTAAGAAACCCTAACTGTTTGTTGAAACTTGTCTGTCACATATTATCAACAACTAGAAAGAACTTACTTGAAGTAACGAAACAAAGAAAGAAAAAAAGTTTATTAAGGATGACGTAACATACATGTAAAATAATTGTAAAAATAACACTAAGAGGAACTTTATTGCCTCGTAACTAATCATAAATATCAATCGGCGGTAATCTATCGGCATTGTAAAACCAATTTTTGGATTCAACCTCTCTAGCAAGCCATTCTGTTGGGAATAGTACTAAATGACCATGAATTCTATCCAAGATACGTCTAGCGGTATATTTATCGAATATCCTCTTGTTGAATCCATATAATATGCTTCCTCCTAATTTCATTTGAAGACTTAATGCTCTAGCTTTATCATTACCCAATTTATCAAGGCCATTTGTTGTAACCTTTGTACCACTAGAGTCATCAACACTATCGCCATTATGCTTCCTTTGATAGTTTGTGTCATTCACAGTTGATGGAATAGTATCATTAGAATTTCTCGTCTTCTTTGGTAGATGTTTCCTTTCAAGATCAATCAGTTCATTTTGACTTTCAACAAAATCTTCAGACATTCTTTTAAAATCTTTAAAGTCTCTCCATGTTTGAACAGCATTATCTGGTTGACAATGAAACACTAATCTATACAATAATGTATTTCTCATTGCTATTAAAAATAGAGTCTCCTCTGAAAAAGATCCTATTAGTGGATCGTCGAATGAATAAGGATCGATGAATTTTAATTTTGAAAATCTTAACATATTTTCTTTATTAATACCAGGTCTACTTAGGGTAGGTACTAGTTGTCCCAATAAGATATCTAATGTTTCATCATCCAGTTCTTGTTCTTCTAATAGTTCAGAATGACCAGTGTGGATCTCTTCTGTATTTGTACTATTAAACTTTGAAGGCGTTTTTGGTTTTTGGTTAAATTTAGGTTTCTCATATTCATGTGTGCTAATCTTATGACTCAGATATTGTAAATAACAGACTCTCTTTAGCATATCCCATTTCTTATCATCTGAAATCTCTTTACATGCAATATAATCTTGAAGATCTTCTCTTGATGGTAAAAATTGATTTTTAGAAAGGATTTCTTCCTCATTATCTAATTTGAGGGACATTGCTTTCAGAGCCCATTCTTTTAACTGGTCACTCACTGACTCCTTGTATGATTCAGTAACTTTCTTCCAATCGTCGGCACCTTTCCCATCTACATCCCTCTGATGGGTCGTATTCTTGATTAATCTAGGATCATACGAAATTGGCTTGTTATCTCTGATACCAACATTATCAGTACCACTTCTGTAATTAAAACTATGCACAACAGTAGAATTATTTCTTGTAGATTTAGTTGTAGATGGTAATCTACGTCTCTTTGCACTGATCTCAAGAACGTCTAAAATACTACTCGAATCGCCAATATTATTGTTAGCTCTGGATGGCACTGTGTTACTAAAGGATTGTATTGGTGTTGAACCGGTTTGCGTATTATTCCTAGTTTTGAATTTTTTACGCCATTGTGGGCTATACTCGCAATCCAATATTTCCCTATATGCTAATTCAATCATTGCGGATAAATGTAATTTCTTCTTTCCAATCTTATCTTTTTGGTTTTCATCTAAAGTGTTCAAAGTTTTATATTTTTCTTTAGCAAGTTTCTCTAATCTTCCGAATTTCCTTTCTACAATTTCCACCAAATCAGTATCGCAACCTAAATGTTCCCTCATCAGCCTCTGTCTCATCTCAAGTGCATATCTACCTGCATAATAATCCTTACCATTCATTTTCGTCTTCACTAGGTCAGTATCTCTTATTACGATAGCGACCTCACTATCTCTATTTCCTAATTGAGATCTTTCATTGATATTAGCACTACCAATAATACAGCTTCTATCGTCCACAATTAGAATCTTGGCATGGACATATAATTGTTCCGTGACCAATTTTTCAAATGGGCCAATTGTTGACCACTTCCTTAACGAGAAGAATCTGATATATTGCATTGGATCGATATTCAATTTTTTTAGTCTAGAAAAAATAGATGTTTCACCTCTCGAAATACTTTGATATTGACATTGCATAATAACTCTAAGACTTGAAGCCTCAGGCTGATCAATAGGAGAGTCAAAACCTGGCATTAATGGGATAATTATAAATGCCTTCCAGTCTGTACCTTCGCTATTTGCTCTCACTATTCGATCAACTATAGCATCCCCAATCTTGTTTTCGATTACAACACCGTCCCACTCAGAGGTTGTTATAAAAAATTGATTCTCGATATACATATAATGTTTACTAGTCTCTATCAATTTCAAATATGCATTTTGGATTGATTTTTCTGTTTCTTTCAATCCAAGTGACCAATAACCAGCACTTCTTAGTACTTGTACCTCACAAGTCGATCTTGGCTTTAATGATTGGAAAAATGGTGAATTCTCTAACTCATTTTTAGTAAAATCAGATGGTGGTAATAGTAGTGGTGTTGGCCTACTCGGTCTTTTCTCCCTCAGTAAGTAATTCCAACGTTGAATAAAATGTCTTGCCATATCTCTGGCAGGTTCACCTACAGTCATCATCTGAACGTCATGCCAAGGCATTCTTGGTACTTCTTCTCTGTCATACATTGATTCAAAGGGTTTATCAAGTTCGTAAAAATCACAAACTCTGGCATTGGAATAATCCTTCCCAGGGAAAGTTTGGTCTTTGATATCTTTGTAATCATCACGTAGAACGTGTTCTGGTGTATCATAACGACCAAAACATAAATCAGTACCACCCATGAATGCAATAGTATTATCAATGACGCACAATTTTTCATGATGTGCCCAAAAGTATGTATTCTGTAACCATTGATTAGGTGATCTTATTAAATGGATGTTAGGGTGCAATCCTAACATGGAATGTTTAGTCCATAGACTATCAGTACCAACAGTAGCTCCTACATTTCTGTAAACAATAATAAATATCTTAACGCCTCTCTCAGCACACTTACGAAGCATTCTATCGATTCTGTATTCTTGATGGGCATCTACTGGTCGTCTTAAGTATAGCTCTGGGGAAAGCCACCAGTCATGAATGTATATAACATCCTGGGCTCTTTTCAATGCTTCACTTAGTGACCAAAAGTAATCTCTACCATCAACCAATAATTTACAGAAGGCATTTTGTCTGACAGGAGCAAAACTGTTAAATCTATTTTTTCTAGACCACACTGTACTTTTAGCCATTAACGTAAATGATGAAACCCATAATTTCAATGACGCTTCTGATTTACAAATAATTTGTAGCTTTCTTTCAGAATTTTGTAATGTAATCAATAAATTGGTAGAAATACTCTTTGAATTCTCTAGATCCCAGTCTAATTCGTCAGGTGAGATGATTTCATCGTTGGTTTTTTTTGATTTCTTCTTATTGACATGGAATGCTTCTTTCCGCTTCATTTTTCCTGAACATTTAATCTTGAATTTACTATCAACAAGGAAGACATCTAGTGGAGTTGTACTGCAAATATCAGATGTGTATGTTATATATGAACCACGTACAAGAAACCATTTTGGTGTATGTCTTTCGATCATATCCTTAAAATCATGTGCGTTAAAATGTGAAACCCTCCAGCCTTGGGTCTTGGCAGTGGATCTAATCAATAAGAACCCCTCTCTCCCTTGGTAACCAGTTTCATAACTTAGAAGATTACCCATTGGTGAAAATTCGTAAAATTGAAATAATCTGTTAGCTTGCGGTCTTAAACACAGCGCCAAGTTTAACAACCTGAAATATCTTTCTAGTCTTACATCCATTGGTTGATTGCTATCGTCTTCTTCGTCAATTAGATCTTGTAAATGTTTCATTTTAATCTGACCTAAATCAAAGTTTGCAGAAGGAAGGGTTTGTTCGGAATTAATAGATGAATTACTACTCGTACTTGAAGATAAACTATTCGTTCTTGATAGGATATGAAGACCCCTCGTTTTTTCATCCTTGGGGGATTTCTCCTTTAAAGTAGGAAAGTAAGGTAATCTAAATTTATGGAATCTATTGTTATCAATATAGAGCTTTTTCACTGTATTTTGTTGAAATGCAACAATTTTCAAATTATGATGTAATTGTTGCATATTGTTATAAGTCTTAGTGATCGACCATCTATACCTATTGTCACCAATACCATATTCGAAACTCAATTCGAATATTTGTGATTTTAAATCATGATTAGATGTCCCATTGAATATATCAGAGATGTTATTGTTGTTCTTATTATTGGAACTATTTATTCTATTATTACTTGTTCTATTCTGAGAAGGAGATTGAGTGTTTCCTAAAGGATAAGTATTAGTATTAATATCGGTGTTGTCGTTTGGCATCCCCAATGGATTATCATTATCTTGTAAAAATAAAGAAGAAAAACTCAACAAACTTGATCTTCTGGATAATGATATATCAACATTATTAATTACATGATTATTAGGTAAGGTATTATTCTTATTTGTTTCATTACGATTACCGAAATAATTTGACGATTGACCCCGATTTAAATATTCGGATATATTTTCAATTGGTTTTACTCTAACGTCTAACATTGTAAGTAATATTGGTGCTCTTCTATTACCATGTTCATCTCTAAGAAATTGAGTACTTGCAAAGACAGCCGCTGGACAACCTGCTAACATTGATGCAATTAAATCTGAAGCCATTTTTTGAGTATGTGATTCCTTCATAAGTAATTCATCTGTCGATAATACTTGTGGTTGTGATCCATTATTTTTAAGATTACTACCACGTTTATTTTTAAGCTTTGATACAACAGATATTTTCTTAAATGCAGTATTAAATTCTTTTCTCCAGCCATTAAATTTACTTTGATCTGAAGAAGAGATTAATGATTTTCTTCTATCTTTTTGTTGATCATCATTATAATCATTATTTAATTTTGAATAAGCTAATTCATCTAAACTTTTATTCTTTTGATGATGTTGTTGTTTATTTAACTTTGAAGGGAAATAATCGGTATAATTTCTAGAGGTACTTGATCTTGGAGAGGTTGGACTATGATCTCTTTTTGTTTTATTATTACTACCATTATTCAATGGAGATTGTGATCTTTTATGGAACAATCTATTTCTTCTATTTGTTGCATTTGTCTTATTCAATACAGAGTTCGGTATGCCTTGAAAGGATAAATTCTTTAATTTTTCTTCAGACGATGATAGTCTATTTTTGTTGTTATTCTGATCTCTATCGTCACCAGGTTTTTCAATTTTATCATGCTTACTCTCTGTGGAATTGATATCATCTTGATCTGTTACTTCTTGTTGTTCATTATCATTGGGTTCATTTGCTTCAAATATACCAGGAATAACAGAAGTCATTTCTATAATCAGACTGTGTTTCTTCGATTCAATTTAAATGCAACCAATAAGAAAGTTCTTGATAATCTTACTTTAATGATATTAAAGATGCAAAATTGATTAAATTAAAAAGTTCAGAGAACCGAAGTAAATAATTATCTACAATATAAACAGGTGCATTGAACAAAATTTTTAAATTAAAAAGTAAATTTAAGTGCAGTACGTAACCGCCATTGCCAACGATGCCTTGTTTTCTTTAGCCAATTCATAAAAAATAGCCCTTTACAATTCTCGCCGGCGGGAAGAAGAAAAAAAATGAATAGAAAAAGGGTAAAGTTAATAACAATAATAATAATATGACAAATAAATTTAAAATTAGGCCCCATACACGAATTTATTGTTATTGGTAGTATGTAATAATAACAAAAAATGATTTTAAACAACACAAGCTTGAAATTTAAAGGTTATTGTGATTAATTGAGTGTGTTTTGATGTTACAACTAATACACAGATTGTTTTTGCTAAGTTAGATTATATAGGTTGTTACCCGTAAGAACAATGCGCATAATATTAAGTAAGCTTAGAGACTGATATGTATATATATGTATATAGCTATCCAAAAATTTTCATTACCTGATGTCTAAACTGCATTCAGTGTTGTAAAAAAGTTGGTGGTACTAGATGTCCAATATTGCAATATTTTCTCAAAAAAATCTGTGGCTAGGTGAATAATAAAGTTTGTTTTATGAGACAAAATATATTTATTTTTTGGGGTTTATATTATAAGCTTTGGCATTTTATTTGAACACTAATTTATAATTTTTTTTACATTAGTTCACATTTAAGATAGAACGGCAACAATACGTGAAAGTAATCTACTATTTACATTGGCACTTATATATATATATATAAGTGCAGATAACAGTACGTACATCAGTAATATTCATTTTGATATGTGTCAGCAATTGTCGTAATGTGATATTACTATTTTAGTAATGTCAGATATCAATAACCTAATAATCCCTTCTTCTTCATTTGGCACCCTTCCCCATACCAGTTCATTCAATGAAGGAATCAACCCTTTTCACAATGTTTACTCTGCTAGAAATGGCAAGATATTTCCACGGAAATGCGCCATCATTTTTACTCCGAACGGAAAGAGTTACGCATTCTTTAATATTGCACGAGGACAGGCAGAAGATAATGAATAATACCGTACAAATTTTGAAATTTTTCTGTGAGGGTAAGGATAATTTACTCCGAGGTTTTGATTTTAAGACAGAGATTACAATTTGATAAGCGCAAAGTTGAAATGATAAGGTCCTTTGATAAGATAAGACAATTAGAAAGGATTTGTCTTTTAACTATCTTTTTTTTTTGTTTCAAGAAATTTTATTCTGATTTGCAAAATATGATTATGTTCGGTGAGACTCTTGTACGTTGAGCTTGCTTGTTTTTACTTATTCTTTCTGTAGTGCTTATCTTGACACAATCGATTGAGGCATTCATAGCCTTGTCTGGAGTTCAGTGGATTTTCTTTTACTATCTAATCAATATATGGACAAAGTTAGACCAGTACATTTACTTATATTATTGCGATGCAGTTTACCAAATTTATAAAACTGTGTCGTTTGGTATTTTGTGCTGAGAAATGGAAGGAATGTATGGAGCAAGGAGCGAGGGTCTATTAGTGATTTCATGTCTATCTTGTATTCCGATCACTTTGCTATTGATGTCTTACAGATATGTATTAATCAAACAGTCAAAAAAATATTAAAGCAAATTAGGATAAACTCTATCTTATTTAATAAAAATATTTTTTTAATCGCAAATAACTCTTCTTCCTCTCTCCCCCCCCCTTTCATCATAAAATGATATTAATATCTTTGATAAGGGAATTGGCTTTGGAGCCAATCTTATTACAGCATATGTGGGCTTGATATGTAACGACTCTTCAACTATATACGTCAGAAGTTTTTAGCGTAGATGAACAACTCTTTACATACTTCAACATTTTTTTTCAAATTTAATTTTTAACTCTGTGAGTGGAAGATTTATTGTATGAGATCTATCCTGATACTAACTGATTACTAGAATCGTTAGAAAAATAAGTGTGGTTTTTATTTCTGATTCCTTCAAGATAAACAATAAATGTTTTATGTTTTTTTGATTTGCTCATGATTACTATTATTTATTAAAGGGATATCTTATGCTTATCAAAAGTTTCCTAATGTGGGAACTATTGACACATAATTTTTAATTTTATTGATTAGGGTAGAGATATTGGTAACTATTTACTATATATATATATATATATATATATATTGTACTTAGAGATTGTAATGCTTTATTTATTTTTTGAATTCCTTGTCTTATAGAGGTTGTTTTTTTTTATTAACGTCAATAAAGGAAATATTGGTCAATTTATAAAGATATACATATAAATAAAATTAATTATGGAAAATTCAAATTTGATAGAAAAAGTAATTACTACAACTACAGTTACGCCCACTTCAGGTATAACAATTAGTCCAAAAGAAAATACAAATAATGATACGATACATTATTACAATCCCATTGATGAGGCTCGAGAAGATGATCACGAGATAAGAAATAGCCTCTTATCGGAGTCCACATCAACAACATTAGCTTCAAAGGATACAAGTGCAACTAGTGTGATATCTGGTGCTATTACAACTAATTTAGATACCTCTACTGAATTTGATAAAAGGACAGAACAAATTAAAATTGACTCGGAAAAGGATGTTGAGACAAAGGATACTTCAAGGAAAAGACACGATAGTGACACAATGTGTAGTAACTGTACTACTAAGAAGACACCGCTTTGGAGAAGAGACTTTGAGAGTAATATTTTATGTAATGCCTGTGGATTATTTTTAAAATTACATGGGACTTCTAGACCAATTAAATTGAAAAGTGATATTATTAAGACAAGAAATAGAAAAGGCCATAGTTTAACAAATTTTACTTTACGAAATTCTTTGGATTCAAATTATATTACAAATGTAACAAATTCAAATACTTTTAGAATTAACAAACCTCAAATAAGAATAAATAGAGATCTTCCGTTAATTACAACACCTGCAATCATAAATTTCAAAAAAATAAGAAGTATGTCAGATCCCACAACAAAAGAACCATTATATAAAGGTGAAACATATTCAAATATTATTGATGCAACAAAATTTATGAAACCGCTGCTGAAACCAAAAACATCTTTAAAAAGTAGTGTTAATACTTCTCCAGAAAGTGGGATTTCAAAGATTTCTTCAAATCATAATAAAAAAATGATTGTATTAAATGAGGAATTTGTCTTTGAAGAAAATCCCTCTGTGATGTCATTAGGGCAGGAAAATAGTAGAAAAATGAGCATTGACTCCAATGATTCAGATGTAGAACGACTAGATTCTAAATATAATTATTCGGATTCGGAAATTAATCAATTACTTACAAGTCATGAAGAAATGATAAAGCTTAAAATTAGAATTAAAGAATTAGAACTTATTACTGATCTGTATAAAGGGTATATTAAACGGTTAAATGGTAAATGTAATACATTGGAATATAGGTTAAAATCTAGGGACAATGTTACAACATAATAATAATGATTTGATGTTTGCAATTATTTATTAAATAAATTCATATAATTATATTCTCTGTACCTTTCTCGTGTTTTGTTTATGTTTGATTCTTTAACAGTTTCTTTGCAATAACCACTTACAAATGTTGTATATTAAAATTAATATATTTAGAAACTTTAAACTCGGATATATGTGATATATATACATCCGACCACACAGTTATTTCTTCATGTCGTCAATGTTTTTTATCTTTTAAGAGGACTTTCTTTTCATATATTATGAGTTATTTCTACGGAACAGTGACGCTCATGATTAGCCCTTATAAGGAAAAAATTCTTGTACTGTTGAGAAGGGGCACCGAAGCATAGAAAGCTTTGATTAGGAGAAAAATAGAAAGAGATGAACATACCTCATTAATCAATTTAACATAGATAGTTCGTTAATCTAGACACTTTATTACTTTCAATATTAAGTGAAGGCATATATAAAAGAATAAATACAGATAGGAGTAGCGATGTCTCGTGGTAATCCTTCAGCAGCATTAGAAAATACACTTTTCCAACTAAAATTTACTGCTAAGCAGTTAAAGAAGCAATCTCAACGTGCAGCTAAAGAAGAAACTCAAGAAACAAATAAGTTAAAGAAGGCATTAAATGATGATGAAGAGATCGCCAAAATATATGCATCTAATGCTATAAGGAAAAAGAATGAAAGATTACAGTTATTGAAGCTGGCCTCAAGAGTGGATTCTGTAGCCTCAAGAGTCCAGACAGCCGTTACTATGCGGGCAGTATCATCTTCCATGGCTAATGTTTGTAAAGGTATGGATAAAGCTCTTGCAAGTATGAATTTGGAGCAAATAACAATGGTTATGGATAAATTTGAAAAACAATTTGAGGACTTGGATGTGAGTGTGAACGTCTATGAAAAAATGGGAACAAGCTCAGATGCAGTCATGGTCGATAACGATAAAGTAGATGAATTAATGGCAAAGGTTGCTGATGAAAACGGAATGGAATTGAAACAATCTGCACCAGTTGGTGCATTACCAACAATAGCCCAGGAAGCTGATAAAGTTGTTGATGAAGAGAAAGAAGATAAGCTGGCACAGAGGCTAAGAGCTCTTCGTAGTTAAGATGGGAAAATGCAAAAATAACATGATAGTATTTTAATTATTACAACATTTCTCTTTCTACTCCTGTTGATAAGTTTTATGTCAGGGAAGGAGTGATAGCATGATAAGATTGAGATTGTTATATATTGGTTTAAACGTATGTATTATAAAGACTTATGTAGCGGTACGTTTCAATAATAGGATGAGCATTTCCTTCTTTGCTTGCATGTTCCAAAACGGTACGTTTCAATAATAGGATGAGCATTTCCTTCTTTGCTTGCATGTTCCAAAATCCGTCAATATTCTTAATACTTTATTAATGTGATATGTTAAAATGTATGTGCGTGTATATGTGTACAAATGTATTTATGCAGTATATAATATAATTATTGCATTGGCATTGGCATACCTCTTCCCCTACCTTGTGGTGGCATCATACCTGCATTAGCACCCTGACTTTCTTGATTTTTGATGGTTTCGTCAACAGAAAGAATTAAATTTGTTGCCTCAGTAGCACTGTTTAATGCATTGATTTTCACTAAAGCAGGTTCCCAAACAAATTTAGCAAAATTGTCTCCGATATTTTCAGCTTCAAAATCAACACCATACCATTTTTCACCCTTACTATGTGCTAATCTTAATTTATTTAGGATTTCGATGGAATCAAAACCAGCATTTTCACATAATTGTCTTGGAATGACTTCTAATGCCTTGGCAAATGCACTGATAATTAATTGTTGTTTTCCAGCAATGGACTTGGAGTAATCTCTTAGGTATTTAGAAATTTCCATCTCGATGGCACCACCACCTGCAACAACAAACTTATTCTGTAGAGCTCTCTTCACAATCATGATAGCGTCGTGTAGAGATCTTTCAACTTCTGCAATAACTTGTTCTGCACCACCTCTTAGTAGAAGAGTACATGTCTTAGCTTGTGGGCAACCTTTGAATAAATTATAACGTTCAGAACCGATCTGGATTTCTTCGAATTTAGCACAAGTACCTAGATGTTCAGGCTTGATATCAGTTGTAGTAGATTGGATAGAACCACCAACAGCCTTTATCACACGACCCATATCATCTGCACCTACTCTACCCGCACAGAAAATGTTACGGTCGGCAAAATATTGCGTAGCTAAATCACCGATTGGAAGTTTAGATAAAACAATGTTGGCACCAGTCTGTTCAATTTGTTCAAGTTTATCTAGAATAATTTGCCACTCAGCATCCACAATAGCTTGGTAATCTTCAACATGCTCTACACGGACCTCAGCATTGTCCTTTTCAGCCTTCAATTCTAGTTCAACATTCAAACTTAAGATTTTCGGGTTTTTAAAATTCTTTGGTTGCTGTTCAAACCCAGCATATGAAAATGTCTTCTTGAAGGCAACACCATCGATAAATAAAGATTCCTCCATGGCACCACCTGGAATTTTCTTAATACCAATCAATTTATCATCCAGGTCATCTCTATCGAGTGATAAGACGGCATCGACACACATTTTAACAAAGAAATCAGCATTTTTGTAAATTAGCTTTGAACTCATTGCGGTTCTAGCACAACGTTCTAGTAGTTCCCTGTTACCTTGTTCTTCAGAAGAAACATCCAAAGCTAGTTCATTGATTTTCTCAATCGCCAAGGCAACGGCCTTTCTGTAACCCTTCATAATGATATGAGATGAAATACCTTCTTCCAAAAATGGTTTGGCTTCCTTCATTAATTCACCTGCTAATATTGTAACACTGGTGGTACCATCCCCAACTTCGGCATCTTGAGCTCTTGATATATCGACTAATGTCTTGGCTGCTGGATGAACAACATCCAGTAATTTCAAAATGGTAGCACCATCATTGGAAATGGTCGTCTTTTGGTTGGATGAGACAATTAGGATATCAGAACCCAATGGACCTAAAGTTGGTTTCAGGGTCTCCTGGATTGCTATGCAGGCATTGATATTCGATATAATTTGGCCTCTACCTTGGGATGCATCTGTACCTTCCTTTAGTACAACGATGGTAGGCGTTCTGTTTCCAAAATTCATTATGTCGATTTTACTGATATGATCCGCGTTAGTGAAGTAAATTAGTGATGGTAGAGAACTATTTATAAATATTTATTACTGTACATTTTCTTTAAAATGAAAATATTTTATCGATGAATTTTTTTTTATGTATTGTCTTGAATTATTTCAATTATCATTAACGTATTTTTTTTTCGCCACACGAAAGTAACAGTTACTAAAAAAGAGTACGAGAGGGTAACCTTCAACACTTCAAAAATTTGATGGAAAGCAAAACGTTGGATAACAACATATCAGTTGTAATAATTCAATGTCTGAGTCATTAGATATTTAACTGTGCTATTTACTGAATACAACTTTTGGGTATTTGAAATATCTAGATAGACCATACATTTATGTCACCATTATTTCTACCTTCTACCATGTACCCTTCATTGTACTTGACGAATGAAGAGGTAGATGTCAGGTCAGGTGTTCGATCACACTCCCAATGTTTCCCATTTTCTCTACTGATAACTCTTGGTGTTGCATCATCTGTAGCAACCGTGATATTCTTATCATCAAAACTTAGAGATGATACAGTATTATCATACACATAGTTATCAATAATAGTCCCAGATCCAAGGTCCCATATCTTAACTGTTTTGTCTAGTGAACCTGAAACTAGTAGGGAGGAATCAAATTGAAGAGTCGATATGGCATTTTCATGGCCGTGTAGGGTACGAACAACTTTCCCAATTCTAAGATCCCATAAACGTATTATACCATCACGGGTACCTGTAGCCATAGCTGCATCATAGCATTGGATTGCACCAATTAGCGGTGGATCAGAACTGGCTCCCAATGGTAAATCAACTCTTGTTGATCTAGAATTTAATGTAGTATTTAAATTGATTAATTGAATGCACTTTCCAGTATTTAAATCCCATTGCCTTATGGTTTTGTCTTTTGAACCACTTACTAAGTTATCGTCATCAAAAGATAATGCTGTGACCTCGTCTGAATGAGAATCAAATGTATATACACAAGGTTTATTATTCATGAATGGTGCATTATTTGAGGTGTCATTCATAAATTGCTCAATGGCAATATCGATATTCCATACCTTTAGAGTAGCATCCTTACTTCCTGTTATCGCAATATTATATTTGGAATCCATCTGAAGGCAATTCACAGAGGCCATGTGTCCTTTTAGTTCACCAACATTTTGTCTCTTCGATAAGTCCCATAGTTTTACGACTGGATCAAGATATCCCGTGGATGCTAATGTACCAAAAGGAAAATCAAAGTCCACACATGTGATTTTGTCGTCGTGTGCCTTGTTTAACTTGGCAATGGAAGATCCCTTAGGGTAATGACTATGGAATGATTGTGATATGTAATTCCTCCTCTTTATTGGTGCTGTAAAGAGTTTATTTGGATCAACTTGCGACCTTTGAAATGCAGTGTTGGTTTCATAGTTTAAAGATGGCATCATTTCTATGGAAATAGAGCTTGGTGTAGAATTTGCAGTATCGATATCGCTGCCTAGCTTTATCTTTTCCATCTCATCTTTATCAGACCCTAGAAAATTTCTCAAAAGATTACCTTCTAGTATGTCTTGCTCACTTGTAGTTTCTGTAGAAGAATCATTGGAGATTCCGTAGGCTCTTATAAATTCTTTTCGACTCGTCAATGCAACTATTGTATTTTTCAAGTATAACTCAATATCGTTAACAACATTGATTTTATTAACAATTTTGTTCCTTTTAGAATTTATTTCTTCTAATTTCAAATCTAGATCATCAATATTCTTTTGAAATGTAGCCTTCTGTATGTCGAAATAGCTTAATTTTTCAAAAATGCCTGAAGATATGTTATCTAATGCCTTCAAAGAATAAGATCTTTCAATTACATCTGTGTCTATATTTAATTCAATTGATATTTCATTTTTGTAACTTGAAATGTCTGAAGATTCATCTGACATTATTCTTTGGGTTTTAATGCTAGTCAGCATATTTCTGAAGCCCTGAAATAACGATGGGTTCACTTTACCAGTAATAGTTCGTTCCAGTTCTTGGTCTCTCAAAGACTTTGTTTGTAAATTGTTATCTGTCAATAAATCATCATTGATTGTTGCTAGTATCAGGAAAGTTCCTTTCAAGGTACTATTGCGGTTCGTAAAATATTGTGTACCTGTCTCTGCAAGACCAATATTTTGAAATGCAATGTTCGGTAGTCTTTTTAAAAAATAATATAAAAATTTATCAAGAAACGCTTTGATACTTGGAACTCCAGTATGTGTATATTTTCTCTTATTAGCAAAAGGTTTGTTATAAATTTCGGTCTCTAGGCATTTTGTTGTGGTATTTCTGGGTATTCTAATATTCGACGGATTCGAAATTCCAGTGGTCATTTTGCAAATAACAGATCGACTTACCTTACTCTAAAGTTGGTACTGTTTTTACCTATGTCAGTGAATAAGGTAATTGCAATTATATTGAACTTTTTTGTTTCTTTTATTTACACAAATCATTGTGAAGTAGACTCATCCTTCATTTACCATCAAATTTCTCTTCTTTTAATTTGTATAATTTTTTCCGAATCGGGTAAATGAATGGAAGCTCCGGAAGATATAATATGTAAATAAAAGAATTAGTACGTAATGTATTCGAAGGTAACTCTCAAATTCTAAGCCATATTAAGATTAACGTTTTCTAGTATTTTCGTTTTATTAAAGGTTCCTTATTGTTTGAAGAACATCAGTTTAAATATATTTTTCCTCAGAAAATAGCATACTATCATTATTATCTATCTGAAAGGTAACTTAATTATTGTAATATTACAAACGCCTACATATTAGTAAGAGATATTTAATTTTGCTTGCTGTTAGTATCTTCAAGATCTTTAATTTCCTTCTCCAAATCTGCAATTTCTTGGCGGTTGACTTCGATTAATTTGGAGATGCTGGCAGATGGGGTAGTGTATGAATCCATGTTACTTATTTCATCCTCTTGGATTTCCAGTTGATCCTGCACATCCTTGATCTTCATTGAAAGCTCAGATGCAGATCGTTTCAAAGTGTTAAACTCTTCTTTAAACTCTGATAATGACCACATATTGTTGATTTCATCAAGCACCTTAATTATAAGGTCAATTGGGAAATCTTCCACAAACATCGTCTTTCTTCTTTTTATTGCAGCATGGTTTATATTTTCCGAGTCATCTTCTTCTGCAAGTACACTACCATTCTGTAATGCCTCTAGTAACTTTGCTGTCATCTTGTCGTTTTTGAATTTATTGTGCAATGCACCAAAGGCATTATTTGTTGACCCCAGATTGCCTGTGGTATTCTGAAAAATAAAGGAGTTTCTACCATTTCTATTGGTATTACTATTTATAACTTTTTCATGTTGACTTAAATAGAAATCTTTCGGTATCTGTATTATTGGCTTCGGATCAGGGATCCCCATTCTTCTATTTCTCTTAATTTTCGCTTCTCTTTCAACGATATAATCATATACACCTCTTTTTTTATCTCTTCTCATTATAGATCTCTTTTGAGAATCAACTTGGAATAAAGATAATTCTTCGTTAGGTTCACCATCCCTCAGCAATTTCACAAATTCCTTCTTCCCACCTTGGGATAGCATACTACCAACAACAGCATTGTGAAATATCCCAGGGTGTTTGAAATTTCTGTTTGAAATGGATCCTAGAGATTCCGTAATTTCTTGTAAACAGGAGTTTAATGATTGAGACATATTTATGGATCAATAACAGGTTACGTTTTTAATTCTTCATTTATGTGTAACACTACCAATGTATATTCAATTGAAACATGTATATTTTTTTAATTTATCTTACTTATGTTTATTTTCAATTAAACAAGTCTCGCTTCGCGAAAATTAAATAGCTTCACGAAATAGAAAGTTTCGCAATCATACTGCAATGGGTATCATATTATTATAGATTAAATTAGTGGTGGTCCTATACCTAGAAATATATCTACAAACATGTATACAATTATTCACGCCAAGACACATAAACCTCATCAGTTCTAAACTTTTGGGTTACAACAGTCTCCGAGAGATCCTTGACATAATCACCCATCCGGTATTGAAGAAGACCAGCCTGAGCTATCATAACCCCATTATCGATGCAAAATCTTTCATCTGTAGCATGTACTCTACCGTTGGCACGGTCTTTACACATTTGACCCATCATCTCCTGTAGTCTGGTATTGGATCCAACACCTCCTACAATTAGAACCTGTGATGCGTTTACATGCGCCATTGCTCTCTCCGTGATCTCTACTAACATGGCAAATAGGTTTTCTTGTAAGGAGTAGCATAGGTCCTCTACTGTGATCTTGGGTTCACCAGTTTCTCGATCAAATATAAGCTTATTTTTTTTATTACCTCTAAATAAATCTTTTGCCAATGAGTCTATATAGGCTAAGATACCACTCATTGAAAGGTCCATACCTTTCACAGTATATGGTAATTCGATTAATTTGTCTTTATTTTTGCAATTCTTTGCAAGTTGTTCAATATTATAACCTGGTGATGGTGCATTCGGTATTTTCAAAGTTCTAGCAAATCTATCCAAACAATTTCCTATCGCTACATCCAAAGTTTCACCAAAAATTCTATATCTGTTTTCAGAGTATGCAATAACCTGTGTATTACCGCCACTTACATACAATACAACAGGATTTTTGGCTTTGGTAATCTCTCTACCCATTTCAATATGCCCAACACAATGGTTTACACCTACTAAAGGAACTTCCCACATGAGGGAACAAGTACGTGCAGCAATTGCTACTGAATGTAAAGGCGCACCCATACCTGGTCCTCTAGTAAAACAAATCACATCAATATCCAGTCTAGGATCCATAATTTGCGCCTTTTCCAATGCTTGTTTGATTATTCTAATAACCCAATTACGATGATGTCTAGCGGTATCACGAGGTAAGAACCCTTCTCCAGGTGGAGTCACATATGTGTCTCTAATATTCGATAATATTTCTACTTCGCAATTGTGGGAATTATCGCCACCAGACATACTGGCCAGTCTAGGGTGTTTTATAACACCTACCCCTAACTTATTGGCAGAACCTTCTAAACCTAACGCGATATAATAATCTCTGCCATTTCTTGGTTCAACAGTATTTAGATTAACCATCTTTAAAGAACAATGGTTTATGTAATAGTATTTGTTTAATGGACTTTAAAGAGCGATAGTTTGACTGAAAATTACCAATCAAACAATGAAAAAGAATTAGGAAACACAACTGTTGCACCTTATTACTTAAAAGTGTTGCTATATATTAATATTAAAATCCTATTATCGTTTACGATATGAAAAATTAGCTCAGAGTAAGCTATGAATGATATCTACCAATTCTCTCATACAAGTTTTTTTTTCATGAGAAGCGAGTGATAAGTAGAGAGCGAACAAGAGAAAGCGAGGTATATACATCATAAGCTAAAAAAGAGGTCAAAATAAAAGTTGAGACAACCATATTTGGTAGAATGAGTTTCTTAGAAATAATAGATGTTTGAATTCATGTAATATGATAGTGTATGATAATGTCTCTTTAAATACTTTATGGCACAAGAAGGGGGAAACTGGAATACTAATCAGTGTGATAACGCTGACTACTGGAATATAAGGCATCTAGATACAACTCAAACAAAACAATAATAGACAATAATGTTTATTAACGTATGTTATTATAATCTGATGTAATCTGTTAATTTTCTTATTGTTGTAACTTGCATAAAAAAATGCACCATTAGGCAAGAAGTTTTCTACTGTCTGATACCTGATAATATCGACTATTTTTTTTATGAATTTCACAAAATAGGAAATTCAAGATAACGAAAAGATACTTTCATCTTGTCCGACAAAGAAATCTCTTTATTTAAACTGGATTATTTTTAATCGTCACTTCTTCCAGGTAAAAGGAGGAACTTTGTAGGTGAGCATATATTCCTACACCAATTTTTGATAGAAAATATCCGGAGTGCCACCACTGCATAAGGTTTTTCTTTTCTTGACGATTTAAAGTGTTGCCTCTAACTCTGATAACAAATCAAATATCCATTGGGGGCATTAGTAGTATATCTTTTTAACTGTGATGGTTCATTAATTCATCCAAAGTCGGACTTAAATGCCGCGAAGCTACTGAATTTGAAATTAATTATGTAGCACTTATATGGAATGACGGAATGAAGAGAAGAAACACAATCAACCGATAGTATAATCAGCTATAACTTCTTAATTTGACCGGAGATCTCTATCTTTCCATACTTCATTATAATTGGCCTGTTAACTGGTTTGATAGCTTAATCAAGACCGCAGGTATGCAGAGTAAATGGCATCTTGCAGCTTAATGGTTGCATTACAATTAGATTGGTAGTACATTCGTTACTATGCGGTTTTTGATTAACTTGCTCGTGTTAGGCATTATGATAGGTTCTTTTCAGTGTGTTTTTTTCTAGGTGATACCCTCTATATTGTTTCCTTATCTTTCGCTCTTGCAGGATCGAGATGTACAACCATCTCTAGGGTTTTTCGCTTTTTTTTGTCTTAGCTATCTCAGTATGTGTCTCTCCCTCTTCCTCTCTCGAGGAACATATTTCTATTTATTATCTTATCTCAGCAAGCGATACAGAGCTGCCAGAGACTAAATTTTTCATATTTCATTTTTGTGAGGGCGATGACTTCTTTTCTTGTTTCGTCTATCATTGATAACGTTATCGCTTTCCGGCTCCGCTATTGCGGTAATCAACCATCTGATGGATAAAGTAATCAGCCGTCTTATCATGAGGAAAGCTACATAAGCAATATTTAGTCCCCTTCTGCCTTCAGTTGACATAATTTTATTGTTTTTCTTGTAAATTCCAAATATTGTTTGTTAATTTACCTATTGTTAGGATTTCAAAGCAGCCGTGGTTGATTTAGTTCATTATAATGTTAATGCAGAAAAATAATCCAATCACCGTTTTATTAATTTATTGGTGAAGCAGCCTTTTGTTTTATCAGCATTAAAATCCTATCAACTACTTGAGTAAGGAGGGCTAGTTTTGATATTTCTAGAATGTAGACTTTGTTGTTGAATGTGTTTTTATCTTTCTGATTATTGATGAAAGAAATTGTGACATATAAAGTAGTGAGGTGTTGAACAATTTTAAACAGTATTGAAATTGATTTCCTTTCCATATTCTGATTAGTATATTTAATTTTCATCTTGTATTCTTTTCTGTTATATTGTAATATCAACACTAATAATATTAACAACAACAATCACAATATATTTCAAATTAATAAAATTTAAAAAAAATGGAATCAGGTTCTATGATTAATGTAGGATCTAGTTCCTTTGAAAATAACAAGGAAAAGGGACAAATCAATACAAATGTCGAACAAAAGGATACCTATTCAATGGATATTGATACCAATCTAGGTACTGAAAGTATTTCACCTGGTAAAGAAGAAGATAATGGGATGTTTCGGAATTTTATTGATTCTTTTAAGCCTATGCCAGAAGTTGTTGTAGATCCAAATTGGACAGATGAACAAAAGCTTACATATAGGACAGCAAAATCACCATTAAAACAAAAATTGAAAAGTCGTCATTTAACATTTTTAGCTATTGGTGGTGCTATCGGTACTGGTTTATTCATTGGTAGTGGTACAGCTTTAAGAACTGGTGGTGCAGCTGGTTTAGTTATAGGTTGGTGTATTATGGGTACTATGATTTACAGTATGGTCATGGCATTAGGTGAAATGGCCGTCGTCTTCCCAGTTGCTGGTAGTTTCAACACATACGCAGCTAGATTTATCGATGAATCCTTCGGTTTTGCCACGAATATTAACTATATGTTACAAAATTTAGTTGTTTTACCTTTAGAAATTGTGGGTGCTTCATTAACTGTAAATTATTGGGGTACTCCACATAAATATAATGATGGGTTTGTTGCATTATTTTGGTTGGTTATTGTTATTATAAATTTCTTTGGTGTTAGAGGTTATGCAGAAGCTGAATTTGTTTTCTCATTCATTAAGATTATTACTGTCCTTGGGTTCATTATCTTAGGGATTGTATTAGTTTGTGGTGGTGGTCCTGTTGGTGGTTATATCGGCGGTAAGTATTGGCATGAACCTGGTGCTTTTGTTGGTGAAACAACTGGTCAACAATTTAAAGGTGTTTGTTCAGTGTTTGTCACAGCTGCATTCTCATTTTCGGGTTCTGAATTAATTGGTTTAGCATCTGCTGAATCAAGTGATCCAAGAAAATCAGTTCCAACAGCTGCAAAGCAAGTCTTTTGGAGAATTACTTTATTCTATATTATTTCCTTAACATTAATTGGTTGTTTGATTCCTTATACAGATTCACGTTTAATTGGTAGTAGTTCTGATGATGCTACTGCATCTCCTTTCGTTATTGCATTGGTCACACATGGTATTAAAGGTTTACCAAGTGTCGTCAATGTTGTTATTCTAATTGCTGTGTTATCAGTTGGTAATTCTGCTATCTATATGTGTTCTAGAACATTAAGTTCTTTAGCTGAACAAGGTTCCTTACCAAAAATCTTTGGTTACATTGATCGTAGAGGTAGACCATTATTTAGTATTATTGTTGTCTCTCTATTTGGTTTAATTGCCTTCGTTGCAGCTTCAGATAAAGAAGGTGCTGTTTTCAATTGGTTAATGGCATTATCAGGTTTATCATCATTATTTACATGGGGTGGTATTTGTATCTCGCATATTCAATTTAGAAGAGCTTTAAAAGCTCAAAATAGAGGTACGGATGAATTAGCATTTGCATCTCCATTGGGTGTTTGGGGTTCAATTTGGGGTTTATCGATTATTATTTTAGTATTTATTGCACAATTTTATGTTGCAGTTGCACCAATTGGTGATAAACCAAATGCATCAGATTTCTTTCAATCTTATTTATCTTTCCCAATTGTATTAGCATTTTATATTGGACATAAAATTTGGAAAAGAAATTGGAAATTATTAAAGAAACCAATTGATTTAGATATTGATAGTGGTAGAAGAGAAAGTGATTTAGAGTTATTGAAACAAGAAATTGCTGAAGAAAAAGCTATTCTTGCTAGTAAACCATGGTTTATTAGAACATATCATTTCTGGTGTTGATCTCCAGATTAAATTATTATTTTTTTTATTCTCAAATAACATATATATTATTTAATTCGTATAATTTAAAAAAAAATTACAAGATTTTCTTAAATTTTTTATCAAAAACTGTATAAATTTACACTAAACTAAAAAAAACATAAAAAAACAAGGGCGTAACTGAAAAATTATATATTTTTTTACAGTTGGTATTGGTAGTAGGAACTTCAAATGAGGTCATTAAAGTAAACAAAAATTTCTCTATCACTCTTCATCATACAAAAAACATATACACATAGACCATAGGCTGCAAGACTATGCTCGATGGCCATATCAGATGATAGTGATGAAGAAGAAGAGTATTCTGATTATTTATCCAGTGATCTCTTAGAAGACCATCAGTATCACCAGATAAATATACTAAAAGAAGATAAAAGAAAACGAGAGAGTCATGTTGAAAAGGGTCCGAAAAACAGTAGCAAAACTAGTAATGAAGCCGAAGAACTTATAAAGTCCAGACCCATTGATCCAAAGTTAGATATTACTCAAAAGGGTAAAAAATATAGATTAAGATATGTCAATTCAATGTCATCAAATAAAGTTGAATTGAATTCCATTAAAATTAATGAAAGCATGATGTCGAAAAAGAAAAAGAAAGGTAAACAATATTATGAAGTTGGAGATCCAGTCTCCGGGTATAAGTTTATTTCAAGTGAGCCGCCACCCAATAAAAAACAGAAGAAGAAAGAGAATATTGTAGAACCGGAAATTGATAGATTTCAATTTGATCGTAATACAAATAATGGTATGAAGACGCGTTCTGCCTCAAATTTAAATCATAACGTTAATGAAAGTTTACTTATCCATAAATATTGGAGTAAAACTACAGGTAACAATATTTCACTTCCAATAATGTCTAACAAAAATGGAACATTAAATTTATTGACAATGGAAGATTGCGAAGAAGATATTGAATCTATTGCAAAAGAAAAGGTATTACAATTTTATTTAAAAAGTCAGAAAATTATGAATTACAATATGATTCAATTATTAAAACAAGAAAGAACCAGATGGCATCCGGATAAACTTATTAAAACTAATACTTCTACTAGTAATTATTCAAACAATGTATTGCTTGCTACACGCTTGTTTCAAATTATCAATGAGTTATGGGAAAGTTATCATTAATAGCAATAACAACAACAAAAAGTTGCACTACTTTCCATCCTCTTGAACTGGTTATGACAATGACTATATATCACTAATTTTTAACGTAATTATAGTTTCGGTTACAGGAGAAGGGAAAATGGGATAACAAGCGCCCATTTTATGCTCATCTCTCCCCTTGTCAGGCCATGAATGAGACCCTGTCATAACTAAAAATTAACACACATATATACCCCAGTTGATTAACCGGAAAAACATCATAATAGTATAATATATAAAGTCTAGAACTTACTATTTTCATTTTCTCTCTACAGAGATAACAATGGGCAGAAAAAGAAAGGAGACTTAGGTCTCTTCAATATCTTAATCCCAATTGGGCAACTAAATTAGTGTTAAGATATAAAAGAATGAATCTTAGTAGATTTACTATACTCTCTCTCTCCCTCACTCGATAGTTCAGATATGTGTAAATACTTACTTTTTGTAGTACCTCTTCCTTCTTTTCATATGACAAGAAAAAGAAAAGAATAGAAAAATTAACCAATTTTTAGTTTTTATTCTTTGTTTTTAATACCAAGAAAATAAAATAGATGTCATTGTTTTTAACAAACAATGACATCTCCCACTCTCAATGGGAGAGAAATTAACGTAGCTCCAAAGATTAATTTATTTGTTGACGAGAAAAGATAAATGGAGAAGAATGCTACGTAAAAATATATGAGGATACTTTATTCCATTACTATTCCTGTTTCGGGATTATAATTGGTTAAAGAGAACAAAACGTACATAAAATAAATTCCGTTATAATTTATTTTCTTCCTAATCTTAACTGCAAGGGCATCGAAAAATTTATCTCTTAATTTATCAAAAGACCCATAAAAATTTCCCACTATTTTTTCCCAAAACGGTATAAATTACACCCGAACAATAAAACTTTAAAATATGTCCACTCAAATTTATTTACCAAATTTGTACATTATATTCTCTGTAAATGTTTTCCAAATAAAGCAAAAAAAGGCCCGTTATCATTTTACACGTACAGATACTTTAAGTTCTCTACCTGTTTTACTTCGGAAATGTATCAAGATAGTAAGAAAATAAAACTTTTCTCGACATTCTCATTTTGAAATAGTTTTATACATGGAACAAGAAACAAAAATCTGGTTCACTACGAAGAAACTCAACAAAAACCTGTTTTCTTTCACAAACGATCCGTTAGGCAGTTTCTCTCTCCATTTACCAGAAATGTTTTTTTTGAAACTTTACCAAAAATACACACAATTCGTCGCACAACTTCCTCTCTTATCTTTTTTATTACTAACAATAAACATAAATGACGTCCGCTTTCTGCTTTACCTTATACGGTAAATTGATATACATCGTTCGGAATGACCTCCAATTAAATTTAACGTTAAAAACTCTTTTTTTTTCTCTCGCTTCGGCGAAAGTTTTTCTTTCTGTAATTTTAATATAAATAGAAAATTAGTTTGCCCATTTTTTTCCATTGGTCTCTCTCGTTACCGTTTCCCATAATTTATTTTCATCTCGTGTTTCATGATGTGGGAGGATTCTCCTTTTGTTTACCTCTAAATCTAATTTTTACTCTTCTTGTACATATTTTTTGGCAGTATATTTCTCGAAGGCTCTCTCTGTATTTTTTTCCCATTAAAAATAGAATTCTTACATTATTTTTCTTTTAACCCTTACTCTCTTCATTTTATATATATATATATATATTTTAAAGATTTTAACTGAAATATTATATTATAATTAAGCTAGAATTTAATAAAATATCTAACAAAAAAAGAATTATATAATCAAAAATCAAATAAACTAACTACACCCTAGTAAATATACTATACCATTATTTTATTTCAAATTTTTTTGTTTATTTTTCACACTTAACCTTAGTCATTCCTTCTACTACCAATCCAACTAATTAGTCTTTCCTTTTTTTTTGATTTGATTTTAATATTATACTACACTCATTTTATTACTATTATTAATTAAAATCTAATCTTTCACACTCTTTTTTTACTATTAAAAATATTTTATTTTATTTATCATTACTATTATTACAATGAAGTTATCTAATATCCTTTTATTATCAACTTCTTCTATCGCTTTTGCTGCTCCAGCTGTTCATCATGATCACAATGAAAAACGTGCTTTAGTTACCGTCACTGAATTTGTTGACGAAAACGGTAACGCTATTGTTGGTGCTTCCGCAACTGCTACTGCTTCCGCCGCTGTTAAAGAACAAGCTGTAGTTGCCAACACCGACGTCACTTCTTCTAAAGCTACTACTACTTTAGAAGGTACTGTTGCTACTACTACTAGCTCTACTTCTACCGCTGCTAAGACTTCTACTGGTTCTACTTCCAGTTACGGTGATTTATCTGCTTACTCAGGTCCAAACAAGGAATTCCAAGATGGTACTATCTCTTGTTCCGATTTCCCATCTGGTCAAGGTGTTGTCTCTGTTGATTGGGCTGGTTTATCCGGTTGGTCTACTATTATGGACATGAATGGTAACACTGCCACTTCTTGTCAAGATGGTTACTACTGTTCTTACGCTTGTCAAGCAGGTATGTCCAAGACTCAATGGCCAAGTGAACAACCATCTAACGGTATGTCCGTTGGTGGTCTATATTGTAAGAATGGTCTATTATACAGATCTAACACCGACTCTAACTACTTATGTGAATGGGGTCAAGATTCTGCCGTTGCTGTTAACAACGCTGATAAATCTATCGCTATGTGTAGAACTGATTATCCAGGTTCCGAAAATATGGTTATTCCAACTTTAGTTGAAGCTGGTTCCTCTCAACCTGTCTCTGTTGTTAACGAAGATAGTTACTATCAATGGCAAGGTAAGAAAACCTCTACTCAATACTACGTTAACAACGCTGGTGTTTCTGCTGAGGATGGTTGTGTCTGGGGTACTGAAGGTTCCGGTGTAGGTAACTGGGCTCCAGTCGTTCTAGGTGCTGGTTATACTGATGGTATCACTTACTTATCTATCATTCCAAACCCAAACAACAAGACTCCACCAAACTTCAACATTAAGATTGTTGCCTCCGAAGGTTCTACCGTCAATGGTGAATGTTCTTACGTCGATGGTGTCTACACTGGTTCCGGTTCCGATGGTTGTACCGTCTCCGTTACCTCTGGTTCTGCCGAATTTGTCTTTTATTAGATAATTTGATGCGCCAATATTTTTTTTTCACCTCTACCCCATTTTTTTTTCGATTATTTTCTAATAATCTACATTACCAATTTCTTTTTTTTTGTCATATAGAACTATATGTTTATTAGCTTCTTCTTTTTATTTGTGAAGAAGCAAAAGAATAAGAAGAATTTATTTGTTCGTAAAAAATAAAATAAAATATAATACAACATCACAAGAGAGAAAGAAAAGATAAAAATTAAAAATCAAATTGATATTTTTAAATATATTCTTTTTGTATTCTAAAATTTTTCAACTCTTACCAAAAAAAAAGATAGCTTTTTTTTTGCATTGTATTTTATTTGCTAGTTATTACTATTATAACAGAATGTCGAACGATCTAACCTATTGATACCAACGCACTTGTAGTCTTTTTTTGATTACTTTGATCGATTCGCATTATTATAGTTATTTATATATATATATTTATATACTTCGATGTATATATACTTATTTATATTTCACTACCTCATTTTTAATTTTGCCTGTCATTATTATAATATCTTCATTTTCTTTGAGACTATCGTAATTATTTTTGTATTAAAGTAAGTTGTAAATAACTATTTTATATGCTATTTACAACAACTGCCTTACATATATTCGTATATCTATAAAAGTTTGTTCGTATTTTTAAAAAAAAAATTGAGCACAGAAAGAAACATGAAATATCCAATGATCAGTTCTTTGGAACTTCTTCATGTTGAGATTGTTCTTCTGGCGGTGGAACAAAAGCACCAGCTAGGGCCAAAGCAGGTTCATCGATACTATTGTGAGCATATGACAACACACCAATACCACCAGCATCTAATAGGAAGAATGGATTATCATCCAAGTATCTATAAGTATCCAATTGAATATATGGAACGCTTTCATCCTTATAAGAATTTGGATTAATTCTTTCCCATTCATCATTACATTTTTGTTCAACTGATAATTTTTTAGACCATAAAGCAGCAAAGTAACGTAAGACATGGCCGTGAGCAAAAACCATAATATCAGAACATTTCTTATTATCTTGAGAAATTTTATGTAAATTTTGAATTCTGGCAATGGCTCTAGATAATCTTAAACCTACTTGTTTTGTATTTTCACCATTTTCACAACCATCTCTCCAGATATTCCATGGGACAGTCTTATCTAATCCTCTAGATTTTCTTAAGGAGACGATCTCGTGTGTCAATAGACCTTCATAGTCACCATATTCCCATTCTCTTAGATCTTCATCGACTACAATACGAATGTTTGCTTTTTGTTCAGCAGTTAAAGTTTCTAAGACTAAATCAATAGTTTGTCTCGCACGTAATCTTGGAGAAGTAAAGATATAAGTAACATTTGCAGGATCAACAAATGAGTTATCACGGAAGATAGATCTACCAGTTCTTTGCATTTGCTTGACACCAAAATCGGTCAATGCTAAGTCAGTTAATCCAGTGTATTGGCCACTTTTAGACCATTCGGTCTGACCATGTCTAACAATAATACATCTTTGAGTCATGATTTCTTTTTCTCACCTTTCGACAATATCAATCAATGATATGTATACAGATATATTTTGAAGTAATATAGAACTGTAATGTATTGAAACAAGAGAAAGTTCTCGAAGGTTGCAATTGAAGTAGTTAGAAGTAATATGTAATTGTTCTATTTAAATATTTTTTTTTGCTTCTTTTTCTGTTTTTTCTAACAATTTCCGCTCAGTCTGACCTTCCCTTCTTTAACTCCGGCGGATTTAACTATTTCCTGAAAAATGCCATGAACTCAAAGGAGTTAATCAATATATTTACATTTGTGACTGCCATGCTACTTTTTAGTCGGTATTATAACTTCAGTCATGTATGTTACTATTACCGTGAAACAAACCTAGTTATTTGTCTACGAAGCAAAGTCCGTTCAACCCATTATATGTAGCGATTGAAGAGAAACAATAACAAGCAAGAAAAATGTAAAGAATTCGATTGACATAATGCAGGACCGAACCAACCATTAACCTAAAATAAACCAGCTTATAATACAGACATGTACTAGGTGCCACCTTGCCTGGTCAAACAATCCAGTTTAATTAAACTGGATACCTCATCACCTTCACAGTTAAAATTGAATCTCCTGCAAAATCTGACCACGGTAACAAAGAACAACAAAATTTGAATTTTAACGCGCGAAATGTTCTTTATGGAAAGCGCGATTGCAAAGAGATCTCTCATAGTTAATATTTGTTTAGTTTTTTCTCTTTGGTGAAATGTTTAGTTTTTAATTTGATCTTTACACGTAAATGACAAAATTAACCGGAAGCCCTTTAAAGTTAATTTCAATTTGATCTATGAATGTATTCTTACGTTAGAAATAATTTCAATTTGAGGATACGTTTGTTATAATATAAACTGGGAAAGATTCAATTCACAGTTAAAGCACGATTTTAAGTATTCATCTATATGGTACAGCGTCACAGTTTTATAATAAAATGGAATATAATGATGAACGACGTAATAAGATTGGAATAGCTGTGATAATATCATTGTTATTTTTCATATTTCATACACATAATAATACAAATGAATATACTAATGGTATATATATTCCTACGCTTCGACAAAAATTAGATCAACCAACCTTTTCACATATAAGGCGTGCTTATAATGGTTTAATTAAAGTACGTAATAATGATGTATCATTATTTGCACCATATTTAGATAAAATTAATAATAATTGGCATGTAGGTGGTTCAACGATGATACGAAATAATGGATTTATACAATTAACGAGATCCGGTGAGACAAATCGTGCAGGTTCATTATTGTCTAATGGTGTCGGTGATAATAAAATTAATAATTTTGAAACAGTTTATGACTTTAAACTACAAGATAGTCATGGGGATGGGATGGCTTTTGTAATGACTTCCGAAAATGGTTTTATTTGGAAAGATTTAACTTCATCTTATGCATTAAGACAATATTTGATTAATACTAATGGAATTTTACCAAATGATATTACAATGATGGGATTTCCAAAAAATTTACCCGGATTAGCTATTATTTTAAGAACAAATACAATGTCACAAATACCAGAATGTGATATATTTTTAAATTTAGATCCATCACAACATTCTTATGACTTTGAAAGTTCTGGTAGAGATAGTAGTTCAATTAAATTAAATCAATATTCCATTCATCTTAATAAAAATTTATTAAATGGACAAAGAACACGATTAAGAGTAATATATTTAGAGAGTATAAGTTTTTTGAAAATTGACATATCATATACTCAGGGACAAACTTGGGAAGAATTATATATTAATTTAAATTTATCTTGGGAATTACCAAAAAATCAAAGATCAGGTGAAAGATATATTGGTATCTCAAGTCTTGCTAAACATAATAGTCAAAGTGTCTCTTTGTTTAGTATATGGACTAATGAATTCCATTGGTCGAATAATCGGGATGAAACAATGGAAATTACTAATGATGAATTTAAAAAAGATGCTTTAAATTTCATTCAAAGTGAATACGGAGTTGTTATAAAATCGGGATCATCTGGAGATACTACAAATCAACCGAAAACACAAACAAGTTGGATTCGATCTTTTGGGTGGATATGGTTAAAAATCATAGGAATAATCATTATCTTAGTGATAATTTATTTGATGTCTATCTACCTCAGAGTAATCAAGAAACATATCCATAAATTAAAGAAAAAACGATTACGTAGAATGCATAAGAAAAATTACAAGGACAATATGTTACTTCCTATATAATAGGATGTGCATAAAAACATTGAAGTAGAACCGAAGAAATTGAACTATTCTTTTTCTTCTATGAAAAAAACTTTTGGCATAATTAATATTTTATTTTTAAATATATATTTTTTTATAAGAGAATATTCAATATTATATAGATATACATACACAGTCATACATATATGAAACGAGCAAACACCCATACGATCAAGTAAAAAAATATGTTTGGGATAATCTCTAGAACAAAGTTAAATTAAATAAATAAATGAATTATTATTATCCCTATGGGTGTTCACTTGATTATGATTTTATTGTAACAATAGAATTCACCGTATGTGAGCTATTATGTCTTTGTAACGAAAAATGTTTCGAGCTTGATGGTCTTGATGATATTATTGAAGGTGTAGCAGATGTATGAGCTAAACCAGATGATGCTCTAGCTCTATCTAGGATACTTGCTGGTGGGATAGCCATCGTACTTGAATTTGTCTCTACTGTACGAGTAGACATCACTGTGGGTCGTGTAGATTGCATAGAATGCATATCCGAAAATGTTGATGATTTAACAGACGATGAACAAAAGGAAAATAAAGGAGCCATACTTGCATGATCCGAATCCTCCGAATCCTCTGATGTTAGTGACATACCTGTGATTGTAGAGATGGTGTCATTATCCTGCGGTAAACCATTTCCATTTGATCTAATCATCTTTGGTTTCTGTGGTTCCTGATCCCATTGAACCTTTGTCTGTTTGAGTTTTTTCGTTGATGATCCTGTATGTGTAGATGTTCGTTGCTGCTGCTGCTGCTGTTGTTGTTGTTGTTGTTGTTGTTGTTGTTGTTGCTGCTTTTGTTGTTGTGCCAGAAGTTGTGATGATGATGAAGTCTCCCTTGCTGGTTGAATAATCCTTTTAACCCATTTAGATAACTTCTTTTTCCCTTTACTTGAGCTTGAAGTTGTTGTTACACGTGTATGATTCCTTACAACAGAATCTGACATTACTTTTACGTCTGTTCCTTTATATAGTCGTATATCTGTTTTATCTCTGTATATATATACACATATATATATATGAAAGGCTACTTCCTTATCTTTTTATTTTTATTTTATTTTTGTTTTTCTTAAAAAACAAACGTTTATTTTTTTTGTTGTTGTTATAAAGTAAAATAATATATAAAAATATATAAATATAGATGTATATATTTATAGATTGTTTTTTTTTTTATTTATTTTTAATTTAATTTTTTTTTGTTTTTAGATGTGGATGAATGACAGCGATTAATAAGATATAATGGTAATAAAGCAAAAAAAAAATAGTAATAATAGATAATAAATGGTTTTGAAAGACCCTATGCAAATATATGTCTCTTTGAAAGAAGTAGAAAAAAAAGTATTAATTAATGACTAGCTAAGTAATGAGTTTAGATTAAAGCGAAAAATTTTTTTTGGTAATGATATGAAAATAAAGTTTATTGAATTTTTTTTTTTGATGAGTTGAAGATCAGTTTGTCTTTAATTGGTCGACTTCTTCTTTAGATTGGGATTGTACTAAACCATTAAATTTTTGTAAAGTAGTATTACCAATTTCTCTACCAGTTGAATATAAAGCTCTTGGAACATTGTTATTTTGTTTGTTTAGATGAGTTTCATAAGTTTCTGAGACAGTTTTATAAACATTTTGAGTTGGTTCAACGATCAATTTATTTGCTTTTTCTTTTGTTGGTTGAATATAATCATTACGTACCTTTGCATGTAGATCTTGAGTTAAACTCTTTGTAGTTGATGATAATTCATCAAAATGAGGCATATTACCATTTTCAACTGAAACACCATTAGTTAAAGTTTCAGAAACACCAGCATTATTTTTACTATTATTGGCAGTATTTTTATTTGAATCACTTACTGAACCAAGATTTAATGGAATTACAACTAATCTTTGTAATAAAACATTAAAACAATTAGCAATATAATCTAAAGTGAAATATAAACACCAAACACCTGGAACACCATTCTGTTTATCCCAAGATTTTTTAAATGCACCGACACCTTCATCTAATACTAAATAATTTAATAAACCATCCAAAGCCATTGTCTTTGAAATTAATTTATTAAAGAGGGTCTTGAAACCATGAGGAACATAATTAGATTCAAATCCTGTTGATATAACAGAATTTATTATAGATTGTGTAGTAGTAGCTAACATAGCTAACCAAGTCAGAATCATTTGAGGAACATACTTATCAGCATAAGCTTGTAAAACATCATATTTTTTCAAATGATCATATGTAGCAGATTGATAATGTAATGGTTTAATTGCTGAAGTTTGCTGAGCTTCAGTCTTAGTAGCTGTATCTTTCTTTGAAATATCGGCTGGCATACTAGTATATTCGTCTTGTTGTGGTAGTTGTTGTGGCTTAGGTGTCTTTGATTTATTACTTTTAGTGTGGTTCTTACGGACAGTCATCACAAAGATAAAGAAGTATATATATATATATAGATATATATATTGTAATTGTAATAAAGAACCAAAGTTAAATAAATAATAGAAGAAAATGAAAAGGACTAACAAGAAATTAGGACAGGCACACCGAAAAAACAAACAGACCAGATAAATTTTGCCTTTTCATCTCTCTTATCTTCCCAACTTCTTATCCTCTTTATATAACAATAGACCAGAGACTCAAAATAACAATACAACCAATAGACTCTCTCACATTAATTGCAGCTAATAAATCCTTTGTCTCCCTGTCACACTGCAAAGAAAAGTCACTTCTCGCTACGCAGAAAGAAAGAAAAAAAATGAAAAAAAAAATAAATTTTTCTGCAGTCACTGGTCGTGCAGGTCTGCGGGGGTTTCTGTGGGGTGGGCACAGGCTACTGCAAGGGATGGTGAGATGTGTGATGAGAAGAACAACAAAGAAGAGTAGCAGCAAGAGTAGCTGCAAGACAAGAAGTGTCGCTGGACTCCTCACTCCTCACTCCTCACGAAGGAGAGACACAGCCGGTTAGTCCGTAGAAGAAGTGTCTCTTTGAGTTCAAGGATTGGGATTAAATTAAAAAAAATAACATATTATATATTACATAGTGGTTTCAGGATTGCTTGCATTCTGGTGCTTGTTCAGTGCCTGCGAAATCGTCCTGATCGTCTTCATCATCATCACCTTCACCGTACTCTTCTTCTTCTTCTTCACCATCTTCGTCATCGTATTCATCTTGATCTTCGACAAACTCAAATTCTAGGGCTGCGCCTGTGAACCAGTCGACAGCACGAGGGATCAGTTTATCCTTTAATTGTTCACCAATAGAGTAATCTAAAGCCAAACGAGATTCCAATTCTTCGTCGACATCTTCTTCTTCTTCCTCGCCATCCTCTTCTTCGTTCTTGTCTGATGGAGCCACTGGAGGTTCGAAAAAGTTAAAGAAAGATTCTACGGGAGTTAATCTTTCAACTGTACGTACTTGTTTAGTAGCTTTATTACGTTGTTTACGTTGTTCAATTTCTACAGTAACATTATTTTCTGATGAGCTCCACGCAATGGTTTCACCTTCGGCATGATCATATACAAAATCACCGCTGTAACCTAATTCACTTTGATAGTAATATGTCTTAGTTAATGTTTTATTTGTGAAAAATGGATTTTCATTATCATCAAAAGTAAATATTAATTTAAAACCTGGTTGACCCTCAGAGATATATTGCATTGAGACATCTGTTAAATATTCCAATACTTCAGCATCACGATCAGTAATTGTTTCACTAACAATAGGTAAGTTTTCAAGAGCTGTTAACCAAAATGATGGGATCCCTTCAACTTCCGCACCCTCCTCTTCCTCTTCTTCCTCTGCTTCTTCTTCTTCTTCTTCGTCTTCACCGGCAATTTCACGACCTTTAGCAATTTCTTCTGCAGTTGGTTCAACAGAACCACTAGTGACAGCATGTCTACGTTCCATCAATGGACGATATAATTTATTATATTTATCTTCTAATTCAAACATTTCTACTTGAAAGTTTTTCTCTAAATCAAATAATTCAGTTTGTAAAGCACTTAATGAATAAACACGATTTTTAACAGCCGTTGGTAATGATTCAACATATCCACTATCTGCACCAACTAAGTCATCTAATTTATCTTGGATAGATGCTAATAATAATGGTTTTTGAGCTAATAAAGCACTAGCAACTTGAGCTGCTTGACTATTATCTTCTTCAGTAATAGTCTGAGGAATCTTCTCACTAGCCACAGGGTTACCATTCTTTAAATAACTATTATTCAACACACTAGCTGGTGTGTTATGTGGTGTTGGAGCATTATCGATTTGCATCGATGATTTTGGTTTACCGTTAGTTCTAATAGGATTTGACATTGCGGGAAATAAAATATTTTTTTATCAGTAGTTATTGGTTTATATCCCCCTTTTTCCAACAAAAATAGATCTATTGACAGTCTAGAACAAAATATATCTCTTATTTTAAAACTATCACCAAACGAACTGATGATCTAATCCACATCATATTAAATTCAATTCAAATTTATTTCTTAAAATGTAAAACTATTTCAAAAATTTCTTTCCTCTACCAAAAAGACAAAAAATCCACTAATTATCTTCCCGCGTTGAAAGAAAATTCGCCAATTAAAAATATTTACATTCCGTTTTAGTTAAGCGTAGATTTATTTAAGTTTACTGGCAGTTGCTACTGCTATTTCTTAGATTCCGTTCTATCGTATATAGTGACAGATGGTTATTATCACTTCTTAATTACTGTAACTTTCAATGAGATTAACAAGGGAACGGTGGTTTCCAGATATTCATATATATACATATATACTTGATAGTGGTCAGATTGTAATCGACACTTCAGTTTCAATTGTATGAGATGGGGAGGGGGGAAGTGTCAGATTGTTCTGTTTTTAATTAGATAACTTCCGAGTAATATGTTAATCTGCTTGACCCTACCCTTAAATATCTCTTGAACTCTTTTAAACTGAATACCCTGGGTTTCCATTCTCTAATCTATAAATTTCCTTCATCTGTTAAGTAGTATGTGTATTGAGTGACTAAAGTTACTATATATACATATATCGATAAGTAAACCGAGAAAAAAATACTATATGTATATGTATATGTATATGTATATGTATATGTATATGTATATGTATATGTATATATTTAATTATTTATTTTAGATGGGCCTCGATAGACCGCAGAGTATTGCCCATTTTCTGTTTCTCCCAATCGACCCATAAGGCACCGTTATTCCATACTCCTGCAGTAGCTGCCTCAATTAATGATTGTCCAAATGGTAATTGTTGAGGTGCTGTTTTTAATATATCACCAAGTCCATTAATTTCATGGCTTAAAAGTTTAGAATCTGTTCGATACATGTATTGAAGTTGATCTCTTGTAGGAAACTTATCATGTATTTCAACATCGATCACTTTCTCATTTTGTTTATCACGTAAATAATTCAAAATATTTGTAGCGGGACGATTACGACTTATATCACCACAGAAAAGTGTGATAATACGTGGTTGTGATTGTAATGTACGAAACATATGTTTTTATTTTCCTCTATATTTGTTCACTGTATCTAGATGAAATTCGGAATATTACTGTTATCACTTCTAAATATATATATATTTATATATATTATTTTCTTATCCTTCCTTATCTAGTTAAGCCTTTTCTTTAGCTTTTGTCCCGAAGATACCTGAGGTTAACACCAGTAACTCCGAAATAACACATGATTTAAAGGTATAATTTGAAATATTCTAAAGTAGATTGTTAATAAAGGTTAGGATTATCATGAGCAGTTCTAAGCATGCAAAAAGTTGATTAAGAGGTGCACTCTTACATTTTGTTGTGCTCGTTATGTGGTGTTCGCGACGTTTTCTCCCTATTCGAGATAAGCGATGACTCTATTATTAATAAGAATAAAGAATCCATCCTGTTTGGTTTGAATTAAAAAAGGAACAGGTTAAAGACAATCAAAACAGAAAGAAAAAGAAAGTGGGCGTGCATATATATATATATAAGTGAATGTTGGTTACCGAAGTGCGATTACCCATTTGGTGGGAATTACCTTGCTATGTGACCTGCAGTCTAGCTATCATTATATCGTTATACGGAATCCTTAGACAATGGGTCAATTATAGACGTCCCTTTGAACAGCGCTTAGTTGTAAGAATTTTATTACTAGTACCATTATTTAGTATAGGTTGTGGGGTTGCCATAAAATGGCCAAATGTTTCTCAAGTCTATTTAGATCCATTACGTGAATTCTACGAAGCATTTGTCATTTATACTTTTTTCTCTTTACTTACATTATTATTAGGTGGAGAAAGACATATTATTACGTCATTGACCATTGATCATTCACCCACTAAACATGCTTTACATTGGTTAGGTACATTAGACCTTTCAGATCCTGGTGATTTTTTATCATTAAAACGTGGTATATTACAATATGTTTGGTTTAAACCATTTTATTGTTTCATGTTATTAGTATGCGAAACTAAAAAATGGGATACAGTTCAATTTTGGCTTCTGATATTATATAATATCTCTGTATCATGGTCACTTTATAACTTGGCAATGTTTTGGAAATGCCTTCATAAAGAACTTTCACCATTCGATCCTTGGTCTAAATTCTTATGTGTGAAATTAATTATTTTTGCTTCTTATTGGCAAGGTCTTATTATCCATACTTTAGGTATTCTTGGATTATTTGGTACAGAACCTCATCTTAAAGGCTATTTATATGAAAATGGAATACTTTGTATTGAAATGCTAGCATTTGCCATATTACACCAACAAGCTTTTCCTTGGACACCATATTCACGTATGGGGATCCCTAGCGGCGCAAGAATGAAATTATTATATGCCATAAAGGATTGTTTTGGTGGTGGTGATCTTCTTTGGGATTTTAAACAGACGTTATTAATTGGTCATACATATTATAATTACAGAAATTTCGATACTTCTTCACAGATTCTATTAAATAAAAAGAAAAATATACGGAATACTATGAATAAACTTGGTGAAGGTTATAGGTATAGTTCTCAAAATGAAAATAGTTACTGGGTCAGTTACGGAAGTATACCTAGAAATCAACTCGACGTTGCCTCTTCGGTTGTAACATCCAAAAATAGTGATGAAGAATGGGATACCACTCTATGTGAAGTACCAAGGCAAACATTACACGAGGACCCTAATTACCCAGTCATATGGGACCCCGAAGGTTATCGATACACTACAAATATCACAAAACTGAAACGAGATATAGAAAGCCGTGGAACTTCTATATAACTGATCGTTTTCACACAATACATCGCACTTCCTTATGCATTTATTCAATTATCAATATATATATATATATATATATAACATTTTCCAGCATTAGTAAAAAATTAATAATTAAATTAGATAATAATATAAATATATATTTCTTCTTTTCATGAATTTACTATGTACAGTATGCTCATAATAGTGAAACCTTCTATATATATATGCTAAATATATAGGTGATTATGCAAAAATGACAGTTTGTTTTGTCCTAATATCCGGTGCGTTTGTCTCCATTAGTCAACCACCTACAGGAATGTCAACCCTTCTTCTCAAAATTAGAGTCTTTGAGTAGTTTTTCTTCTCAATAAATAGACTTTCATGATTTTATTTTCTACAACCTAGTAGTCTCTGAGTATCCTTTTAATTCCTGTCCATTTTTCAAGTCTTTCACAATACGTGATAATGAAAAAACCTTCAAAAAATCTATTTAATTAAGAAATGCTTGGCACATTCGTAGGCAGTCCAAGAGATAGCAGTTGCTGGAGTATTAGCAATAATTCTTGGTTTCAAACCTCTCCAGAAACCCTTCCAACCATACGTTGAATATAGAGCAGCCGAAGCTTTCCCAAATGTATCTGCTGTTCTCATTACATTCAATTGTACACTCTTACTTCCCTTGACTTGTAAAACAGTTTTTATACAATCTAAAGGTGTAGTGATTGCTGCACATGTAGCACCACTAATACCACCACATAGACAATGAATTAAAGGATTATAATCATTACGAGGATTGAAAAATTTTGTAACAGATTCATATATCATGAAATTGAATGCAGCAAATGGAATATTCATAGCTAGAGTAGTTGGATAAGATACATAAAATGCGGATAAACCCTCGGTACTATATATATTCTTAGTTAAATTCCATACCGAAGAATTAGTATTCAATTGAATCCTTTGTTTAATGGTATCAAATGGGTTCATTAATGCATCTGCAGCAATAGTAGCAAGTGCACCACTAGCTGCAGTCTTTAGAGGCTGATGTGTATTAATATCCTTTGGATCAATCAAATAAGATTTTGAATATTCATATGTAGCAAAATAGACAGCATGCGCAGGTCCTGCCCCTAGAATTACAGATTGAACACCTTTCCATAAGGCTAAAGAACCTTCAGCAGTCGAAATACGTGAAATTTGTTTCAATATATTATCTGATCCACTAGATAAAGTAGCTGATTGGATTCTAGTCTTAATCGCATCTATCGGATACAATACGCTATGTTCCATAATCCCAGCAAAAGCACCAGCTAATAATTGATGAGATAAAGGGGCATTCGACGGTAGTGCTTCATAATCAATTTCTTCTTCAGCCATAACAATATCTGGTCTGGTTATTTCCTTAAGTGACATGATTATTTTTTATTCTTAATAAATTCTAGTAATAAATTAATAAATATCAAAAAAAAAAAATCAAAAAAAATTATCGATGAAATTTATTCTATTATTTTATGCGATTATTTACAATAGTTTTAATAGAATAATATTTATATATATTACAATATTGAGGAAAATAATTAAGAAAAAAAGATCATCAATACATCCAGAAAACAAAAATATACATTGGTCATCGATAGCCAAGTCATATATATATATATCTAAATGAACTTTTAAAATAGTCCCTGTAGAAAATCGAATTTACATCTGAGTAAGCAATAAATTAACTACAAGTACTTAGTAAGTCATTGAACTTCTTTTTTTCCGCCATTTTAACTAGGCGAGCCGGCTTTTTCTTCGCTGTATATCACTATACAAGAAAAGAAACGTAGTGGTTAAGAGACAAAGGCCACACTATTAACCTCATCACCATCATATATTCATATATAAGAGAGCTAACGACTTGGCTATTTCTCGTGCTTATTACTCGTCAGTCGAGGATAACCATCTTACAATCAGTCACAGCTTTATTTGCTTCTAAACAAAACTTATCTGGAGCAATTGTAACCACTTCATAACAACTCCGTGCCCTTACAATTCTAGAATTGCACCTTCTAAAAAATCATAAACTCTTCTATCTTCGCAATGATTTGCTGGTAAAAAAACCTACGAACTCCCATTAAGAGCACCGTCCTTTCTTTGTTGTTTCTAACTGTGCGCAGAGGAGAACAGACCGGTCCCGCCATACAGAGAATAAGAGCACAGAAAACAAAGAAGAAATATAACTTCGCTTTTGTATGTATTTCAGAAATAGGGTGTCAGTGACACAATATGCACACCCTCAAATAATCTAGTATCATTAAAGTGAAGATTTATGGAATTTCGAAAATGTGTTTAACTATGTTGTTATATGAATAAAATATATGTATGTGTTGAAGATATATATATGTATATATATATCTAGAGGTATGTATATATACTATTCTCCCTCTTTTTTTCAATGACGAGAGGATGGTACAGATGAAGTAAAAATAACTGATAACGAGGTTGCGACTGTTACTATAGCCCTAACAAAGTGAATGCATATGGACACGCAACTGTGACGGTAATAGGGATACCCATATATATGATATATCTTGCTACAATATCAATATTAGCTTCGCCAATGTGTGCAGCACATTCATTGTTCTCTTCAGTTAATTTCTTGTATTTAATACGTAATTCAGATTTTTCAAGTCTATCATCTTTTAAGTGAACAATCTTAATCAAAGTATTATAAACTAATGGTTTTGAAATAACAGATTTCCATATTAGAACCATAGGAACCGCTACAAATGGTCTTAAGAAAACTTTAGGACCATCTACAGTAAAATTATCACTTTTCATTAAAGGTGCCACTTGTTGTAAGAACCAATCGCCACATTCATAACCTGATGCAACTCCGATGAAAGCCACACTATCACCAAAACAAGGACATTCATCAATTGGTCTAACATGTTTGAAAAGAATGAATAAACCCCATGAGAAACTAACTATTGGAAACCACCAAAGAGAACCACTTTCAAAATCAGTAAAGTAATTTCTTAACCACATACGTATTATATATGTTATTATACCACATAATGAACCTGTGATAATATCTAGAAGACCATGCATCCCACAATATAATCTACCTAAAACCAAAGTAGCATAATAGAAAAGGATCAATAATGTAAATCCACATTTTGCCATCATTGATATGGTAGAATTATCAGTTTGATATAAATGAACTAAGAAATATAATGTTACAGCAGTAGCATTTGCTGAATGTGAACTTGGTGCACCATATTCTTCTGTGGTGTAGGGACTCAATGAGACACGTTCCACTGGAGGTGATTGAGGGCGAGGCAAACACCAATAATCTTTTAAGAAACCTGATAAATAGATTGAATAACCTAATAAATATACTAAATCTCTTGTGGTTTCAAAATAACCAAACCATACAGGCATAGGTAAAAATAAAACATAAAACGTATGAGATCCTAACAATGCTGTATATAAGAAATAAAGATCACGAAATTTAGTAGAGGACTTATTTTGCCAACGTGATAAATATATTGATTGGTGATTCGTAAATTGAGTTAAGTATTTTCTAATATGGAATCGTAAAGGAGACATCTTTGATTTAAAATGATCATCTGGATGGTTACCTGGATCTACTAATAACGATTTACTAGCAGGTAATACATGAGAACCATGTGAACTTGAATGTACTGTAGTTGATGATGGTAAAGAATCATCTTTAGTCTTGATTGACTCGACTGTTACGCTGGCAACCATGCTTTCCAAAGAGTGAGAATTATAATCCAATAAAATACACGCACAATCAGAGGTGAACTAAATATATATATCTGCGTATCTAATCAATATTCCTATAAGTTCCAACTTCAATTAAATACAAGGCATTATCTAATATATTAGTGACTAGACAAATCTGAACACACACACGCACATACATATTAATATATATTTGTAAATATGAAGTTACAACAAAGGTTCGGAGATTTGATTTCATGAAACACATTCATGTTTCTCCTAATTGTTGTTGGAAATGATGCGTTGATGAACGAAAAGTTTCTCGAGAAAACAGAATTAGCGTGAAAATCAAATCAAATCAAAAA